CTTAGTACTTTTCACATTTCTTTTCAATTTGAATATCTGTCATTTTATAGATGTGTTATACAAGATTGGACATCTATTTTAAAACATGATCTGAAAACTTAATTTTCTACCAGTTTCATTGAATTAATTACAATTTATTTTAAGTTAGAAATATACCTTTGAGATCAATTTCACTCCTAAACACTGCAGTTAAATGTTGTCCGGCACACTCGCCCTCTTCACATAAGTAGTGATCCTTGCGGAAATGTTGAGCAAGTGCGGAGTGTGAAGCATAATAGAAATTCTTTCCATCGGCATCACACAAATGACAGTACAAGTGCTCCTTGCGCAAGTGACGGTACAACTCATCAGGATCCATGAATCGTTTCTCACAGAATTCACAAAGTGGATGGCCCCTGTGAAAGATCACTATGGGAAATGAGTCTTTGTAATTATTAAAAATATCTAAAGGATGGACCGGATATCCTTTGAAATTAATGAAATGAAATTGCACTTCTGATTTTATTATCTGTCAACCAGATTAACTGTTTATACAAAAGTATTGCGTGCTGATATTACGATCGTAAAATATTTATGAACGCATATAAAATTTTTCCCTATTCAGTATGTTTATTGTACTAATCATTTATTGTTAATTATATATGTTGAACAAGGCCTAGCAATTTTTTTTGCTTAGACAGGTGGACAAACTCACGGTCCACCTGGTGTTAAGTGGTTACCAGAGCCCATAGACATCAACAACGTTAATGCCGCAACCCACCTTGAGACATCAGTTTTAAGTCTCAGTTTTATAATACAATGGCTGCTCCACCACCAAACTGGAACGCATTACCTCTTCAAGGCAGACAATATGTAGAGTGATGGTACCTACCCATACAGACTTACAACATGCCCTTACATCAATATTGTCATTCAGGATTAGGTTTATTGCACTCTATAAATCAATTCACATGGCTAACACGTATAGAAAAAATGTGATTGAATTAACTAGAATTTATGAATGAGTATAATAAGTTTCTTTGGATTTAACTATAAAATTGTCATACAATTAATATTATACTCTAAGACAAAAAAGCTGTGGAAATCATGCAACAATCAACAAATATTGTTGGTTCCACCAATAAAATGACATAAAAAATATTTTATAACAATAGAGTAATAAAATTTAATATCTTTAGTTACCTGTGTGAGGTATCATCAAGGTCACCTTTACGTCGATGATGTGCCAGTTCTTGTCGTGTATAACACCTTCTTTCATTGGTAAAAATCTGTAAAGGCATTGCATATCAACATATTAGTCTGTTTTTCGTCATAAATTATACATTTCTGGACAAATTTAGAAGAATCCAAATAAAAGTGTGCAGAAAATATATTGCATTATCTTGCTAATATACTGCATAACCAAATAACAATTAGTAATTAAGTATTCCTTGTTTATATCTCACCTTCAAATGATTGAGACAAAGGTCACAAAAAAACCTTTCATGAACCCTTCTCATGTGATCATTCAGCAAACTAAAGTTGCGGAACGGTGGTATCTTATCACAGATTTTACACCGATTCTCCAATAAGTTTTCATATGCATTTTTTATGTCTTCAGAACAGAATACAATTTTGTATTGTCTTTCAAACAGTCTATCAGGGTATTCCCTGTTCCCAAGCTCTTTGTAGGGATGAATAGAATCAGTAAATACAACCTGAAAATCAAGTATATTGTATCCTCCATTATATTGTATACATTGTTTTATAACTATCAGGTTTGTGTTTGCTTAAAATTCTAAATAAAAGATAACATTTATAAACCAATTTAAATACACAGCAAAGAAGAGCTGATATATATGCACTTAATATCTAAAATTATTAAATTTATTAATTTTCATTTTATTTAGGGGTATAAAAGCAAAAACACTTCAGTCACAATTATCATGAAATCAGAACATTTACTGTAGTACAAAGATAACTTTTTTAATTGATTAAGTAATATTTAGACTAACATATCTTTGCATTTTAAGCCTGGATTGAAGGATATTTGCTGCTCGCTCACATTATTCTGTTTAATTAATGTACCAATTCTAATACAGTATTTTGCTTTTCATAGAGTATCTTCATTTATTGTAAATCTCTACATACATTAAATAGTATGGTCGTGTAAAATTAAATATTTAAAATGGAATTTAAAATCTTCAATTGAACCAAATATTTACTGCTTGTGTTGAAGAATAATGACGGTATATGCAATGACACTGTTGCATTACAGATATAAAATAGCTTTCGAGTTCCAAATCAGTATAGTAAAATGTGTGTAACATTATATAGAATAGAGAAACATGCGTCTTCACTCAGGGCATTTTTGTTGGTTTTTTTAAAATGAACTAGGGTCTTACCCTCAATAGATCTTTACGACATATAGGACACTCATTCTGAAGACAGAGCACCCGCATCCGAGTAGAGCACTCGAAACATACGGGATGGTCACACTCGCCAATTGAGTAGTACAAAACGTTCTTGAAACAAACTACGCAAGTATTCTCGTTCGCCTGAGCCTCAGACATGATTGTTGTATTGTTTATCTAGGATTCTGTAAAAGCGTTTCTGTAACCGAGTGTTTTATTAAATTGCGAGTACGTGGAAGTTCAGAATTTGTCTTGGATAAATACCACTTACTACTACACCTTGAAGTTAGAACACAAGAGAAAAGGAAGGACGAAGTTTTGTGACCGCAGATTTTACTGATTTTTGTGTTGTCTATGGATTTCTTGACATACGTCGAAAATGACAGCTAGAGGTGGAAGAAAACATGAAAATAGCACTGAAGTAGGAAACTTAAGGTCTATGGAAATTGCCACGGTGATTTTTTTTAATTGATTTTATGACCTGGTATCTAAGACCTTTAAGTCATGACTTATATTAATTTATATTCTTATTTTTATGAAAAATGATAATATGGAGTGAAATGAAATGAAAATGATTAATTTGAGACGTTAATCAACTGGGATGAAATTAAATGAAATGAGATAATATGGAATTTATAAATTTTGTAAATAGACAAAATAAAACAAATCACACAACTTCACTCCTCGCGTTTCCACCAATAAGTCCTGCCACTGTGATTAATCTATAAACCTAAGAGATAATCTCAAGTTTAGGCATACATTTGAAATAATTTTCAGCGAAATCTATTTTTTATTAGTAGGTCTTTTATTAGTAGGTAGGGCTCTAAATATCATCCTTGAGTCCACGGTACCATTAGATGGTCCTACAATCCCATGCGCCCCCTAGGGAGGCGCGTGGACCTCGAAAGAGCTCGAAAAAAAAATCAGAAAAAATTACTCTCCATTCTATTTCATTCACATAATCCCAATTGATTACAATTTTCGGTAAACTATTATATTTTTCTGATCGCATTAATTTTCATAGAGTACATATTTAAATTAAAAGGTTTTTGCAAACATACTCGAATATACACTTCAAAATAAAATAGTGTCACTTTAAAATAAAAAGTGACACTAATGCCGGCCACTCACATGCGCGCAAACATTCGTACATTGTACGAATGTTCGCGCGCATTTGAAGGGCTGTCAGACATTCATTCGCAAACTTAGCGGCTGTGCAAATGGGTTCGGTATTAAATTTGCGAACCCGTTTGCGCTTCCTCCTATACTTGTTTACGAATGTTTCACGAATTTCTCTTCTTTTTTAATTCGTCAACAGAACATTGAAGAGAAAAAGAGTTTTTAATTCTTTCCCAGGCGTGATTAACCTATCGCCGCCCCCTGCCTATTTCTGCCGTGAAGCAGTAATGCGTTTCGGTTTGAAGGGTGGGGCAGCCGTTGTAACTATATGGGTGGCACATTTACGTTGTAGATGTTTATGGGCTCCAGTAACCATTTAACACCAGGTGGGCTGTGGGCTCGTCCAACCATCTAAGCAATAAATTAAAAAAAAACTGTTTTTATGGGATTTCTTTTGAGGGTCCCATATGGTCGATTCATTTTGCAGGAGTTCAATGAACTCCATCACCTTGGTGTTGTTCCAATCCACGAGGAAGTTGCGCTACACAGTAGACGTCACGAACTATGAAAATGGCGAAACGTCCATTACCTTCGCAATCGTGGGCACAACTGGTCACGCGAATGTGTGGGAAACTACGCGAAGGATCGCGGTTCGCGCGCTTTGATGTCCGCTAAAAAACCGGCACAGCTTGGAAAACCACAAATGCAGCGAAAACTTTGCATAATCATTTACAAATGTCGTCCTACACTTGTGGGTTTGCGTATTCGTGCGATGTGAGTGACCGGTATAAGTGCATATTATGTTAGGCAACACGTTTTTTTGGCGGGAACGCGCGGTGTCAAGTTGTGCGATTTGTTTTATTTTACCTATTTTGTGTTTATTCAGGTTTAAATGTGTAATAACGGTGGTTTGTTAACTGTTTAATATCTGTGAAAGTGCCCAAATGTGAAGCCCAAAAGCCGCTGAACATAACTTCTCGGGATCCTCCAAAAAGTCCACTGAAAAAATCTGAGTAAATTACCACCATTTTACTAAGATTATATTTAATTTTCATCAAATACCATCTCATCTCATTTCATTTAATTTCATCCCAGTTGATTAATGTCTCAAATTAATCATCTTTATTTAATTTCATTTCAATTCATTTCATGCCATGCCATGTTTCATATTAAATTAATCAGCTTCATTTCATTGCATAATATCGTATTTCATAAAATATATATATAAAATATTAGACTGTATGGTGTGATACCTTTGCCTTTTCATTTGGAAAATAGAACTACTACTACTAGGCAACACTGTAAATGACGGTTTTGGTTTTACAAATAAAAATTTGAAAATTTGAATTCAAACCAAGTTGTCTACAAGAAACAGTTAAATAAATTCTATTAACTGCTTTATGACAAAATATTAAATATTGTAGCTTAGGCAAATTATAATATGAGTTTTATAAACAATTGTGTTGATAAATATACTATGTGATAAACATGTATTTTGAAGTAAGTAACAGCTATTTTTTTCTGTTAAACAAAAACAATAGTTGGGTTTAACGAAATTTATAAATTTAGATTGAAAACACCCCGGAGCATGTTAAAAGGGCTCGACGTACTGCCTGTAAATCAGAAGAATCACCCAAAGAAGAATGTCCCCGTTTGGTGTTGGCTCCGTTCTCCAGACCACCACAAGTTGTGTTCGACAATGTTATCATTGGTACAACTTGTGAGAGAAACTTGGAAGTCATTAATCCAACAAAACAACCACAGCATGTGAGTAAAAACAGCGGTTTTCCCACTGAGAAAAATACAATACCCATAGGTCTAGCTTTAATTTGATTTGAGAAAAACTTAGAATTAAAAGACAACAAATTGAAATATAGATGAATTTAGGATTCATCGAAACGTATGAATAAAACGAATTCTTAAAACCAACATGGCAACAAGCACAAGCATATACAGGTGTATCGAGAGTGTTCTTTAAGCTGAAACCACAATAAATTTTCAGTACTAACAAATTTTTAAACTTAACTTTGACAGATAACTCTAGGTAAAGCTCTACCACCAGGACTGATTGTGCATATACCCGGAGAATGGTTGGAAGTGGAACCGGAATCATGTAATATATTGACAATGGTATGGACCCCCAACCAGCCTACTGCTGTTAGAGAAACCCTTAATTTCACAAATGAGAACCATAGAAGACATGATGTCATTGTTCTTCTTAAATCTGTGGTGGTTAGTAATGATTATTATCAATTAATACTACTCTTTTGATTTTTTTTTGTAAATTGTGGACGTTAATTGGATATCTTATGTAAATAAGAGTCTAAAATAGTGAAGTCACTATCAATAAAATCACAATCGCTTTTATATTAAGTAAACTATTTAACCTTTTCGCCATGGTGAGCCTTGCTGCAAAGCGTTTCACAAGAAACAAGCTCTGTGCTGAAAGTGCGCACATGACCTGTCGTGTATAGATGGTATTTTTCAGCCCGGTCACCCATAGTGTACATGCAGCATTTTGTGGCAAGAGTCACCAATAGTAGCAAAAGAGTTAAAGCAGTCGCGATATTTTCCAGTTTATTCAAACACTATTCATATTCATAAAATAAGGAATTTGATTCGGAAAGGTTTAAATAATGAATGACCTAAAAATTGATGCATTGTAGTATCTTGACACCTCATGCGTACTGGAATGGCAATAACGATATGAGGTTTTATATTATGTTTCTATTAGTTTTCGCCAATCATCAAACCTGATGAGACTTAATAATTTCCAAACAAATATGTATTATAATATTTTGATAATAAAAAAGGCAATATCATTCATAGGATTTAACTGTAAAAAATGTATTATTAAATATTCTCATAAAATTTAATTTTTGTTGCCTACAGAATGTCAAAGGGAAGACAAACCAATCAAAAGGGTTTAAAATATCACCAGGTAAAATGAAAAGAAAGTCATCAAAAAAATCGCCAGTTGCAATTTACAAAAAGAAAACTGAAAAAATTAATAAAACCATAAAAAGTAAAGATTGGGTGAATATAAAACATTCCACTCAACGTAATATTCAGACTGTATCTGAAAAAGAGAATAATACAGTTTTAAATGAGCATTCCTTGAATTCTCACATGGAGCAGTGTCCCTTTGACTCTCCGAACAGTATAGATTTTAATTTCAACACTTCCGAAATCTTTTCGAACATAAGAAAACCCAACTTGCAAGATACTTATGATAAAACTTATGCATCCACTGATAGTAGATATAATGTACCCCAAAACGTTTTAAAGCCATCTAATAGGCAAACACATCCCAATACTTCAATTTCTGATATATTTGATAAATTAACATTTTCTCCTTTGAAGACATTACCTGCTAAAGTCGTTAAGTTGGACAAAGGTCCTAAAATAGTGCTTAGTGTAAATTCCGACAGTGACTTTGATGATAGCCTAGACTTGCAGAACAATAAGGAGAATGAAATGCATTCCATTATAAGCATCACATCGGCCCAACCTAAGAGGTGGCTCACAGTTAATCAGTATACTCAAGCAGACTCACAGTTCACCGAAACGCCGAACATGCTAGAGAAAAAACAGCCCAATACTTCATCACCAAAAGAACTAAACAGTCCAAACTTCACTATAAACACAGAATTCTCGCGCATCAGTGACTTGTCGTTTTTCCCTCAACGTTTTTCAACCGAGAGAAAGTTCATGCCGAAAACCAATAATGACACTCATGAAATCATCGACGATGGCAAACTATGCTCCGATACGTACACAAAAGAGTCGCCTAATACACCGTTTGAACAAAACTTTAATCAGTTGCGAGTAGAACAGAAATCCTTGCAGCACTTATTGAAAGAGCAGCCTAAAATGTGTAGGCAAGCTCTATTCAAGGAGTTCCAACAGCGGGAACATGACAGAAATTTATTGAGTGCTTTGGAGCATAGTCCTTGGCAGTCTGACCTTAGAGCGGACGGGAGATCCCCGCCCCGGTCAATAACACCGCCCTTACAGTCTATCCCAGAAGAAAGCATCCATCTCTCCGATACTCAGGTGTTAGACAAAACTGACAAACAAATGACCACGTTCACGATAAACCGTACCTTCGACAAACTTTCCGATAAATCAGGTCTTTCCCATAGCTCTAACAATAGACAGACTTGGTCAAAAAAATCCATTCGCGCCGAGCCCGATCTATGGAAAGTGCCGTCATTACTTATTAAAAAGAATAAAACTAAAACATCACTCAGAAAAGATTCGATTTGTGGGAAACAATCAAACACCATGTACGACAGTAACAAAAGCATTAATCAGAATCTATCTGTTAATCAGATCGGGAATATATATTCTCAGTCCTTCACAGTAGATCCATTCTCGTCTGCCACCTATTTTTACGACGAAGAAGCCGTTGACAAATTCGAAACAGAGTTCAAAAGATGGTTGAATTACATTTTGACGCCACCTGCGGATCTCGATAGTAATACGGAACAAAAAATAAATGTCGGCAAGGCCTGGATTGAGAATAGAAACAAAGAAATCCCAGCCGCGCCTACCAAAGAGCAAGTTTGCAGTGCATACCATAATAGCCACAGATTAGAAAGCCTACGTCGGTCTGCTAGAACCTTGTTAATGAGCCCTGATATTACCAAAGTCCTTCAGAAATTGAACGCTCAAATTGAGAAAAAATTGATTGTAATTAGAAACGATCGGAACCTGCACTTAGATGTTGGACTGCAAAAGATAATAATGGAAATCATATTATCGTATAATCCATTATGGCTGCGTATCGGCTTAGAAGCTACTTACGGGACCGTTTTACCTCTCAAATCAAACAGCGATATTGAAGGTCTGACGACTTTCATAATTCAGCGCATGTTCAAAAACCCCCATCTCAAGAACAAACACTCGAAGTCGACCGCCCCAAACATGCTGCTGCCTGCGTACATGGAGGCCGTCAAGAAATTCACATTAAAGAAGTTCTTTATGCTGGTTTTCTTTCTGGATCAAGCCAAACAAAGAAAACTGATCTCTCACGATCCCTGTTTGTTCTGCAGAAACGCTGTCTGCAAAGAAAGCCGCGAAATTATTATCAGATTCACAAGAGAACTAATCGCAGGCATTGGAGACATAACTAAACATCTACGACCGTTAGGCTATGTCGTTAGTCACAAACAGTCCTATCTAGACGAATATAAGTACGCGGTTCACAATATTGCCCTAGACATCAGAGACGGTGTAAGATTAACCAAAGTAATGGAAATTATCATGATGAAGAATGGTCTACTGAATCAACTTCGGACACCGGCCATATCACGACTGCAAAAAATACACAACGTTCAAGTGGCCTTAAATGCGTTAAAGGAAGCGAATTTTGTTATTGTCGGTGAAATCACGGCGAGTGATATAGCCGACGGTCACAGAGAGAAGACCCTGTCTCTGTTATGGCAAATCATTCATGTCTTCCGAGCGCCTCTCTTCGAGAAAGCAGCGAATATCATACAGTTGTGGTGGAGGAAGAAATACGAGGTTATTATTGAAAAGCGCACCGAAGAGCAAAGGGTTTTGCGTAATAGAAACAATGCAGCGAACGTAATTCAAAATTGGTGGAGACGTATCCAATATAATCGTTTTGTCGAATGGCAAATGCAGAAAATAACACAGGCAACGATTGTCATACAGAAGTACTGGCGAATGTGGCTATGTCGTAAGCGTTTGGTGAAAATGAAAATGAGTGTTTCGAAAATCGAAGAGTGGTACAGATGCGTTAGATTGTCGAGGCAGGCTCGAGAAACATTACAGATGCTTAAATTGCAACGCGAACAACTCCGGCAAGAGTCTGCCATTGTTTTGCAAAGCTACGTCAGACGCTGGCTTTGTACGAAACGATATAAAATGGTGTTAAAGAATATCGTAACAGTACAAAGCTGCGTCCGGCGATTCGTAATGAGGCGAAGATTCTTGAAGTTAAAACAAACTGCAATTTATGTTCAACAGAAATATCGTGGTAAAATCCTAATGAGATCAGAAGTCCGCAGGCTGACTGAGAAACGCAATGGCGCCGTCACAATACAATCTTACTTTAGAATGAACAAACAACGTTCTAATTACATCAAAATAAAAAATGCCGTGAAGTGCATCGAAAGTCGATATAAAGCTTTGTTAGAAATGAGATGCGAACGCCAAAGGTATTTGCTGTTGAAGAGCAGCGTTATCACATTACAAGCTTTGTATAGAGGGAAGAAGGCACACGAAGAATTCACTAGAATTAAAAATGTAATAATTAATTTACAAAGAAGAATAAGAGCGAATCAACTAATGAAAAAAGAAAGAGATAACTTCATAATGATTAAGAATGCAACAATTGTAATACAGAAATACTATAAGGCGCGTTGCGAAATGAAAAATGTTAGAGGTGTATACATGAAACAACAAACTGCCGTTAAAACAATACAACGATATTTCCGGTCCTATATTCTTGCGAAGAAACAGAGGGAAGAGTATCTAGAATTATTGAATGCCACTGTACTGATACAAAAAAGATACAAGAGCTTGCTGCTTATGCGTAAAGAAAGAAATGCTTTTAGAACTTTGAAGACCGCTACTGTAGAATTACAAAGGAGATACAGAGCATTGATTGCTATGAGAAGTTGCAAAAACTCTTATCAATGTTTACGCAAAGCTACTACACTCTTACAACGGAGGTATAGAGCTCTAGTTCTGATGAGGGTTCAAAGATCAGAATACGCGAATCTTAAGTCTAGTTGTATAAAGATACAAAACGCGTTCAGAGCGTATGTCAAAGGAAAACGGCAAAGGGAATATTTTATTAAACAAAAAACGTCCGCTGTTGTAATCCAGAATTGGTTTAGAAGTTGCATGAAGGCAAAGGAAGTAAGACATAACTATACGCTAATGAGGAAATCTTGCGTTGCCATTCAGATATATTACAAAGCGTTCATAATTGGGCGGCAACAAAGACAGGAATATTTGAGAATTCGTGCGGCCACCGTTTGCATACAAAGATTTTACAGATCCTATTTAGAAATGAGAACAGTCAGGAAACAATATATACGACTTAAAACCGCTACAGTAATCGTACAGACATACTATAGGTCGTATTTGGAGACGAAGCTGCAAAGAGAGAAGTTCTTGAAATTGAGATCGGCTGCATCATTGATTGCCAAATACTATAGAAGCTCTAAAGAAGCTGAAGCGATACGAGAGAGATACAAGGTTTTGCGTGAAGCCACTGTTACAGTACAAAGAAGGTACAGAAGTCTCGTGCAGATGAGGAAACAAAGAGAACAGTATTTGAAATTAAAACAGGCCGTTAAAACAATAGAAACCCGGTATAGATCTTTGTTAACTATGAAGAAACAGAGAACAGCTTATTTGAAATTATGTTCCGCGGTGACAGTCATTCAAACAATGTACAGAGCTTGGCGTTCTATGGTCACAGAACGGAGAAGATATCAGTTACTACGAAAATCGTGCGTCTGTATACAGACACGTTACAGAGCTAATATTCAATGCAGAAATGATAGACGTAAATATTTGCATTACCGAAACTGCGCAATTGTGTTACAAAGAAGATATAGAGCTCAGTTGTTAATGAGAAAAACGAGATTTGACTACATTAGAATAAAAAAGGCTGCTATTGTGATTCAAACAAGATATAGAGCGTATAGACGCATGTTGGAACAACGACAGACCTATACCAGAATAATTGAGAGCTGCGTAAAAATTCAGAAGTACTATAGGGCCTTTTTAATTGGAAGACGTCAGAGAGAGGAATTTTTGCGTTTAAAAACCGCAGCGGTTTTGATTCAACGACGCTTCAGAGCAACAGTACAGTGCAGGGAGATCAGAAATGAATATTTAAGATTAAAGACTGCAGCTATATTTACGCAACGTCGTTTTCGTGCTAATAAAATTGCTTTTATCGCTAAGCGAAATGAAGCCGCTAATAAAATACGCAATTGGTACATCTCTATACTGGAGCGCAATAAGTGTCGTTCCGTTTTCTTGAAACTAAAAAAATCCGCTGTGGTCATTCAATCGTTTTTCCGTATGTATATAATGCGTAAGAAATACTTAGAGATTAAAGAATCGATTATAACCATTCAACGTTTTTATCGCTCCTATAAATTATCGATTATGGAGAGACAAAGATACGATAAAATAAGGCATGCAATAATAAAAACTCAATCGTGCGTCAGAAGGTACATTCAAAGGAGACGTTACTTAGAATTAAAAAGTGCAGCTGTGACCATCCAATCCGCATACAGGTTAAAGAGACACAGAGAACTGGTATATGAGAAAAGGAACACAGCAGCGATATGCATACAGAAACATACGAGACGGTATATCGCTCAGTCGTTTTATACCAAACTACGTAATAGTGCGATATTAATTCAGAAAATATGGAGAGGGAAACTACTTACAAGATTGATGCGCTGCAATTACTTACAGAAAAGGACTCTTATCATTAAATTCCAGGCTGTGATCAGAGGGTACCTGGTCAGAAAACAGGTTCGATTGCAAAAAGAAAATATTATAAGGATGCGTGAAATAGAGAGGCGTGATTGGGCAGCTTCTAGAATACAGGTAAGATCGATATAGTACGTAATTATGTATAACCAATATTATAATCGAGATATTTTGGAAATTTATAATATGTACGTAATTTATTTAATTTACTGAGTTCGCCCTCACAAAATACAACGATTCTATCCATTTTCAGATATGCATCTTTTTTTTAAATGTTTTTTGTTGGAGCTCATATGCTCATGTGAGGTATTTTATTTGAATATTTTACGTAATAATCCTTGTTTTTTACATAGGCTCTATTCCGAGGTCATAGAGTTCGTTTAGCTGTGGCTAACGATAGGCGAGTCACAGACTTGAGACGCCGGTGGCGAGAAGGTGCTCTTGTCTCTTACCAAGAAACTTTAAAAGAGCGAAACGAAGAAGCGATGGATGTGCTCCGTAATATGTGCGATATAGAGACTGTTATCAGAGCTTTCAGATCGCTTGGTGAGTATTCATTAAAATCTCAGGAGGAGCTTTTGCGCCTTGATTACTACTACTAATAATAATAATAAGTAAACATCAATATGCATCGGGATGTCGTTGCAATCGATAAGAGACTCACTACACCTCGGCTTATGGAAATTGGAAGAGGCTGAAGGTGGTGAGTAGTTCGCATCGCATAGCCTAGCGAAATGAAATAGTCAAGGAGTTACACTGTAGGTTCTACCGGATTCTCGCCGTATATTATCTAGACCAATTAGCTCCCGCAGCCTGGTTACGCTTCGGTAACGCCTTTAGAAGAACTGAAGATTTCGTTTATGCAATGATGGTCTATATTTTTTATGTTGTACCGTATGTTCCATGGGGAGTGCTCTGATGAATTGTTTGAGATGTTCCCCTCATCTCCTTTTTATCATCACACCTCCCGCCATCGGAGCAGAGTTCATCCATATTATTTGGAACCGCTGTGTTCATCGACAGTGCATTTCCAGAGGCCTTTTTTGCCACGTACCATTCGGCTATGGAATGAGCTCCCCTCCACGGTGTTTCCCGAGCGCTATGACATGCACTTCTTCAAAAGAGGCTTGTGGAGAGTATTAAGCGGTAGGCAGCGGCTTGGCTCTGCTGGATCTGCTCGGATCGTGAAAATAGTACTAATTATGTACAAGAAAGACTCTAGAACAGCGGTTCCCAAACTTATTTTGTCTACTGCCCCCTTTAAGAATAAATTATTTTTTAGCGCCTCCCTTTTTTTAACCTACTTAAAAACCACTATAGCGAGAACTCATACGGTGTCTAAGAGTCCTCCTAGATAAAATCAGAAAATCGCCTCCCAAGCCTCTACACAACGCCCCTATTTTATATCTGGGTGTCTTACCGCCCCCCTTTAGGCCTGCAGCGCCCACAAGGGGGCGTTATCGCCCACTTTGGGAAAGGTTGCTCTAAAAGCTTCATTCTTCTTCTTAATACTGATCCCAAAACGATTTTCATCAGAACTATTAACGGAGGTATTCCCGATGATGTACAACGAGAACGCGTCTTCGGTGGTGCGTCGCGTGTACGTGTACATGTCGGTCACGAACCGCTCCATCTCCAGCATAGAGGTGCTGAAGTCGGCGGCCGCGGTACTTGTTAATCTCACCCGGTACAGGGTTACTGGACCTAAAATATATGCCGTAAGTACAAGTGGACAATCATTGAACATCTATTCAGTAGAATTTATTACTGGTGGTAAGACCTCTTGTGAGTCCGCACGAGTAGGTACCACCACCCCGCCTATTTCTGTCGTGAAGCAGTAATGCGTTTGGGTTTGAAGGGTGGGGCAGCTGTTGTAACTATACTTGAGACCTTAGAACTTATATCTCGAGTTGGGTGGCGGCATTTACGTGGTAGATGTCTATGGGCTCCAGTAACCACTTAACACCAGTTGGGCTGTGAGCTCATCCACACATGGAAGCAATAAAAATAATAATAATAATTCAATAGAAAATTCTATACTATTAATTATTTGAGAGAACAGATCACCTTCAACGCTGGGGAATCCGTTTACGGATCGGTCGAGAGATTGAGAATTGAATTGAATGGATATCGATTGAGAAAAGGTCTAAATTAATAAAATTAAATTTTCAGGGCTATTTTGAAAACATATATTAATTGCTAAGATTGGCCGTCGAACTTACGATCCACCCGGTGTTCATTGATTACCGGAGCCCAAAGACATAAAATGTCGTCATTCACCTTGAGACGTGATTTATAAGTCTCAACTTTTACAGTACAAAGGCTGTCCCACCCTTCAAGCCGGAACGCTGACTGTTTCACGGCAGATATAGGCAGGGTGGTGGTAGCTGCCCGTATAGGTTCATAAGACGCCTCATCACTAGTAATTACGCACATTATAATTTTTGCGAGTCTGATGTTCATTACAATTTTAAAATTTGCTAAATACATATTTCATTAGAAAAATTGGTACTTACCTCCGGGAATACCGGCACAGTCTTATCGCTCAATACGAATGCACCGTGCCCTTTTCTTTAGGCCACGGTGACTTCATTGAAATTATGGTGATAAAATCCTTAATTAAGAGAAGAAACATTATTTTACAGAGAGATCGCATATCGCCAATATTGAAGTTCATGTGGAGATTTAGCAACAGTGAAACTCAATTGTTTTGCATACTTTCCTCTTATCTATGGCTTTTCGCTAAATACCAGGATGTGAAGAAGGTAATAATTTTTTTTACACCTAATTACGGTAACATAACTATGAGACGAATATATGCATGAATTTACCGTAACCTTTTTTACAGGATCTGACAGAATATTTTCACTTGCCCGAGAACCACAAAATGCTAAAGACCATCAAAGGGAACATCGATAGAATGAAACGTATGGCAACAAATACAATGAAGAACAAATATCACACACCACAACCGACTAGATTTGTCTCGCACACGTCCAATCAGTCTTTGAATCACAGCGTTTCCAGTAATAGCGGCTGTACGCACTTAGCGCCTGCCCTAGAACCTGATTACGGAATATTGAGAGCTGACAAACCTCGCTATTTTGAGGACGCACAGCACGCTATTCATTGCCTATTCCTCACATACAAATTGTGAATAATCTATGACTCTAGTTTATTGCATTATGTTAAACCTGCTTCTGTATAGATTAATCTAAAAAATTTATTATTATGAAATATTGTAATGTAAGGCATAAGGACTGATAAACTGCTCTTCAATGTTCATTGTAAATTGGTTACTTCTTTTTAAATACGCTGAAATAAAAGCGATGGAACTGTTTTAGATTAGTAGAAGGACTTCGAATGCGTGACGTCATTTGTGGGTATAATAAGCGACGGACTATCTACCAAATTAAAACTTAGGTAATGCAACGGTTAAATAGATTGATGTCGTAATTAAACGAAAATAAAGTAGTTTGTAGTATTTCATGCTATGAATATATAGACATATTTTTGTCTTAATGAACTATTATTCGTATTTGCGAACAGTATACAACTGGATCGATAATTTTCGTGTGAAATACGAATATTGACCAGTTTAATTATAAAACACTAAATGTGTAGAACAAACATGTTACAGCGTTCCAACAACCATTAATTACTCTCAAATGACATTTTATGCTGTTATTTTTGACATGAGGAGCAAAATAAACATTATATTTCATTAACGTACTAATATAAAAATAAATATAATATTAATTTTATTCAAATCTTTTCAATTCACTTTTGATGGTTTTGTGATTATAGTCTACTCGAGTTCTATAGTATACTATAGTTATATACTGTCAATTCTTGACTTTTAAAATAACCAAGTTTGAAAAGAAGCAGTGCCTAAACATCGTGAAACTTGTGACGCTGCCTACTTTATTAGTTTTATTAGCGTCGATGTGGACTCTACGACGTCGAATGGCTTTTAGTTTTGTTGACTTTAAATATTCTAATGACTCTTGATAGCTTTTCGACTTCGTGCATTACCTTTAGCGACTTCTCAGTTTACGATAGGACTAATGAAATAATTTAATATATATTTTATCCGTTGTAGAATTGTATCCATTTATCAAGCATTATGTTATTTAGTTAATACATTGTAAGTAACAATGGTCATTAAACTTTGAATAAAGACTCAAAAAATAATATATTTTCATTTCTAAACAAGTTATTTTTGTCATTGCTTTATCTTGTAAATAATCATTTATAGCATGAGCCGTTGGTGTCATCGCATTTTTCCCCTACCTAATCACCAGTAGCCTCTAGGGGCCGTTCCAGCTACGCATGGTTTGGATCGCTGAATCTACCATATCGGAATGTTGGCGATCCACCGAGAAGATCTCGCGAGAAACTCAGTGAGTTGTGTCTGTATTAAGTTTCAAACCGAACTCTTCGCTTCGATGAACACTATAGACAAAATAAAACAGTATTCGTAAATCCTTATATTCGAATTTATTCATAAACGGGATTGTCAAAATCGAGAACTCTGGTATGTAGATGAATAGTAAAAAGCGAATTAAACTAGAAACGTTAAAAGAAAACAAGGAAGCTGTAAGCACGTTATGATTTAAAAAAATATATTGACATTGACAATACAATGACGTTGATTCGCTTTTTCTTATTTGTCATCTACATCTAATTTGTCAAATGAATGAATTTTATGTTAGCTGAGCTTTCCAAAATATAAACAAGCGATTTAAATCGAAAAAATTAAGATTATTTGAAATGGACGAATTCGTAAACTATATTCTATTAATTTTAGTGATACTTCCAGTGGTATTATTCATCAATCTATGGGCCGGTATCGGCTGGGAATTGTTTGTTAACAATTAAAGGTGACCAGATAAGATTTTTGAGTTTACTTGCNTTTATGTTAGCTGAGCTTTCCAAAATATAAACAAGCGATTTAAATCGAAAAAATTAAGATTATTTGAAATGGACGAATTCGTAAACTATATTCTATTAATTTTAGTGATACTTCCAGTGGTATTATTCATCAATCTATGGGCCGGTATCGGCTGGGAATTGTTTGTTAACAATTAAAGGTGACCAGATAAGATTTTTGAGTTTACTTGTATGATCTAATTTTTTTTTCGTTCATAATGAATTTAAAAATAAAGGCTGAATCATTCAAACAGTTTTTATTGTCTTCGACGAGAGATGTGTGTACGGCCCATCACAAATGGTTCCTATCACTCATGAACAATAGCAATATCAGAGATACAGCCAAACTGCTACACACCTCTGGAGACTCTTTAAGTAATTTAATTTGAAGAAGGACATATTATAGGGCTCAGGAAAACCTGGATGTAGGTGCAACTATGCTGAAGCTAAATGGTTGTACCAATTCTATTATCTGAAAATCAAGAATAGATTCTACTTTGGTGTTGGGTGACAGAAATCTCAGGGTTTTAGCCTTAGATTTTACAGTATCAAGCTTTAATAGAACCAAAGCTCTGAAGATCTTGAGAATCCCAATTTTTTTTTTGTTCTTGCTAATTTGTCAATTGACATTGTTATTTGACATATGGTGAGCCTAACCTTGTAGGTACTAGCAGCCTGCGAAAATCTACCGCAAAGCAGATTGAAAAGTAGGATAGCGGTTCTATTCATAGAATTCAGAGATTCTTATATCACAATGTGGGCATTTTGATATCTATAGACTAATAATCGCTCAACATTAGGTGCACCTAATAATCTACCAATATTAGGTACCAATATTTTATAAGTCGTCATGGCCTAAAGGATAAGACGTCCGGCGTTCGAATCGCAGGCAAGTACCAATTTTTCTGATGAAATACGTACTTAACAAATGTTCACGATTGACTTCCGCGGTGAAGGAATAACATCGTGTAATAAAAGTCAAACCGCAAAATTATAATTTGCGTAATCACTGGTGGTAGGACCTTTTATGAGTCCGCAAGGGTAGGTACCACTACCCTGCCTATTTCTGCCGTGAAGCAGTAATGTGTTTCGGCTTGAAGGGTGGGGCAGCCATTGTAACTATACTGAGACCTTAGAACTTATATCTCAAGGTGGGTGGCGCATTTACGTTGTAGATGTCTATGGGCTCCAGTAACCACTTAACACCAGTTGGGCTGTGAGCTCGTCCACCCATCTAACAAACAAAAAAAAGGTTAAAAAAATTATTGACAGAACAGTTTTAACTAAAAAGGTAGGTAGGTAATGAAATTTAAATATATCACAAAGTTTATTCCCTTAAACATGTCAATATATTATTCTTATAAAAAATATCACTTTAGGTTTAACCATGTTATACAGATTTTTGTTATTAAACTTAAAATAGTATATGATTAAAATATGATAATATATGATTAAAAAATAAATTACTAATTTTAAAAATCACAATTAAGTCCAAGAAAGAAGATAAATTAAACCTTCAATAATATATTCACTTTGATATTTTCTAAGTACATTTCATTTTAATGATTCAAAATTGTTATGAGAAAAAATGTAAAATATATTCTAAACTTCAATTGCAAGTTGTAGACTTAATTAGAACTACTTTTATGGTTTTCATGGTGATGAACAATAGTTGAAGCACTCGAAACATAAGAGATAATAAATTGAAACTAATATGTTAAACTGCAAAAGGAGTTTTAATTAGGTCTACAATCTTTGAAATTTAAATAAAATGTAATCTAAACAAAATTCTCGATTTGTTTCAAAATTCTACAAATACAATCAATCTAAGGAGCCCAATTTAAGTTTTCCAAAATTTTTATACGCAAAAATAAATGAAATAAAATTAACAGTATTTAATTTTATTGTAAGTAATTAAGTGTAATTAATTTGATCTAGTGAAGCGAGATCGAGAGAAAATGAATAAAATATATCCTCAGGAAGAATTGTATTGATTATGATAAATTTTCAAAACTGTTATAAAGGTATAATATAAGGCCTAATATAAAGACAAGAAGACAACAAAAAATTAAGGAAAATAATTGAAATGTATAGGAAAAAGAATATTTACAATAAAAAAACTCTAAATCCTACCTAAAGTGCTTGAACTGTCTCTAGAATTCCACGGCGATGCAAAAATTTAAAACAGTTTATAGGAATGCCCTTAGCAACATTGCTTCAGGTTTTACCTAAAAAATGTTTTGATGTAATTTTCCTAAAAGTTTTTTTTTGGGGTACATAATATATAGTTGTTTTCTCATGTTTATCAAATTATAAAAACTAGATTACTAAAAAAATTAATCAAACTCATTACATTATTTATTAATTAAAATGATTTTAAACAAAATACTTTTTAAGAAAATTTAATACTCATTGTGATGCAAAAAAAATAGGAAAATTTCTAAGAGAATAGTACATCAACAGTAATATGTTTTATCACTTCATTACTCTTTGGAGATATGGCAGTCCATAGTAATACGATATTACATCTACCTATCTGTGTTCTAAACAATAAAAGTTAAATTTCACTAGAGAGCACCAACTCCTCCATTCCCATATGTCCTCGATGTCTCCATACTCGGTACCGAGCGATATCTTTCCGAGTGACTATACCAACAACCTGTTTGAAAAATTCAAAGTTATAAAAATATTTTTTGGAGAGCGAAGTTCCTTATGGGATGATGCGGGGGGGTACCCTAACCGGGAAAAAAACGTCCGTAACGTAAGATTTTTATAATAATGCGCACATTGTACAATAACTTAACTTTGTAATAACGTACAAATTAGTAATACACACAGTGTACGACTTAACTTTATAATAACGTACAAAAAAGAACATTTTTTTATCATTCATTTACCACGATCTCAGAGTGTTCATTTGCGCAATACACTAACTCTTATGCAAACAACCGTGAATGAAGTATACCACAATAAGTTCGCACGTTACCGTATGACCGTGGGTTGTTGCGAAACATCCAGTTTTATTTTCTTTATACCTCGAATAGAACTTAAAATTAATATTTTTATAATAAGGAACTTCGTTCCTATCCGGTGTCCCAGATTACCCCACCCCTTTTTTTGTTTTATTCCTACATAATTACCACAGTAAAATGTTAATTGGCAAGTTGTCTGCAGCCTAGACGCTGTGGGATGCCACACTTTGAAACCACAATTGCATCTCGTTCCAGGAATTGATTGCAATGCCAATAAATAAAAATTTGCTTCCGTTTCGTATCGCCCGGGACCGGACCGCATGAGGCTTTACGGCGGAAGTATGACTGCGAGAGCAATTCGTGCAGGACTCTACACTTCTAAGTCATAATAGTTCAACAATTTTCTTTTCCCTACCCATGAGCTGGTAGCCTAAGGGTTATTTCAGCTACACCCAGACATTTAGGTGAGCTCACAGCCTCAACCTGAGAGAATTTGCTAACACTAGCCCTAGCATGAGCAGTGCTTTATAGAATCTACTATCGGATCGGATTCATAACCTACTGAGAAGATCCAGAGAGAAACTCAGTGAGCTGTGTCTATAGATTAAACAAACTAAAACTGTAAGATTCAATAATATCCAAGACTAGTATTTATAAAGTACTAGTGACCCGCTCCGGCTCCGCTCGGGTCTTTAACAAAAATTTCAAGGATATTTGACGTTGTTTTATTTTTTTAAATAAAAGAACGCTTATTGCGGCCTAACTATAATAGACATATTATTATGCTGTCGCGACACTTTTTGTAAATAATAATGTGTTCTACAAAGTTGTAGTACATTATTTTATTCTATCATGAATAGTTTTCGCAGGGCACGCGTTGTAAAGAATATTTTAGGTATTTTTTTTTACACCTTGGGTTACATTATTGGAGTTTTAGTAAGGATCCCTAAATTTTTTCAAAAAAGATTATAGCCTATGACACTCGGGAATAGTGTAGCTTCCAAACAGTGAAAGAATTTTTCAAATCGGTTCAGTAGTTTCGGAGCCTATTCAATACAAAAAACAAACAAATCTTTCCTCTATATAATACTAGCTGACCCGGCAAACGTTGTGTTGCCTTAAATAAGATTTCTAGGGAAATTCTACTGTAGAAAAAAAAACCTCATTTAACCACATAATACCTCATTGTAAACAAAAAAAAATATCCAAAAAATTAAAATAAAAAATAAATGTTTGGGGTCGACAACCCTTTTCACTTAGGGGTATGAAAAATAGATAGTAGCCGACTCTCAGACCTACTGAACATACTATTGATACACAAATAAAACCAAAAAACNGGCTCCCCATTCGTCAACGCCGTAGCTTGCGTGCTCTCAGTACTCTTTACTCTTTGTTGCACTCCCCAAATCCACCTGCTTATTTAACTACTTCCTTTCAATACTTAGGGTCTGACCACAGCCGAAATCTTCGTTCATCTCACAATCTTCTTCTTCGCTGTCCTCCACATAGTTCTGACTTTTTACACTCTTCATTCACAACTCAGTCTATTCTTCTATGGAATGCGCTCCCACTCAAAATAAGGTCGGCCACTACACGTGAAGCGTTTAAGACGAAGGTTCGAGAACTGTTTCTCAGAGAGTTAGCAGAGTCATCTAATTGATAATATTTGTTTATATATGTTTTTATATGTATATATTTATGATACGTATATGTATATATTTATGTATATGTATTTATTTAATTACGAGTATTTGTATCTATAAATATTATGTATGTTATATATACACATATTATTATGTTTCAGTAATAACACCTTCACACTACACCTACCAAGCTTCATCTCTGCACTCCCCTAAGGCAGACTGTTAGAGAATGCCTATGGCATTAAGTCCGCCTTTATACTTTATAGTATAAGAAGTTATAAATAAATAAATAAAATTATACAAGTATAAAATACAATCATAATAGTGTACAAACTTACAATTCCAATTAATTATAGTCGAATTTCGACTACTGCGGGACCTCTAGTTAAAAATTAATTGATAAATAAATGTTTTGATTATGTGATACTCACCTCATCTATAGACGGGAATCGTGGATATTCCTTCCTGAACATGTCCATGTCCACCTGGAAATTCGACCACGTCGTGTTCGCGTTTTCATTGTATATTTTATTCTGCAACAGCACTATCAACTGGGAGCGCAGTATCAGTCCACGAAGACGTTTGTATGTCGTTACTTCGGACTGAAACAGATAAGCGATTGTAATTTCCCCGTAGACACAGCCCACTGAGTTTTTGCCGGATCTTCTCAGTGGGTCGCGTTTCCGATCCGGTGGTAGATTCTGCGAAGCATTGCTCTCGCTAGGACCAGTGTTAGCAACACTTCCGGTTTGAGCCCCGTGTGCTCACCTACACGTCAAGCTGAAATAGCCTCTCAAGGCTATCAACATAGGTAGGAAAAAAACTTGTGTATTTGCATTAGACAAGAATTGTGTTCCAAAAACAATGATAGTAAGTGACAGACTCAATCACCCCCGTAAAGATTAACCTAAACTTACATCATCAGCGAGGGGCGGGTCAACGACCGGGAACCCATTGTAGGAAACCAGCTTAAGTATCTCGACGATGTGACCAACGTTCTCGACCGTTCGCAACGTGAACACCGGATGCGACATTACTTCGGACGCGTACACGTTGTGCGCCAACGGAGGCGGCTCCCACGGCAACAGCGGCACGCCCGCCAGCTGGATATATATATCGTAGATACCCTGAACGCAACATCAATAGTTAATTTTATATATAGATATCGACGCTTGAAAGGCAAACGTGACTAAGCGACAATGCGTGAACTTTACAGTAGACTAATTTAAAGTTGAAATACTTGAAAACAAAATTTATTTTAACGAATCTAGCTGTAGTACGTTTGCCTTTCAAGCAAAACATATTATGTTAGAGGAAGTCTGAAAGTGGCACCTGTGACAGAGAAGCTGAGAAGTACGCGTTTGAGATGGTATGGACATGTGATGAGACGAAATGAAAATGAGTTTGGTAAGAGAGTGTTAACTATGAATGTGGAAGGATATAGAGGAAGAGGTAGACCTAAGAAGAAATGGATGGATTGCGTGAAAGACGATATGGGTAAGAGGGGAGTGAGCGAAGAAATGGTATATGATAGAAGAGTATGGAAGGAGAAAACATGCTGCGCCGACCCCTGGCAACTGGGAGAAGGGCAGGAGAATGATGATATATCTTTTTCATCTATAATAAACAAGTCGTCGTGGCCTAAAGGATGAAACGTCCGGTGCATTCGTATCTAACGATGCAACGGTGTTCGAATACCGCAGGCAGATGCCAATTTTTCTAATGAAGTACGTACTTAACAAACGTTCAGGATCGACTTCCACGGTGAATGAATAATATCGTGTAATAAAAATCAAACACGCAAAATTATAATTTGCGTAATTAGTGGTGGTAGGACCTCTTGTGAGTCCGCGTGGGTAGGTGCCACCGGCCTTCCTATTTCTGCCGTGAAGCAGTAATGCGTTTCGGTTTGAAGGGCGGGGCAGCGGTCCTAACTATACTGAGACCTTAAAACTTATATCTCAAGGTGAGTGGCGCATTTACGTTGTAGATGTCTATGGGCTCCAGTAACCACTTAACACCAGATGGGCTGTGAGATCGTTCTTTTTCATCTAGGTATATTAAACAAAATTTAATTAAAAAACTATTTAGATATGTACTTCGAACATAATATCTGTATGTACATACTCGCTCATATAAGGAGATGTGTATTTGCGAGTATATTGTGTGCAGACTCTGAAACGATTGGAAGGACATCAGTGAAATTTTAGGTAATCTTCAGACTGACAAGTACTACTTTTTTATCAAGTATCACTTTTTTACTATTTTCATTATGTAGATATATTTATATTTATCATCATTATCATACTCTGGTAATCAGGACAAGCTAAGAGAATTAAAAAGCAGCTGCTAAAAAGGAGTCAATTGAGGTGGTGCCATAGTAGCAAGCGGAAGGTTTTTAAAAACAGCGCCACAAACTATTAAAGGAATGAATAAACACTTTCTACATAAATAGTAATAAAAATAATTGAGGTTTTTAAGTACTGCAATTTTTTTTTTAATTTATTGCTTAGATGATTGGACGAGCTCACAGCCCACCTGGTGTTAAGTGGTTACTTGAGCCCATAGACATCCACAACGTAAATGCGCCACCCACCTTGAGATATAAGTTCTAAGGTCTCAAGTATAGTTACTTAGTTAGTTTAATTACACTTCTCTCTCTCTCTTCGTTTAAAACAAGTCTATATTTTAAACATTTCCATTTCCTACACTAGCGCTACAGGTGGACACTTTTTCAATTTGTCCCCTATACTAGACGGTCCTTACTTCTACCCTCCATAGCTTTACGAAAAGGAAACAAAAATGTTGACTTACTTCATTGAAGAAATCGCCTATCCATTTGGCCACGACCAGCGTGATGATGATGGGTAGGGCGTTTGATATCTGTCCCGTTGTCTCTATAATAATGACCGTTAATGATATCGTCATCCGTACGACGCCTCCCAGTTGAGCGGCCGCACCGACCAGCGCGTACTTGGCTGGGTTAATAGTCTAAAAAATACAAAGTAATCTAATCCTCTTTTAAGTAACTTATTGCTCTAGCATGATGTACATCGCAGCATATACATATCCGCTGCCTATTGTAAAATATTAAATATGTCTTGTTTTACCTTGGTTGAGCTGGACTTGTTTGGATGAAATTAGTATTGATTAATTACGGTAACCTGGTATCGGCATGTGGGCAATAGACTTACGTAAGATAGCTAGGGCAGATAACCACAATAGTAGTTCAATTTCGTTTAAAAAAAAAACTCAATAGAATTGAACGTCTTCAAGGTGTAAAATGTATAACAGAATAAAGAGACCTTACAGCTTATATTTTAAGGAAAGGCTTATTTTTTCCTTGTTTAAAAACAATAATTTTCAGACTGGTCACCCCTATCGGTAAGATGGTATGTTAATATATTACATACATAACTTTTCTCTATTTGTAATACCTGTTCGTAGCAATTGATACAATTATTTTATCATGTCATCCATAACGACAGTAAATATCCTATTACAAACTCTTTGGGAATGTAACAGAGCATTGGTACAATATTTTTTTTCCACAGACTATAAAACCAGAACACATACAGGATAGAAAATTCGAAAAAAAAAACAAATTTGACCAACATACCTTGGAAGGTAGCATGTACTGTATGGATATAGCGAGCAATCTTCCCCAAGCGGCGCCGGTCAGCAGGTTCGGTATGAACAAGCCGCTGGAAACGGCCAGACCGAACGTCCACGTCGAGAGCAGGAAGTAGCACACGACGAACACTAGTATAGACCAGGGCTTGTACGAGCCCATCGGGTCGTGGAGGAACGATCGCACCGACGCTTCGGGCGTTTGGAACCATATCGCGGCTAGCGCGTTGTACTCGCCGTCTTCGCAGTATAACTGTACAAATCGTGTTTTGATTAACGATAGGGTAATTTTACCAAGCGTTCTCTGTATCTACTAGACAAAGCTCGACAAATTAAAGCATTCTGAAACGAAATAAATAAAATAGTTCTTTTTTTAAATCCTACCTAAGCTGATAGCCTTGAGAGGATATTTCAGCGTAACCTGAACTAGTAGGTAACACGAACTCTAGCAAGAGCCGTGCTTCGCAGAATCTACTGCCGGATCGGAAACGCGACCCACTGAGAAGATCCGGCGAGAAACTCAGTGGGCTAGTTTTGTGTTGTTCAGTTGGAGCACCGGGTAATTGAATACTCCAGAGGGTCCCACAAACAAGTTCGAAAAGGAATGGCGGCGAGTAGCGAGCGAGGCGCGGGCGTGGGTTCGGTGGGTGCGGATGAACCATAGATAATACACTTAATATGCCGGCGTCCGAAAAGCGCGCGTGAGGCGTGCTAAAAGGGAAACTCCTCGCTCAATACTCTTTGAATCGCGCCGGGAGCCGACAACGACAGCCCTTGACTGGTCGCGGCAGGCGTTTGGGTTGCTATAATAGTTAAATATTCGTTTTTTTATTGCTTTTGTAGGCAGACGAGCATACGGCCCACCGGATGGTAAGTGGTCACCGTCGCTCATGGACGTCAGCAATGCCAGGGGCAGAGCCAAGCCGCTGCCTACCATTAAGTAATCTCCGCAAGCCTCGTTTGAAGGACATGTTATAGCGCTCGGAAAACACCGCGGAGGGGAGTTCATTCCAAAGCCGGATGGTACGTACGTTTTTGTATGAGCTACGTACATATTCGCGATAAAATAATTTAGCACTTATAACGCAGACATAATATGAAATCAACAAACTAGACTTAAATTCGATTCAATAGCAATACTTTTACCGGCCGTTTTGTGGTATAATTTTTAGAAATTAGTCTTTAAATTAATTAATTCACGTCTTTGATAGATGATCATTAATTTATGAGGTTTCTTTATTTATTTATATTTGAGTTATTGTTCGGCATTTACGTCAGAATAAGTTATTAAATTCTTATAACGACTTTTGGTAACGAAAAGTAATATCGCATTGAGACGTTGCGTTTATTATTAAGTAAAATTCGATAAATGAATTAAAATCGCAATTATGACAACTTTTACGGTTGAATCTTGCGTTTTGATTGTAATAAAAAATAAAAGAAAGAACAAATATTAGACAAGGCAAAAGATAGCTTTGCATGTGTGGCCACGAAACCGTACGTAATAATCGCTGTCATTGTAATTAGGACATCATAAAATAGAAAGAGACAACATCAGAAGAAAAGAGTAAACACACCTGTAAGGGTACGTTTGTAGGGTCCTCCCCGAGGGGACGACAGTCGTCGAGTAAGAACATCATCAGAAAACCGCAGGTCGCGCTCGCCGCAGCCACCAGGCACGCTTCCACAACCCGCAACCACGGGGCACATATGTATCTAAACAACATGAAACACCATAAACGATGACATTCAAAAACCGAATTCCGACTGTCTAATAAATTCTAGAATATTCTAGATGAAGAGATTCAACCCGTCAATACCAGTGCTGCTTTTGGTGGGTACATACGTCTATCGAATGTTCCCGGTCACCGTCCTCGTCGAAACCGTCGCTTGCGACGAAGGGCTCGACGAGCGAATTAACCCATAGACACAGCCCACTGAGTTTCTCGCCGGATCTTCTCAGTGGGTGGCGTTTCCGATCCGGTGGTAGATTTTGCGAAGCACTGCTCTTGCTAGGGTCAGTGTTAGCAACAGTCACGTTTGAGCCCCGTGAGCTCACCTACACACGCTAGGGTGAAGCTGAAATAGCCTCTCAAGGCTATCAGCATAGGTAGGGAGAAAATAATCGATAGTAGTCCAGTAGGTAGGAGTATGCGGTGACCCTTTGATGACTAGCTACAGAAATGAAGAGATTTTCTAACGAATCATCATCATGTGTTAAGGAAAGTGAATCTTCTAGCTTGCTCGTAGCTTGTCTCCCACGTGTGCTATTGCTACGAACCGCAAGCTGCCATTTTGATTTGCCACCCCAGTTTTTGACGTTTATGAAATATTCGTCAATTGTCATTCACTGAGCAAGCACCTAAGCATTTGGTTCAGAAAATTTTCAAAATCAGTGAATTCCGACCTTATGCACTCGAATTGCTAACGGAATGTATAGAAGTTTTTCATGTAAAATGTAATATGATATAATTCCTAAATAGCACATCGTAAGTGAACAAACTTCTCATGACTCACCGAAGTCGAGACCAATAAGTTCTGAATCTTAGTACCTACGTCTATCACTCACTTTAGAGAAAAAACCTAGAGAGTCAGGACAAGACCTTCGCTAGTGGTAGGACGTCTTGTGAGCCCGCACAAGTAGATACCACCACCCTGCCTATTTTTGTCGTGAAGTTTTTGAAGGGTGGGGCAGCCGTTATACTGTAAAAACTGATATTTAGAACTCATGCCTCGAGGTGGGTGGCGGCATTTACGTTCGGGTAACTACTTAACACCGGATGGGCCGTAAGCCTGTCCACCAATCTAAGCAAAGGAACATTAAATAACTGAAATATTATGTTAATATGGTAGTATAATAAAATTTAATTTCATGTTCATTTTGCACAATTCACGATTTCCGACGTTCCGAATACCTTGGTTGTTGGTCAATTAAGGTGCTTTGTTTTTGTTCCTACCTAACCTGATAGCCTTGAGAGGCTTTGTCAGCGTAACCCTAATAAGTAAGTGAGCTCGAGGGTCTTAAATCTGACGACGTTGCTAACACTAACCCCAGCAAGAGCGGTACTTCGCAGAATTTACCACCGGATCGGAAACGCGACCCACTGAGAAAATCCGACGAGAAACTCAGTGGGCAGCGTCTGTAGGTAAGGGAATTTTTTTCAATGAGTTACTAGTAATGTTTACCTTATTCTAAACACCGACAATTTGTAGTTGAGAAAATTCCACAAGGCCCCCAAAAGGCCTCCGACCACACCGAAGAGCATAAATACTGGCAACTCGTAAAATTGAAATGGGAATGGTTCCATTTTACCCAGATTTAAAAGACCTGAAATCATTTAGGAATTATCAATCGGTTCTGTCTAATCAGACAACAGAGACAGGCATAATATTGCAATCATAATAATTTTTAACGGTCGATCGAAGACGCGGTTCATTTATAGCATAGGTATGCGTGTTTTATCAAGTGCATTCGTTTATTTGGTCCCAACTTGTTCCTGATACTTTACCTGGATAGCTGAGCTCGCCCGGGTGGCCGTGGTAAGCCGACAAAGCGCAGTTCAAAGTAAATGTGGATACGACCGTCCCAAAAAACGTTCGCCATGTCAGAGCCTGATTCCAAAAACTAGTGCCTTCTTCTAATGAAAATAACACACCGCCTGAAATTGTTAGACTTATTTATTTTATATACAGTTATTTCCTTGGATCGTTGTTAAAATCTATTAAACTTTACTTTTTGGAGGTTGTGATCCCTAGTGTAACGTCTGCTTTAGAGTTGTTACTAGTCGCATCGACTGAATAAAATAATCGTTTTGTTGTTGTCATACCTATAGGGGCTCCAAAAGCAGCGGAAACCCCAGCCGCCGCTCCAGCGGAAACGAAATCCCTCTTCTCGTGATCCTCGCGGAAATACTGAAATATCTTGAAGTCTTTATTGAACGTCGTGCTCTTTCCTTGAGATATTCCCGCCGCCACAACCGAACCGCTGTGGATCATTGGACCTTCCTGTAAAATAACATAAGCTTTTGTCCTTGACTTTTTCAAAATAAGTAATTTCATTTTGTTGATCAAATAAAGACACTATATACCTAACGATGTCTTAATCGCGATTACATAACATCACATACATACAAGAGCTGAAAACATTTCAGTTTTACTGTGTGATAGAAACATACAATTAAACTAGCGAAACAAAGGGTAAATAACTAATTGGAGACATGATAATTCACACGCGGCCCCAAACTAAGATTCCCTGTCCTGTGAGAACCAGAAATGTATATAAATACTCCAAGATTAAACACAAAGATAAAGAGCAAACAAATCTGTTCTCATACGAGCGTGTGCCCGATATGGAATCGAATTTACGACACGTCCAATAAAAAAATAAAAAAAAACTCAACACATCAGTCAGGGTCTCTTCAATCAAATGTCTTGTGGCGGGTAGCCATCATACAACGCAAGATAATTGACAGATGCCTGAATCTCGCTTACGACATTTTCAAGATAAAGCGCATATATACAAGTTCCGAACAACAACATTCGGACCGTCGCGTCGGTCTACCGAGCAAATATTACCCGCTCGGTGGAAGATCTTCCCTTTGTCGTCTAAGCCTTCCCAAAGTCTTGCTATTTTCACTCCAAAATATATTAAATGAAATATTGAATACCTTTCCTCCCGCAAGACCACCAACAACTGCTGTTATGACACCTACGGCTTTTACAATAAGGGTTTTAATCCTTACTACTCTAGGTACTTTAACTCCGTTCAGGTAACATTTTACTTGTGGTATGCCACTTCCTGCTGCCACTGGCTGAAAATATATTTTTAACGTTCATTATACAGATCGAAACAACGAATGAAGAAAGACAAAGTTAAATTAATGGAATTTTATATGAGAGATCCAACCGCATGGTAACTTTAAATATAATTTTAAATAATCAGGCAGTTAGGTTTGGATTTAGAAAAAAAAATTCTTACCTCAACATATGCAACAAGCATTGATCCAATAAACACAATACATATATTCGATAAAACCCATAATAAATATGGGATGTATAGTTTGTCTTGCAAGACATATTTATCAACAGCTGTTTACAAGTTCAGGAAATTATTTTTAATAATAATAATAAAATTTTGACTTTTTTCTGAAAAAAGCTTCTTCTACTCGTGAGACTAATAAGAAAGGTAATAGACATAAAAAAAATCGATTAATTCTATTTCGTTCACTACTTGTGTTTTTTTTTGTAATTAATTATTATACTAATACATAATTGATAAAGCTATATTATAATATTTCTTTTTTTGCTCTAATAAAGAATAAAAAAAAATTATATTATAATATAGCTTTATCAATTATGTCAAAGAAGAATACATCACACACATAAAAAAAATTGAAAGCTCAAATATCTTTTGAGACATTATTGATTTCAGTATTGATCATTTCTTAATGTAAAATAATGAGTGATGTGAACGCTCTCAAAGATTAATCTGAACTTAAGTAATATTTTCATATATATTTTTTTACTTAGCTAGGTGGAGGAGTTTACGGCTCACCAGGTGTTAAGTGGTTACCAGCGGCCCATAGACATCAACAACATATATGCCGCCACCCATCTTGAGACATGAGTTTTAAAGACTCCCAGTTTTTACAGTACAATAGCTGCCCTACCCTTCAAACTGAATGCATTAGTGTTTGACGGTAGAAATAGGTAGGGCGGTGGTACCTACCCGTGCGTACTCACGAGACGTCCTAACACGTGTAATAACGCAAATTATATTTTTTTATGAATTAATTTTTATTACACTATGTTATTCCTTCACTGTGGAAGGACATATAAGTTCTAATATTACGATAGGTAGTTTGCTGTATACACCATGGGGAACCATTTGTGTCTATAAATTTTAATTATTTTACTTAGGGTACAATGTACAAACTTTTCATAAAATCTCACTTTTATTATAAGGTGAAGGGGCTATCGCTTTTTTTGACATCTATTAACACCTGTTTATTTTCGATGTTTTATTAAAAAAAATTTTTTAATTTATTCTATATTATAAAGGATACATTTCTTGAGGGCTTTATATTTGATATTTGAGAATTCTTCAATGCAAATATCAATGAAAAATGCTATCAGCGCTGTGATAATACCAATCAACAAAATTATAAACCATCTCAATATATCCTTCCAAACTATAAATGGATATCCACGTTTTCGTTCTTCATCTAGGAGTAGATGATTTTCACAGGTGTCATAATCTAAGCTCTGGAAAGTAGGAAAGTAAAAACATGGATTTTCAGCAAATTGCACAAATACAAATGGAATTGAATTTTTAGTTTTGTTCCAGTTTTTATATTATAAAACCTTCTTACTTCATATTTAGCTGATAACACATTCAATGAGCCTGGTTCAATCTTTTGAACAATATTCCTCCGTCGGACTCCATGACTACCCTGTAATTCATTTTCATCAGAATCCTGAAAATGAAACAAAAAAAAAACATTCTTCACAACTATGTATATGACAATACTCAATTTTGCCATTGCCATTTAGATGGTGAAGTAGCTAAATATACTTAATGGTATTTTTATTTTTAGCATTTAACATAAAGTATGAATACAGCACATCACTAAATAAAGATCAATATTCTAACAGAATATTTTATATTGTTAACATATAATCAAAGGAAAATATACTTCATTTAAATTAGAGAAAATATAACAATTTAAACTTAGCTAAAAACTCTAAAAGTCTATGATCATTAACAGCACTTGGATTTCTTGTATACCTATTTGAAATTTCAACCTTCTAGCCAAGGTAATAAGACATAAAATAGTGTCAGCATCATAGTCGGTTACTCTTGGCAGAGCAGTTATGTGGAATTCTGGTTTATTAAAGCCTTGACAGATGTTCTCCACAGTTTGCGAACTGAGGCTTGGCGCACGCATTCGTTAAGTGGGGTTTTAGTAAGGTCTTTCCCCTGATCAGTCCAGCACAGGGCGCTTCGTCCACGAGATTTTTTATCATTAACCCTACCCAGAACAACAAGTTTCTCGATAAATAAGAATAGTCTATAGTGTATTAAATTTTATCAAACTCATGCAAATCATAGACATAATTAATATGTTTAACATCAGACTAGAAAGCATGTTTAGCCCAGAGAGCCAGTGTGGGACACCCTGTGACACCTTGTGTCTGAAATTTAATATCTCTCAGAAAGGAATGAGTAGTCAGTGCTTTCATGAGTCTTCCTTTTTTTTAAGTTATTTCTTAATAATATTTGTGAAAAAACACCTCAATGATTTTAAGTAATTACTGGAGCCCATAGACATCTATAACGTAAATGCCGCAATCCCACCCTTTAAACCGAAACGCATTAGTGCTTCAAGGCAGAAATAGGCGGGGTGGTGGTACCTACCCACGTGGATTCACAAGATGTCCTACCAAGAGTAATTACGCAAACTATAATTTCGTGGCATTGATTTTTTATTACATTATGCTATTTATTACACTGTGGAAGTCAATCCTAAGCTTTTGTTAAATACATATTTCATTAGAAAAATTGAATCATAAAAGTAATTTTATTTATATATTTATATTGCTCTGTAAACAAAGGAATGACATTTAAAATTTATTGTTTTCATTATTTTTCAGAATTTATATTACTGAATTTTTAATACTTAAGCGACAGAACAAAATCTTTTAAATTTATGAACAAAATATTTTTTATATTTTGGCAGAAAAACCCTTTAGTACCCTTTTGCCTATTTGTGAATTTTCTTTTACTTTGTTTAGTAAACTAATAAGACACAATGAACTTTTTTCTATTAATAAAAATTTTGAACCATTTTCTTCCTGCTGTTATAAAAAAAAATTCAATAACAAAGCATATCCTACATTGAATCTGAATCTTAGAGTGTGCATTTCTTTTTCTATCTTATTGTTGGTAGCCAAGGGGCTATTCCAACCAACAACAGACTGGTGAGTTCACTGGGCTCAACCTAAGTGAACTGCTGACACTAGACACACTAGCACCAGCAGTGCTTAGCTGAATCTACCACCAATCGGAATTACAAGAAACTCAGTGCATTGTCTCAATCAGTAATTATAGTCTATTGAGTAAACATTAATAATTAAATAACAATAACGAATATCACTTTTTCACATTATTTTTATTTTTGTCTCCCTGAATTTATTAGCTTGTACAGCAGACACAGGACAACTTCTTACAACATAATAAGTTGGAGTTTGAATATAAATGTAATGGCAGGCAACGCTTGATACATGATTACAGATTTCATGATTACCGATATTAGAATTATTTTAAATGTTTAAAAAACAGATGATTGTCTTCTCGTAAGAAAAAGTCACGACTTCTCATCTAGACACGGTCAGAGAAACATGTAAGAGTTTTATAAAAATATAAAGATAATAATTTTATAATGGTGTAACAGTGTTCAAACTATCTGCAATATAATTATAATGAAGCAGTGTGTTTTTAAATAGCCCCTTATCACCTACAGAACCCAATCCCCTCAAAATTAACGGTCCAACTTATTATTTGAATTACACTTTGAAATGTCATTCACAAACATTTGACTAGATGTATCGCAAACAGTTTAATACCCATATTTATACTATGACTGTAATATTGGATTATTTTCATAAGTACGAACACCTACCTCGTGATCTGGTTTATTTAATTCTGTGTAATTTGAGGAACTTGGTTCTTCATTGGCAACAAGTTGGGCAGTTTCCGATGTTGTTTCGGAAATTATTTCATCAGTATCGGATAAATGAGTATTTTTACTCATTTTTCCTTACGCTATCACTAATTTACAATCAATGTCTCTAAATAATGAACGAAGATTTGTTTTTAGTTTTTAGACACTGACTAAAACAGTTTCACTTCGTCATGAGTTGTTGAATATCATCATTAAGTAGGCGATACACATAACAATAATCTAAGTCTATTAAAAATTGTAATTTACAATAGATATACGTTTCTGTGGGCGTTCTTTGTTTAATTTTACAGTGCATATTGCATTCCATCCATGATAATATTTTGAAAACTGACATAGAAAAACTTCTTATGTCAAACCGTCACAATGTGTCAACGTCAGCGCGTTGCATGTTTCGGCAAAACGGCACAGGCAAAATTTCTTATTAAAGGCTTATTACACTTGGCTAAATTTAGTCGACTGAATTCAGTCGCTACTTAATTCAGTGAAGTGTAATAGCATTCAGTAAGCTAGCATACTAAATTAATTAGAAAGGATGGTTTCTGGCTGACTAAATCATTTAGAAGCCTAATTAGAAACACATTTAGGAAGGTCTAATCGCATTTAGTTACTTAATGATTTCAGTCGTCCCATAGCTCTCCGTGGGTAAGGACGGTTTAGTTTGTTTTTTACTTCTGAATAAAAAGTATTTATTTCAGTCACCTTTATTTAATGTGCCAGACATTAATAAATAGCCCGAAATGTTTCAGAGATATTTTTTGTCAGCAGGGGTTGGGATAAAAAAAAAACTAAATTTTAAATTTTGATACGAATTTCCTGTTGCAAGAAATCTTAATATTACAACCAATCTTCCTTTTGGACTTATACTATCGTAGGATTATAGTTATATAATAGACTATCGTAGTATCGTAGGATAGTATGCTGTTTTTGAATAAACGGCGTCCACAAGGTTTAATATTTGGTCAAACGATCTCGAATCCATTCGTAAATAATTTCTGAAGTGTGCTGGTTCTAAATCACTCATAATGTTCATATTTGCTAACTTTCCACGCAAATAAATATTTCTTCACCCATATTCTTCTTTTTTTATTTCAATTGAGCCGACAGCGAGGGCTACGCCAAGACCAATTTTTTGTTGTCTAGACAATACTGGGGCCATCCTCTTACACACACGACACGTCCAACTTCGTTGCGTTTAAGCTGGCAATAGATTCTGAATTCGGTCGACTAAATTTAGCCAAGTGTAATAAGCCTTTTAGATCAAAGGAACAAATGGTACTGATTATGAAAATAAAATTGAATGAAATGATACTTTACTTCCCCTATAAATCATGGGATAAAGTCTGCTGAAGATACGTGGTCACGGACTATGTCTATGTCTTGTGTGCGGGTGCCGTCATGGATACATCCAAGATGACTCCCAGGTACTTCCTGGCCCAGGGTATGGGTGGCCGAAGAGGGTTATCAGAGGTGAGTCTGTGATTAAAGACCCTTGTCTCTTTTTATTCATTTCTATATAAACATTGTAATCTCTAAATAGCTGTTAAGAACCTATGTAGACTAAATTCAACATTCACGCCACAGATTATACTAAGAGACGAAACTGCGTCAAAGAGAACATACTTTAATTTTGTTTAAAAAATTTAAACAAGTATACTTACCTACATATTATTATGGTCTAATTTAATCAGTAATTACATATTGTAAAGCAGAAATGTCTACTATCACAATCTATGCCGCAAGTACTGATTTCCGTCAAGATTAGAAAATGTTATTGTATTGGTCTCTTTAAATCTACAGAACTGAATTTATCTCCATCTCAAATAAAAACTTTTGAAATTTATTAAAAAAAATTAGATTATTTCGTTTTCGATGGATAAAAAGATTTTTGTTAACATCAGTTTATTTAATTTTCTCTAGTTATCACAGAAATTTTAAGTTTTTTGTCGTTTTGATAGTGTTATCATTTTATCACTTGCCAATGAAAACATACCAATGGAACTCAACATGGTGTTGTGTTCTTCGATACAAACAATAGAGACTTTCAATGTGTGTGTAGCTTTAGCTTGCTCGTTCGTTTGGTTGGTTGACAATCGCGATGTAATGTATTCTACATCATCGCATGCTGAGTTAAATTTTCAACAAAACCTTTTAGTTTTAATTAATTTTCACGATTTGTTTCTAAATGTTTTCTTACGTCGTGACCTATTTTCGAAATATTAATTTCTAAATATGTGTAATTTGCCGCCGAAGTACCATTCAGTGTGTCGCCTTTGTTTATCATTTTGTGGCGATAATTGCAGTGATGTTAAGCTTCCAATTTTTGATCGTGATAAGGATAAATCACGACTATGGGAAATGATAACGACAGATTTGTCAATGATGGTAATAATTTTTCATAATTCGCAAATTTAATAGTCGGGAAGTCGAAGTTTTCCCGTGTGAAAGTTAATCGTAAGCATACGAGATTGTGGATGCTGATAAGCGCCATTAACTTTCTCGCGGGTGTTGGGTATTTTCGCATTGTGATATCATATTACAGCCCACGCGTTGACTGCTCGACAGTATGACTAATGGCATTCGTGGAAATGATATGCGATCGAGTGAGGGTCGCGGTGTGTATCAGTTTATGAACATCGCTGATAACAAAGGAGCGCGGTGATCACCTTAGCGGCGCTGGTCTACACGCCCCGCTTCTCCTGCCCAAGGAACCGCTAATCGCCTGCTCCCCCCTTGCATTCACAAATAAATGTTATGCTTTATACATTCTGTCTCAAGCGAAGACTTCTATTTTAAGAATTCAATATTTTCTAAATATAGATTGATATTTTAAGGGAATCAAACTGTAGGGGGACGTTTTTATAATTTTAGCATCATAACTCGCAGAAACTACAGTTGTTTCAAATAATGTTATCAGATTGCCAATGACTCATCATCTATGATTATGTTTGCAAAAGGTCACTGGCCACATCATCTGTTCTAATGACTATAATATTTTAAAATATGCAGTCACAATTATTTTGAAAAAAATTTTTTTTAGGTTTCTCCAGAAGACATGCTGCCACAAGTGGTGTGTGGAAGCTGTGCACAGAAACTTGATGAATTTCATACATTTAGAGAACTCTCACATAAATCTGAAAGGTTACTGGAGCAGTTCTTACAATACGCCTTTTCATTATCTGGTCCAAAAGAGGTAAGTGGAATAATAATAATTTTCATCTTTGTTAATCTTTAACATTTAATACACGTAATATAATATGTTTTACACTCTAAATTTTCTTATAAAACAACTTAATAAAATAATAATAATAATACCACAACTCGTCATGCAAACGAGCTGTCTGAGTTAATATTAATATAGTGAATTGGTTGGCTTTGGAACCTTGTCTTATATACTTTCTTGATTGCATTAACAAGAAGTCCCAAGATCATGCCAAACGCAGCTACCATTGCAACGGCAAGGATTGTCCATAGAACATGTTTTGGCCTCAAATCGGATAGACTAAAAGTCTTCCTAGGTGAAAATGTCTTGTCTAACATTGGACAAAAGTTGATAGTAATATTTGTAATGTATTCTCCACTCAATCTCATAGGCGCAGCACAACTAAAATAAAATAAAAACATAAGATTGTAAGCATTATACAAGTTTTTAAAGGAAAATAAAAATTTTATATTTTGCACTATCTAGACAAGGGATTCCCAAAGTTATCCACATCAGTTTCCCAGGGGTCGATATAATCAATAACTGATATTTTGGATTGACAAGGTCTAAAAATTGACCCTTGCCAATTAATGCAAGTTCTGATTAGAAACTTTCAAGATACTGTACAATTTATTTTACATTTACCAAATTATTATAAAATGACTAATATTTTAGTAGGAAGTATCATTGTTGTATTTTGATCATTATTTATTGAATTTTACATCTATTTATTTTGTGAAATTTTTGGGATAACATTCTTGGAAGAATATGCAGTTAATCATCGCAAAGTTTTAAAATTCGTAACTGTTTTATATCCATAGAATAAAACTAGAGTTACGATTTTAAAAGTAATTTGACTATGGTGATCTGAATTATAGTTCATTTGGAATAGGGGTCTCTTACCCAAAATAGCTTGGAAATCCCGAATCTAGACTAACTGAAATTGTATAGAAATATATATATTTTCTAATTCTAAAATCAACAAATGGACTGTCTGGTGTTGGCAGTTGTCAGATATCAGTTTTGTTTTATAGACATGATAGCTAGACTACCTCACAGTGCATTTGATGCTAAGACGTTACTAAAGCCCATAGTCATCATAATCTTAATAGCGATAATCAGTTTAGTAGCAGTAATAGATAGGATAGTGGTACTCATTGATGCAAACTGTGACATGTGAAGTGCCCCACACATAGCTCTCAAGGTAATTGTTACTTAAATACATATGGTTACTACAGCAGAGAGTGAAAAGGTAATAGTTAATAACAGTAGCTCGATGGGGTCACATATTTCCCATATCTCATGATTGATAGTAGCATACGTCGCCAGCAACACATTTCAAATGCGTCGATTCTCTGCCTATCTGCAGCTTTTAGTGTCCACGTCTCTGCACTGTATCAGATCAATGGAGAAGACAAGGGTGCCGACCAGATGTATTTTAGTCCGTTGGGTAATATTACGGTCTCTCCAAATTTTGCTCAGTTGGGTCATTGCAGATTTCGCCATGCCAATCCGTTTCCGTATTTCAAGTTTTCTACTTCCTTTGTTGATAATCAGTGAAACATTATAAAGTAATCTAAGATAATAGACTAATATAATAAGATTGTTGGAACTGAGACATGAATTTAATTAAGCTTCTACCCATAATGAGTATATTGGTCTCAATAAAGTACTCACACAGCTCATCTTATTATAGTCCTAGCAATTACTCGTACATAAAAATTTTAATAAAAAAGAAATCACTGGAGTCTTTACCCAACATGAATGCCTCTTAGACATGATTATTACTCAAAGTTTTAAAAATAAAATTAAACCATCTAATGAACTTACTAAGGGACTTCATCAGACTTGAACTTATAACCAGCACCCTGTTTATTAACAATGTTGACAAGATCACAATTACACAGCCAGCTATTACCAGTCATCCCGAGAACATCCAGTTTGCTCCATGGCATAAGATCAGGAGACAACTCACTTAAATTATTGTCATCTAGATACACCTGGAATTGTTTTAATCACATTTTAGATACACAATCATATTTTATCTATAATATTTTTGGTAACTACCGCTATTGAAGAGCACAATAGAAAATTTTAAAACATAAATATGAAAGGATTGGGCAATAAATTGTTAAGGCACTTATAATTGACATTTTTGACACCAGTACTTTCGGTCTTATTTTTAGGTGCTTGGAAAGCAACAGAGTAACCTCAAAAAGTCTTTAGCATTAATATGAGCACAAATAGAATAACAGAAAGTTTATATTTCTCAGAATCACATGGTTATTCGCCCGGGATATTCCGGTTATGTACTGTCAATACTCTGACGACCACCCGTCTACGTTCGTTCTAAGCTTCTTAGGTTGTGCTGAGCCAACTTACTCCTGGCTCTTTTTCTGACCTATTCGCTGGGAGCCTAAGAGCCTATTCCAGCTACGACCGGGCAGGTAGGTGAGCTCACGGGCTCAACCTGAGAGAATTTGGTAACACTAGCCCTAGAAAGAGCAATGCTTTGCAGGATCTATCACCGGATCGGAATCGGGCCCACTGAGAAGATCTGGCGAGAAACTCAGTGGACTGTGTTTATGGGTTAGCTCGTTCGTCAAATTCGTCGGGGATTTTCTTCCGACCATAAAAAGTGTATTTAATTTTTCTGTTTTTCAATTGAATTATTTTAAACATTGAACGTAAGCCAAATACAAGGAGGCTGATTATGTTTTATCGAAAATAATATAGGAAACTCGGATGTGGTTTGCTTTGTTTATGAGCTGATTTCCATCGTCGTGCATGTTGTATGTAGATATAATATATTATTAATTTTTAAGAAGTTTTCAAATATCAAATACGGAGTTTTCCTATGCACAGTTTATGTTAAGTATATTTATCCTATTTCTTGTAAGTCTTTCTTATAAATTAAAAAAAGTAATGATACATCCCTTTGCAACTTTTTTTAAGCCGTCGTGACCTAAAGGATAAGACGTTCGGTGCATTCGTATGTAGCGAAAGGAATGTTCGAATCCTGCTGGCATGTACCAATTTTTCTAATGAAATACGTACTTAAGAAATGTTTACGATTGACTTCCACGGTGAAGGAATAACATCGTGTAGTAAAAATCAAACCCGCAAAATTATAATTTGCGTAATTACTGGTGGTAGGACATCTTGTGAGTCCGCACGGGTAGGTACCACCGCCTTACCTATTTCTGCCATGAATCAGTAATGCGTTTCGTTTTGAAGGGTGGGGCAGCCGTTGTAACTATACTGGGACCTTATATCTCAAGGTAGGTGGCGCATTTACGTTGTAAATGTCTATGGGCTCCAGTAACCACTTAACACCAGGTGGTCTGTGAGCTCGTCCAACTATCTAAGCAATAAAAAAAAAAAAAAAAATAACAAAAACATTAAATAACTGAAATAGAATGTTAATATGGTAGTATAATAAAATTTAATTTCATGCTCATTTTGCACAATTTACGATTTCCGACGTTCCGAATACCTTAGTTTTCGTGGTCAATTAAGGTGCTATTCGTTGTCATTTGAAATGTGAATATTATTATATCGTTTTAATACGTATAAGTTGAAGTATAAGATTACAATAGTGAATGCCTTCGAAAACAAGATCTATAATTTATCATCGACATTGGAAATGTGCAGTGAAATCATGCTATCGTCTTCCTATTAAAACTAATAAAGAAAATTTTGCAATCATTGACTGATTATTATCAAAACACTTGCTAAAATGATGAATCAGCTGACCTCGTTCACTGAATGTCGTGTAAGCACGCAATCTGGGCCAAATTAAACCGCTTAAATTTATAAAGTATATGATGTGATGATAAAAATGTAACATGGATGTATGATCAGATATTTGTAAACAGAACACTTCGTAAATCATGCTTCTAGTAGGATTAGAATAGAATGGCAGTTACAAAATAACCCGAATATCGACATCATGCATATAATTATTATTATTTTCGTATAAAAACGTAGGTATTACTTTTCATCGTGTCAGATCATCCTTCGTTTTTATGTCTTGATTACCGTTACGAAACAATTAAGCTGCGATAAGAGATCAGTAAGGATTTTTCCGTTTCCCTTTAACAACGTTGTGTAAACTCACCTCCTTCAAGGTCCACTTATCTTTTAGTCCCCTAAAAGCATTATGACTGATATATCGCAAGTTGCGATTGTGACATAAATGCAGGACCTTCAAGCTTTTCAAATGCGTGAATGTGCCCCGTTTAACTTCGTCCAAATAATCGTTTTCGCCTACTTCTAATTCTATCACATTTGACAATCCTGTAATGGAAGCATTTGCAATTTTGTAAATATGTATTATATTGAAATAATATAATTAAAAAGATATAATACTAGCGACCCGCCCTCGCTTCGCTTCGGAAACATTAATTAAATTTTATTATTGAATAGTTGAGTCCCGCGATGTTACCCGCGCTTATTGTCGTACCGCGGGTGACGCCGCGGGGCGAAGCTAGTCTAAAAAAAGTAGCCTAAGTTACTCCTTATATCATCAGCTACCTGCCAGTGATAGTCCCGTCAAAATCGGTCCAGCCGTTCCAGAGATTAGCCGGAACAAAAAAAATGTTATTTTGGTGTATGTACCGTATATATATATATTCATATGCATGTAGTAAAAGGCGGTTATTTCAATATTACAAACAGACACTCCAATTTTATTTATATGTATAGATAAATAAGATCATTCATTCTTTGTTATGCTTCTAGCATTATCGAGGTTTAAGGGCGATGATGACTACTTATAAGGTGGGCTGTATATTCGTCTGCCATTGTTCAATATCTTTAATTTTTTTTATATACATTAATAATCTGATCCAAGTAAAAGGCCATATTATTATCTGGATGATGGTTCATTTACGTTCTGTTGTTTAATGAAAAACAAAGTATTCGTGGTTCAATTTTGCCAATGTGCTTGTCAATATAAATACAGTGTATTAACGAGTTGTGCTTGCTTACCTACGAAACTGTCGTCGTTCAGTTCCACAACGGGATTATTGTTGAACGTGAGGTATTTGAGGGTGCTCCCTACGAGGCTCAAACTCTCAGGTACGGTTACAAAATGATTATCCGATAAATCGATCTGTTGTAATTTTACCAATCCTCTAAAAGCGTCCAATGGTATACTGTCGATATCGGTTTTGGACAAGTCGAGAACCTAATATAGAAATAGAAATTCATACTGTAGTTGTCTATAGACGGAAAATAGTTTCTGGGTCGATGTAAAAACGGTTGTTTGTCTCTGAGGATCCAACTAGGTCAAATATCTTACATATTTTACATTCTGTCACTAACTTAATATTTCCTATTTCCTGTTATTTTTTTGTTGTTCTAAATTTTTTGTTACAAAAATTCTTACCTCTAGATTCGTGGCGCTAGAAATGGCGAGTATTGAAACGTGGTCAAGTATTTCAATAGGGTTATTGTTTAAGTACAATCTCGTTAAGTTTGGCGTATATTTAAATAAATATCTGTCCAATGAGTGTATCTCATTATAACCAAGATTGAGTGTCTCCAAAGCAATCTCACGGTAGATCCCATCTTCGTAAGGTCCTTGGAATATCTCACTCCTGAGAACTTGACCTGAAATGATCGTTTTAGGGATCGTTTAGAGACAAATCTTGTATTTTTTCGGTACAATACAGAATTTTTATTCAGTACTCTATTACCACAAGTAGTTTTACTGCGAACTTAATACTTTTTAAAAATTATCATGTAATCATCAAAGCATTATATGTATTTACTTTTGTGTGTTTTATACGATCTACTTCTGTTTCTCTATTACATTTTGTACTTCTGGGTACGAAGGCGTATAGACACCGGCTTATAGCCGGTGTATAGACACCGGCTTATTTCAATTAAATTTATGAATGTTCATATCAGTACGCGTACAATAACTTGTACACATACCTGAGACATTAGAACTTATATCTCAAGGTGGTTGGCGCGTTTATGTATAGATGTCTATGGACTCCAGTAACCACTTAACTGTGGTCTGTGAGCTCGTCCACCCAACTAAACAATAAAAAAATATTCGTGACATTTTAATGAAATATTCAAATTCGATTGATTATAAAAAATCTTTAGCTTAGTAAAACTTCGTATTTTACCTTAATATTTTTAAAGAAAATTATTGATAATCTCTTCTACATCTTTTACAGTATTTTAATGATAGAAATCTATAAATTATATTTATTTTAACAAAAGTAGCGTATCGTAGTTATTATCGCTTATGGTATGTGTGTCAGCTATAATGATAGAGAGTAATAAAAATTTTAGGCCTTTGGTTTGAGAATGTCACGAAAGCAATCCGTGAGCTCCATGCATTATTTATAACGTATCAAAATAATCTTCTAGAAAATATGTACACACATGTTAGAACGAAATAGTTTTAACATTTATTTTCATCATAGAGAATGTATAGTAATAAAGTCGAAAATAAAACAGAAGTTTTATAGATAAACTATGGAAATCACAGACAATAATTGTTAATGGTGTTTGTTTAAATGTGAATTATTTTGTGAAAAAATGTGAAATTAAAAGATTTTATTCATCGTACGGCATCAAGTTTAAAATAGAACGAATTCTTGACTTTTATTTATACGTATTTTAGATAACATTTTAAAACAAATCAAATTTAAATTTCATTCAGTGTTATTAAACAGTGTTTTTACACGCTTTGATTCAAACCTCAATGGTACAATATTAAAAAAAAAAAATTGCCGGTGTACAACATACGAAATAATATTAGAGTAGTTTGAAATAAGTGAAAGCTAATTCCGTCTCTGTGTTATTTGCGATCTTTGTAATTATGTAATTATATGTAATTCTACAGTTTCCTTATACGGATCTTCAAGTCTACTGCGGTTGTGGACATTTAATCTTAGAACATTTCATGTTAATCAGTCTCTAACCGAAAAGTAAAAAATGAACAAACTAGCTGGAGTGGTGTGTCGAGTAATTTTTTATTTTATTTTATTTTTATTGCTGAGATGGGTGGACGAGCTCACAGCCCACCTGGTGTTAAGTGATTACTGGAGCCCACAGACATCTACAACGTAAATGCGCCACCCACCTTGAGATATAAGTTCTAAGGTCTCAGTATAGTTACAACGGTTGCCCTACCCTTTAAACCGAAACGCATTACAGCTTCACGGCAGAAATAGGCAGGGCGGTGGTACCTACCCGCGCGACTCACAAGAGTACCACCAGTAAAGTAATCACTATCAAATGTAAAGCTTTGTATATATATGGACCAATACGGCAAACATTCTTACCTGAAATTTTATTATTGCTGAGATCCAAATAGACCAATCGCGGGATGTTCCTGAAAGCGTCATCTTCGATTTCACTAACGCGATTTGATTTGAAACTGATCGCGATCCTGTTCCCCGGTATCGAACTCAGTTGCGTTATATTTGTAATGCTGTTGTTGAAAAACGTCACTAGGACGTGACCATCTGAAAGTTATTAAAAAACTAAGATGAATGAATTACGTTTTAATTAACACGTTGACTGCCGTGTAGGTCACCGGTGCCCTACGCGGCTCAAAGTAATTATGTATGTCGATTTCTCTCTTAAATTTTTTTTTTTGTTTTTTTTTATTGCTTAGATGTGTGGGCGAGTACACCTGGTGTTAAGTGGTTACTGAAGCCCATAGACATCTACAACGTAAATGCGCCACACACCTTGAAATATAGTTCTAAGGTCTCAGTATAGTCTCAACGGCTGCCCCACCCTTCAAACAGAAACGCATTACTGCTTCACGGCGGAAATAGGCGGGGCGGTGGTACCTACCCCTGCGGACTCACAAGAGGTCCTACCACCAGTAAGTAGTAGGCCTTTAACTAAGGCGCCGGAATATCTAGTAGACTCTGGGAAAGACGAATCCGAAGAAATTAAGAATTAATTTATTTCTAAGAGACATAAAAGACTAAAACATACATTGAAGCCAAGGAAGGTGAAGTTGGGGTATCCAGACGCTTAGTAACAGAAATCGATATTATTACTTCAGTGCGCCGCGTAGGGCACCGGTGACCTACATGACAGTCAAAGGGTTAAGCGTTCGATGTTTTTTTTTTTTTTTTAATTATGTAAGTGACTGAACGATGTCACAGTCCAACTGGTATAAAGTGGTTACTGGAGCCCATTGATACGGCAGCGCGTATGCCGCCACCCACCTTGAGACATGAGGTCGGATTCTCGTATTGTTTTATTGATTGTATTGATCAACGGTTTTCCCACCCTTCAAACTGGAGCGCGTAACTTCTTCATGACAGAATTAAGTACAACGTTGTTACCACTTACATTAAAACTCTCTAAATTTTAAACGTAAACATGCAAAATTACATTTTTTTCCTGTTTTGATTACACTATCATAGTAATCAATCGCGAAGACGTGTTCGTTTTGTTTCTACTTAGAAAAATTGCTAATCGTATAGAATTACTTACTTACTGATTACGAGTGAATCGGGCGTCTTACATATTAGGCCATAAACGTCTCAATTAATCATGTTCATATTATAGACGTCATAACATGTTCAAAAAAATTATCTAGTAACTCTCGTAACAAAAACATACAATGTTACTCTAAAGATGAGTAGAAAACCTTGCACCGTAGTAACTACAACGTATACAAACACAAAAATCTGAAGCGTTACCTTTGCTTATGTTGTTTATTTGTTCCGGCCAATTAGGTATCTTAACGATGTCTCGTCGTGAGCAGTTCAGCGTAAGGTTACTTGTATCTTCTACGGATATATCGCAAGGGGCACTAGGCGCGTCAGCCCCAGCGCGGTTTGATGATACAAGGACGATTGTTATCGTTAACACCTGTAACAAAGAAACACCGCGACTTATATAACACCTGTGACGGACAACAAACTCACTGTTACGCACTATACTTACAGCCGGAAAATACATTTTCCTCGACAATAGCCAACACACTGCAAGAACAACTTTAGATCTCGGTACATTTTATCTTATCAGGTGAAAAGCAAGTGATATCACTAGTGACATGCTCTGAGCGAGCACCTCATTGGCCGCTGTTTTTATTTATATATTATCTTTGAGTACAGTACGATGATGTTTGTTCAAACGAGTATCTATTGTTTAAGGAAATACTCAGCATAACTGCAGCCAAATTAGAAGAAATAATCAAACCACTGAACGATAATGATTACGAACACGCGACGAAACACAAATATGCCGAAATCGGCTCGCCGGACTCTACCGAGGAGATGAAGAATCTAGAGAGCCGGCAGGCGGCCGTTACACTCTTGCAAATAAAGAATTATGATCCATCTAAATACGTCGTCAAAACGGAGGAGGAGCCTCGTATAACTTTTAACAGTGTGCCAAGTTTACCGCCATCGGAGCGAGCAAGCGAGGTGATGCACTGCAACGCTGTCATCGATATTATAAATAAGGCTGTCGAGGTAGCGCAGCGGGAAAACGAAGAATCTCAAAAATTTCAAACGGATTATACGGGCGTAATCGACAGAACGCATGCGACGAACGTCACTGACGTCACGTACACCAGGGAATACACGGACGATCACTACAACGCGTACGTCCCTAATCAAAACGCAACGAGTCCTTGCAGCCTCGACGATCGGGAGAACAGAGAGATAGACTTATCACATTACAGCTCCGGTAAGAACGAGATCGCAGAGAAAACAGAACAAACCGATCGCGACCAGTCACGTTCGTATTTTCCAAAAACAATGACCCACAATAAGGTGACGAGTTTCGTGGATGAATACAAACAACACATTTACGATCAATCTGTCAACAAAATGAAGTTAACCAAGGACACGGCTTCCGTTTACGAGGAATGCAGTCAGAGCAGCAGCGGCTCAGACCCTGACAGATTACAGATGGACATATCTCAAATGTCGCAGGTTAGCATATCATTCGTTTACTGAACAAAAATGATGCTCTCATTGTTCTTGTAATAATGAATCGTCTGTAAATGTTTCAGGACGACCCTGAAGAGACACAGTCGGCGCGCTCGGCGCAGTCCTCCCCCCAACCCCCGCACGAAGGCGAACAAGACAAAGAATCACTCTGGCAAGCGTTACACAGACAAAACGGTAAAATAATCATATTAATTGTTTCTACAAGTATCGACGAACACTGCACGACGAGACGAAATCTTTTTGCTATTCGTTGTCTGGTCACTTCACAAAAGTAAACTTATAAATTAACTTCAATACTCTTGTTTATGAACGGTTTTGTCGTCATCGCTACGTAATCTAAGCACTTTTCATGTTTCGTCTATGTTCAATATAGATTGAAATAGTCATTAATTATGGCAATTCCTCAATAGAAAGACGATAGAATTAAGGAACTAAATATGTAAACACTAGTTTAACCGAATTGATAACTTTTTACATTTTTAACAACTTTGTTGATCTAATTGTTGATAATTATTTCAAAGTTAAGTTTTGTCAGCATAACGTATTTGTGATTTGGTCATGTTAGTGTTGCATAAAGCCGGTTTAAAATCACTTTCTAAATGCACGGAAATTGTCTGCATTTTGCAAAGTCACTTTTCGTCGTGACTAAGTTTTTTTTTGTTTTTTTTTTTAAACGTATCGTTACTGATTTCGTGTTACATTTTCGCACGAAAAATGTTTTTTTTTTCTGTTCAGGTCGCAGCGGAGAAGCAACGCAGCTGTTGAGACGATTGATCAACAGCAAACATCTCGGTATGACGGTGTCCCCGCTGCGGGCGTCCACGTCGCCCACGCCCTCTGCCGTGCAGCCGCCGGTCAACGGATCCGTTTCACCGGTACGATCAGTGCTTTCAAACCCGTTTGCAATTTTATGTTTATCTATGACTAGCTCAAGCGTCACGTAACGTGAATGCTTACGCTGATCTTGAGACGCGGCCAATTAACCCTTTTTGATGCTGAACTTACTTCCGCATATTTTGTAGAAATCGCTAAAGGACTTTTGAAGAAACTTACAAAAAGTAGGTACCTTATAAACCTACGTACGTACCTTATAAAAAGTTTAACTTAAAAAAATAATCAAAAATTCACAGCAAAACAATTTTAAATGGTCATTTGTCATTCGTCGCCCAAAACACGTCATTTCGGATCCTCCCAATCCAATAACGGTGCTTTTAGGTACCACAAGCACCGATCACCGTCCTCGTCGAACCCGTCGCTTGCGACGAAGAGCTCGACGAGTAAATTAACCCACAGACATAGCCCGCTGAATTTCTCACCGCATCTTCTCAGTGGGTCGCGTTTCCGATCCGATGGTAAATTCTGCGAAGCACTGTTCTTGCTAGGACTAATGTTAGCAACGTCCTCAGGTTAGAGCCACGTGAGCTCACCTACCGGTTCGGTTACGCTGGCATAGCCCTCTAAGGCTATCAGCTTGGTAGGAAAAAAAAGCCCATCCCGAGATACACAAGCTCGTAGGGCCAGTTAATCCTTTTATTGCTGAGCTTATTTTCGCATATTTTGCACAAATTTTGCTAAATAAATTTCAACTTCAAAAAAGTCCAAATTTTATGCTAATTCACAGCAAAACAATTTTAAATGGACACGTCAGTACAGGTCGATACCTAACACCTGTAATCAAACTGCTCAAATAGTCCATATTCCGACGCTCCGCACTTTTACGCATCAATAGAGACTCAAATTTTCGACGGTTCGCGCTCAAAAGTTCAAGATTACCGTCGACTTCTTTTAACTCTATTACCTACACTAGTAGCTGTACTTTCCCACTGTTCGCTTAAATGGTTACACACAATGCGAATTCCAACACCCGCCCGCAGATATTCAGAAGTCTCAATTTTATTGTATATCAATTATCCAAACTTTAAAACCGAAGCGTATGGCCGCTCCGTAGTAGATACGTGCAGAACATCGGAGCAATCCGTCATTCGACATTTTAAAATTTGCGGCTTAACTCTTATTGCGTACGTAGCAACGTATTCATGCCTTATCGTGGAAGTCGTTCGTGAGTGAAGAAGTATTACGATACCTATTACCTCACAAACAGACAAGAACATCGTCGCTAATTCTTTTTCTTCTTCTTCTCTATATCCACCTTAACCCTACTAGGTGGGGTCGGCACAGCGATTTTTTCTATTCCATTCTCTTCTATCAGCCGTCATCTCAACACTCACTCCTCTCTCTCTCTCATATCGACATTCACACACTCCATCCTGTCTTCTTCTGTCAACCTTTTCCCCTCTACCTTGCACTGCCATTTCCATACATCTCTTAGTCACATGCAAGTTCTCTCTACGCATCACATGGCCATACCACGCTAACCGTCCGCTCTTTAATATGTCAGTCACCGGGGCTACTTTCGCACTTCCTTTATATATATTTTTCTTATAATTCATTATTTACAAACTTATGTATGCTAAAAATCATTTCATTATGACAAATATTACTATTAGTAATTAATTTACAATGAAATTGAGGTTTAATATCCACGAAAATAATTATATGGCGATTACTTAATATCCGAATATGGCTGTAAGCTCATTAGGTAGCCTTTCTGTAATGAATGAAATGTAATGATCTCGCATTATTTAAATTACTCTTAGTAAACTATGATTTAATGGACTTCTTTTGTTCATTACAGGAAAAAAGATAGAAATTAAAATAATTTTATATTTCGCCAGCTTATTGATTGACAGCGAGGTACATTAATAAATTACTATTTACGTAGAAAGAAATTTGCACAAAACACTGTTTAAAGATATATTTTAGTCGAATGGGAAGAATACGTCTTGAGTTCCTCTTAATATCTACATAAAAAAATGTTTCGGTCTAAGCTTATAAACATAATAATTTTTCAAATTCACGATTCTTCATTGTAATAGTTGAATGAATACGGAAGTGATATTTCGAGTAAAATTTTACGTAGTATTTATTGCCGTTAATTTCGTAATACCGAAATATTTACACATAGTAATCGTGATAATTTAGTAAGTCTGACTGACCTGCATTCGGCACACCTGTACAAATGAAGAGACCGCAGTTAAAATATACTATATCATAACAATATGCCTTCAAATTTCTTTAGGCTCGTAACGATTCGCGAAAAACAGCATGGTCACCCTTATTAACAATAACATTAATTAATCAACCCCGATCGAACTATGTGGATTTACCTATCATCGCGCTGTGCATTTTTGTTGCATTTTAGGGGAGTTCACACTACAAACTGTGATCTAAAATTTCCAAGCAATATCTATCGGATATAAATTCCATGAAATTTCCTCAGATTAATCGCGAAAGAATCTTTCTCACCTTTTTACTGGTGGTAGGACCTCTTGAGAGTCCGCGCGGGTAGGTACCACCACCCTGCCTATTTCTGCCGTGAAGCAGTAATGCGTTTCGGTTTGAAGGGTGGGGCAGCCGTTGTAACTACACTTGAGACTTTCGAACTTATATTTTAAGGTGGGTGGCGCATTTACGTTGTAGATGTCTATGGGCTCCAGTAACTACTTAACACCAGGTGGACTGTGAGCTCGTCCACCCATCGAAGCCATAAAAAAAAAAACACCGCCATCTTTCGATCGCGTATCGTCAGTTTTATGCAAAAAGCGTTTCATTATGATATTTTTGTATATGATGAAGACTTTATCAATTTTGTGATCGTTACATTCGCTTAACTGTATCGGATAAAAGCTATGAGCTATCAAATAAAAAGTTCGACCAATAAATTCTCTTGTAAGCACACTATCATATTTTGAAAAGTTGTTTACACCATCAAGAAACCTGTTTCCGTTTACGACCGTGGAAAATATGACAATTATTGGTTATTCATAAAACTATGTTATTAAAATGTTTTTGATGACTCATAGCGTCAGTAGTAATTTTGTTCTTTTATTATTCTACTTTGATGGTGGATAGATAGGTTTTGTTTTTAACATGTAAATATCTTTTATGAGTAATTCGTGCGATTGACGGATTCTCAGAATCGAACGATTATTTAATTCTAGATATCTTTTGTTTTTTTCATTCAACACTAGTCATTAACGTTAAGGTCTATCTAAGGATCTTTTTGAAATAGATTTTTTTTATAGCTTAGTTGGGTAGACGATGTCACGACCCACCTGGTGTTAAGTGGTTACCGTAGCTCATAGACATCTAGAACGTAAATGCCGCCGCCCACCTTGAAATATAAGTTCTAAGATCTCAGTATAGTTATAACGGCTGCCCTACCCTTCAAACCGAAACGCATTACTGCTTCACGGCAGAAATAGGCAGGGTGGTGGTACCTATCCGGGCGGGTTCACAAGTCGCCTTGCCGCCACTACTAGACAAACTATAATTTTTTCAGGTTTAATTTTTATTGTAGGACAAGGTAAAGGTAGTAGGACCCCATGCGGATTCACAAGAGGTTCTACCACCAGTAATTACGCAAATTATAATTTTGCGGGTTTGATTTTTACTACACGATGTTATTTCTTCACCGTCAATCGTCAATCGTGAACATTTGTTAAGTACGTATTTCATTAGAAAAATTGGTACCCGCCTGCGGGATTCGAACACCGTTGCATCGCTAGATACGAATGCACCCGACGTCTACACGCTTACATCTATGAATCGTACACTGAAAATTACATAGCGTTACATATATACAGAAATGTAATGCGAATTAATTTACATGCAAACAATATTTTACGATATCGCAGTGATCTAGTATGCTAGTGAGTAATGTAAATACTAACGCGGGCGTACCGGTCCATCTGTTCATGAAGTGAAGTGTGCGTGAAGACTCGTAACTCGTGATCCCCCGACAGTTGTACTATACACACGACCGGTGTTGCAGCCACCAGCGCACTGAGCGACACGTGCAGCCCTCGTTTATAGGACAGCGTAACGAAATAAATTAGGCTCGTTTATAGTCTCACTCGAACGTCTTTATGTTAATCTCGGAGGTAAACAAAGTTTTCCTTGAGGCTTGCCGGTGCGATGTTTGCTTAATGTGCGCGCGAGGAAACTTTTTACTCGACGCTATTACTTACTACTAAGTTATTTTGATTGTTCACGATATCGTTTATTTGGTTTTGAACTTAACAATAATAGGGCATTTTTAATTAATTTTTGATAGCTTAGATGCGTGGACGAGCTCACAGCCCACCTGGTGTTAAGTGGTTACTGGAGCCTATAGACATCTACAGTGTAAATGCGCCACCCACCTTGAGATATAGGTTCTAAGGTCTCAGTATAGTTACAACGGCTGCCCCACCCTTCAAACCGAAACGCATTATTACTGCTTCACGGCAGAAATAGGCGGGGTGGTGGTAGCTACCCGTGCGGACTCACAAGAGGTTCTACCACCAGTGAAGAAATGTGACAGTTCACAGCCATAAATGGCGGGTCGATTATGGAATCTTTCGTTATATTGTTGAATGTTAGCAATTCGTATAATAATTCCGGATTTATAATTTTTTGCGTCTTCAATAAGGCTCGTAAAATGCCGTAATATTAACGTGATGAACAGATATATGTTATCGTTTGTTTATTTTTAATATCAATCTCAATTAGGTTAATCACTGTGCGCGCTATGTGCCTTGTACAAACAGTATATATAGTACAGTATACAGTACAAACACACCTGTTCGTCGTCTGATCAAAGATAAGATAACAAATGATCAAGTCAATAATGCACTTATAATTCAATAGTTGAAACTCTGCTAAAGTTAAATTGTATTTTTGTAATCTAATAGGTGCTACTAAGTGGTAGCGGGTTGAATTTGCATTCGCTGGTAGCACTGTATATACCGTGCATTTTGTTTGAAGAGTCTGCCAGTCATCATTCCAACTTTTTTTTTCCTACATATGCTGATAGCTTTGAGAGGCTATTTCAGCTTCGCCCTAACGTGTAGGTGCGCTCGCGGGGCTCAAACCGTAGTGTTGCTAACACCGGCCCTAGCAAGAGCAGTGCTTCGCAGAATCTACCACCGGATCGGAAACGCGACCCACTGAGAAGATCGGCGAGAATCTCAGTGGGCTGTGTCTATCGGTTAATTCGCTCGTCGAGCCCTTCGTCACAAGCGACGGATTCGACGAGGACGGTGACTGGTGCTTGTGGTACCTAAAAGCACCGTTAATGGATCGGGAGGATCGGTAATAACGTGTTTTGGGCGACGTCGACTGTTTACCATTCGGTCTACAGGATCGGGTATGGAATTCCAACGGAATTACACCGAAGCTCTGTGGGCATGTATGATATCGATGCAATTGAAAAATATATTTTTCTTTTTTTTAATACTCACAACCATAATCATTTTGTTTGTATTCTTAACTTTTTTTTTTATTGCTAGATGAGTGGACGGGCTCACAGCCCACCTGGTGTTAAGTGGTTACTGGAGCCCATAGACATTTACGACGTAAATGCGCCACCCACCTTGAGGTATAAGTTCTAAGGTCTCAAAGATAGTTACAACGGCTGCCCCACCCTTCAAACCGAAACGCATTAATGCTTCACGGCAGAAATAGGCAGGGTGGTGGTACCCACCCGCGCGGACTCAGAAGAGGTCCTACCACCAGTAAAAACTAACGTCAATATTGTTTTTTCTTTTTTCAAAATATGAATGTAATATTGTCTTTGTTAAATTCAACTAGAACGGGGAATGGCCAGCGTCAGGCCGTGGCTCTAACGTGGCGGGAACGGCGCGAAGGAAACAAAGTTTTCCCGCGCGTGCGCAACCAGTGACGCAAGACCCCTCAACCAACAACTCTACTTGGCAACAGGCTGCTTCAGATAATGTAAGGACACCTAATAATCCACACTAATTAGATTGATACGGTTGATACATCGGTAGTAAAGTATTTCTCTGCTAGGAGGACAGCGTGCAATCATTTCTTTAAAGAAAACTCTTAAATGTTTAAAATTACAGTATGTCGTTTTCCAAAATAATAATAAAAAGTTGCTGTAGCTGCGAGCACGTAGTATAAGGTAATACTTACTGTGTTTAAAACAAAGGGTATCTTGTTTTCTCATTATAACCCAAAAGAAACGAATTTGATAAAAAAGAGGACAGATAGCGCAGAATATCCTGTGGTTGATCTTAAAATGCGATTCATAGAAGGTAGATGGAATTTTCTATGATGCATATGTCTTTTTACTGTGCAGCAAGAGGGGACGGACGTGGGGAGCGGGGTTGGGGGCGGGAACCGCGGCTCCGCTCGCGTGGAGTTGTCGTGCAGCAACTGCGGCACGCACACGACCACGATCTGGCGGCGGGACACGCGCGGCGAGATGGTGTGCAACGCGTGCGGGCTGTACTACAAGCTGCACGGCGTGCCGCGGCCCACCGCCATGCGGCGCGACACCATACACACGCGCCGCCGCCGTCCGCGACACGACTCCAAGCATAGCAGGAACAGTACGTGCCACACAATACAAGACTTATATATCGAGGGTTCGAGAGGCTAATTGGTTTAAGCGACATTTTTTTAACTTTACAGGACAGTCATTCAAAGTTTAAATTTTGGAAAAAATATCATTAAAAAAAAACTTTACAGAGAAACTAAAAAGAAGTTCAATTAAAAAACATCGAACTGTTGTTGCTAATTAATACTAAATAAAACGCACTTTGAATTACAAAGATAAAGATTGCGTAGTAAGTGAAATGTCGCTTAAACTTTTCAGTCCTCGATATGACCAAGTATTTTTTATTGCTTAGATGGGTGGACGAGCTCACAGCCCACCTGGTGTTAAGTGGTTACTGGAGCCCATAAACGTCCACAACGTAAATGCGCCACCCACCTTGAGATACAAGTTCTAAGGTCTCAAGTATAGTTACAACGGCTGCCCCACCCTTCAAACCGAAACGCATTACTGCTTCACGGGAGAAATAGTAGCAGGGTGGTGGTACCTACCCGCGCTGACTCACAAGAGGTTCTACCACCAGTAAAGTATTGATATTATTTTATATGATTTTTATAGATTGTTATGTTAATCTAATAAATAAATATGTAATGTTGTGTTATTCAGAGTCTCGCCGCAGCGGTAGTGCGATGACGAACCCCGAGGTATCGGAGGGGGGTGCGGCGGGCGCGGAGGGCACGGAGGAGGCGGTGCTGGCCGCGCTGCGCCGACAGCTGCAGCCGCACCTGCTGGCCGCGCTGCACGCGCACACCACGCGCCCCCACCGACATCAGGTACCGCGCCCCTCCCCCCAAGCCCCCTACCCCCTGACGCCGCATTATACCGCACGTTTTCTGCACTACACTGAAGATCTCACTTAGAGATCACTTAAGATAAGAAAAATGGCTACCCTCAGACACAGCCCACTGAGTTTCTCGCCGGATCTTCTCAGTGGGTCGCGTTTCCGATCCGGCGGTAGATTCTGCGAAGCACGCTTCTTGCTAGGGTTCGTGTTAGCAACGTAGTCAGGTTTGAGCCTCGTGAACTCACCTACTAGTTAAGGTTACGCTGAAATAGCCTCTCGAGGCTCTCAGCTTAGGTAGGAAAAAAAAGGAAAAAATGCTTTTCTGACTTCTAAACCGAAATCGCTTCAGAGTAGAAATAATGTAGAAAATAACTGTTGCGGACTCACAGCGTACCGTACTCGGACTGAATGAATGAATGAAACGATCCAAACGTTATCTTTAAGTACATACTTATATTCCACTTTGTTGCAAAAATAAAATAACTTGAGTGTTTCATTAGTTTGATTAGCGATGGCGCTCACTTTATATACATGAAACCGTTCGCGCATCCTTCATAGGTACTTCAAAAACAATCTAATGCACACGTCACTTGTAAGGAATGCACTCGCCCTTTATTTATTGTTTTATTTAACTTTAATAAATTATTATTTATTATGGCATTTCAAAAAGGTGTGAAGTGGGTATCGGCCCATAGACATCACTGCGTGAACACCGCTCGTCAAGCTCGTAATGTTCGAAAGTTATTTAAAACGTGCACCACATAGATTGATTGAATTTGAAAACTGTGTTTTTTCGTATATGCGAACGAAAATGTTCCTTATTGCAAGACAACGTGCGGTGTAATTTCTCGTGAACTCGGCCAGTTCACCCTGGACAAATTTGTTTCGTTCTATAATTAAATGTATAGTAATAATACCGTGTATCATCCAGCTTAGCTCTATCTGTGTTCTGTATCGCCTAATTAATAACCCTCCTGCCTTCTCTCCCCATTCTTGTCTCGCGCCAGGATTGAGTGCAGTAAGTTTCATAATACACACTAATTGCATGCGAATTTCGTGTTTTGTCTCCACTTAGATTTCAGTTTCGTAGTCTTCCATTCGATTATATTCCGTTGTTTTAATTCAAAAATAGAGATTTCTAATTTTGTGTGTTAATTGATAAAAAAAATTGTTTTTTTTTATTCAGGTTGGCACGAATGCTCAGGAATACGACGAGGCGCCGTTGAACTTAGTCGCGAGTCACGTGCCCGCCGCTGAGGAGACGCACTGACCGCCCCCACTGTGATACAAGGAAACGTACACAAAAAAATAATACTAAGCTACAAATATCCTAAAATTGAACCCTAAAGCTATTGCATTTCGATCGAAAATGCCTTGAGTAGACATTAAAGTGAACGTTCTCGTGGGAATGTTTTTTAAAAATCAATACGAAACCGTTATTATTGATGTTGTCGTTTAAGACCTTTTATTAGAACGGTTTTTTATAAAACAGTCTCGCGACGAAACGTTCGTAGCCGCATTTCCATAGAATCAATTAGTGATAGACAGGCCAGTGTTTAAAATAGACATAATCGACGAAGCTTCGATGCCTTCAGTGGGAGCTGGTAGTTCTTGCCATGCACACGGATACGTCGGCCCGTCCCTTCTGGGCCGCCCTGTGATATGCGACCGACGGCAGCTGCAGTGTTCACTCGCGTGATGTTCGTATTAGACAAGTACCTAAGCTTGTCCTATATTTTTCGTACCTATATCTTATTAGTCTTTAGCTAGTTATTAGCTTAGGATTATAAAAATTCGAAAAGCAATAATGAAAGTGTTGTGNCTGAATAAGAGTTTATCGTACTACAATTATATTATTTGATTGCCATCTTGCAACCTTATTGCGGATCTGTGCATAGAATAAAAAAAATATTGATCGGGATGGAAAAATAGGGGTTGATCGTATAAGAGTGAAAATTGAGAGTAATATAATTTTTGTTATTTTAAGTCATGACAAAATACAAACAAAATTCTCGCAAAAAATTTTAAAGTTTTTAATTAGCAAATAAAAAATAAGGGTTGATCGTAGAGGGGTGAAAATTGAGGATTGTATGTATTTTTGTATGTTGTATCATAAAAATATAGAAATGAAAAATTTTGTTTAAAAAATAAATAAAAAATTTAGGGGTGGACTACCCCTAACATTTAGGGGGATGAAAAATAGATGTTGGCCGATTCTCATAGATACCGGATAAGCACAAAAAATTTCATCAAAATCGGTCAAGCCGTTTCGGAGGAGTATGGCAACGAAAACTGTGACACGAGAATTTTATATATTAGATTAAGTTCACTCTGAAGATATATTAATTTCAAATTGTCGGTGCTTATAAATAAAATGAAAACAGATACCACAATAAGCTGTACACACCTCATTGACATCGTTGACAATGGGCAAGTGGCGCAGTCCGAGGGCCCTGAAGAGTCTGAAGAGTCGCGGCAGGGAGGCGCGATGCGGCAACGTGTACGGCGATGGGTTCATGAACGGTCGGAGATCTATCATGCAGGACTTCTCCCAATCTAATATCTCGAGCTTAGGACAAAAAAAAAGACAACTGCTTGAAATTTCTACCCTCCATGGTGTTTCCCGAGCGCCATGACATGTCATTCTTCAAACGAGGCTTGTGGAGAGTAGTGTGGTAGGCAGCGGCTTGGCTCTGCCCCTGGCATTGCTGAAGTCCATGGGCGACGGTAACCACTCACCATCAGGTGGGCTGTATGCTCGTCTGCCTACAAGGGCAATTAAAAATTTTTTTTTTGCCTTGAATAAGCTTCAAGGTATTTTTTTTTAGGTAATTTGAAATTTTATCTTTTCATAACCGGTTTCCCGGAGCACATAACACGGGAGAAAATCAATCTGGAAAGTTTATTCTATATATTAATACGTGAAGGAAAAACTTTGTATCCCTTTTTACGAAAATTGCGCGGATGGAGGAGTATGAAATTTCCCACACTTATAGAGAATATAGAGAAGAAGTGCAGAATGTTAATATTTATTTAAATTATGCCTAAAAAATAGATTAAATCAATAAAAAAAACATTACACACACTACCATGTATTTGACGCACACACATGCATGCGCATACTATTTATTTATTGTAAAAAATTTGTTCTTGACGTCTGTGGTCAAACTGAGAATAGATGAAATATTATTTCCCTTTATTAATATTTTTCTATAGTGTAGTCTTGGCGAAATTTGTGGTGTGTCTCACCATAACCCACATCATTAATTTCTCCTTTAGTACCAACATGTTTCCCTCCCAATGGCGCGCCCAATCACGATGTTCGACCAGCCCATACCGTGGGCCCCGAAGGTCAAATATTTAGGCGTCATCCTCGACAGTAGGATGACATTCCGCCCCCACATCAAGACGGTACGCGACCGTGCCGCCTTCATCCTAGGACGTCTCTACCCGATGATATGTAGGCGAAGTAAAATGTCCCTTAGAAATAAGGTGACACTCTACAAAACTTGCATACGCCCCGTCATGACCTATGCAAGTGCAGTGTTCGCTCACGCGGCCCGCATACACTTAAAATCATTTCAAATAATCCAATCCCGTTTTTGCAGGATAGCCGTCGGAGCCCCGTGGTTCGTCAGGAACGTCGACCTCCATGACGACCTGGACTTAGAGTCCATCAGTAAGTATCTTCAGTCGGCGTCCATGCGCCACTTCGATAAAGCGGCACGACACGAGAACCCTCTCATCGTGGNGTTTTTTATAAAACAGTCTCGCGACGAAACGTTCGTAGCCGCATTTCCATAGAATCAATTAGTGATAGACAGGCCAGTGTTTAAAATAGACATAATCGACGAAGCTTCGATGCCTTCAGTGGGAGCTGGTAGTTCTTGCCATGCACACGGATACGTCGGCCCGTCCCTTCTGGGCCGCCCTGTGATATGCGACCGACGGCAGCTGCAGTGTTCACTCGCGTGATGTTCGTATTAGACAAGTACCTAAGCTTGTCCTATATTTTTCGTACCTATATCTTATTAGTCTTTAGCTAGTTATTAGCTTAGGATTATAAAAATTCGAAAAGCAATAATGAAAGTGTTGTGTACAATTTATTATGTCGTTTAATTAGTACTACGTTTTGTAGTGTAGGATTTATTAACAAACTTTTTAATGATAGCTTACGGTAATTCATTTGAGATTGGAGCAAAAAAAAAAGTTTTTTTTTTTTTTAATTTAAGTTTTGCCTCGGAACCGTACGACGTGGAATACGATTGAATCGGAATACGCATAAATTCATTTGCCAGTTCTGTCGTACATAAAAATCTCGTAGGTGTAAACCTTGCCTTATAATGCTCTCTTGGTGTAGATATATTCACGGTTACCTACTGCAGGAAGCGAGTATTCATTTTAGATTAAGAATTTTATTTGTAAATGTTTTTTCTTACATAGATCTAAAACGTAACGGTATTTCATTTAAATTATAGCTACCTAATTTATTTCCCGTTTCGGTCAGTATTTACGGTTTAAGTATTTTTTTTATTTGTTTTTTTTTTATTTTTATTTCTCACAAAGTATTTTTTTAGTTATTATGACGAGGTGTGCCGTGAAGCGGTATATACAAAAAATGTGACAGTTCTATCGATTTTATTTACACTGTGTGCACGAGCCGTTTGAATTGTGATTAAAAGAACACTTTTCGTCTCTACTTAATATGTTAGGTATTCATTATTGTATCTCCAGTGTGTTTTATATAGGTATTACATGATATGTATATGAAACCTACTACTATAATAAAATATAAACTCATTGAAATTTATATTTTGTAACGTAGCGTGTTTTCCAGTTCGTTATTTTGTATAAATTTATCAATATTTTTATATTTCGAAAGGTTAACGGAATTATGGCATTATTATTATTATTATATTGTGCGGGAATGATGTTGTGCGAATAATATTTAGGTGCCCAACGAATATGATACAAGTGTCGTTGTTTCTTATGAACGGTTCGATGATTGGGCATTTTAAGGTCTCTCGCTTCGACCGTTTCCTCACCCCGATTCACCTCATCGCGGTCAGCGTGCTCAGTGCGAGTTTTTTAACGTTCTCGATAGCGTAAAAGTTAACTCAATTTTGTATGGAGTTCGAACTTTTGCATACGTTTACCGCTAGGGGCGCTAACTGCATACGAATTTAAGTTAACTTTTACGCTATCGAGAACGTTAAAAAACTCGCACTAAGCACACAGTCGTACGCATTTACGTGGTTTCAACGTTCGCACTTCGAACGCTTCGTGTTTAGCCCCGGTTCGTTCTACGTGTAGCTGTGAGTTCATTTTGTCACCGTCCTTTACGTCTCTACTTAATTTAGTGTTAGTTGTATTAATGTCGAAAACCCCACGGGCCAGTAAAAAACAATAAAGTCTATGAGACTTTGTGATACTTAGCTAGAAATTACTCGGTTGCTACGCCGCCGGTGTAACTATCTCGACTCGTGCGTTTCCCCTTTAGCTTTTTTCCGTTTACAAGTCGAAGCTTATCGTAGTTTAAAGCTTTAAAAATTGAGATTATTTATTATTGTCGGTGTCTTATTTTTTTTTATATATATTATTTTGACAATAAAATTTACGTAGTCTTTCCTCGTTTGAATGTAGAACGCGCTCTCTATTACGCTTTACATAGCTCTCTCAATTATGATATTATTTTGAAATGATTTTGAAATTCGCGCCAGTTTTTATTCACATTTAAGTTACATTAGTTTCTTACTTATAGTATTATTCAGTACTTTCCTATAAATACTCATGTATAAGTTGATTGTGATTAGCCGTGTTTCACTGCGTGGATTATTTCGTTTGTGTGATGTTTTTTTTTTTTGTGCAGGGTGTGTTGATGACGTTCTCGAAATTTCTAGTGTGTTCTGACAGGACTACACTAGAAATTGCGACCGAAATCAATTTTTCACGGCACGCAATGTAACGCGTACAAAAAAATCGCGGTGCAGACAGCCGCCGTTAGACGACCTCGTCTCGATACGGGCTCGTGAAATATGATCTGTGTAAATTAACAAAAGATACTAATTTACGTATCTAGTTTTCCGTTTAAGTAAGACAGGTATTGCGGTTTAATTTTTTGAGAACAGTACCTTTGTTGCACACCGTACACCCTGTATCTGTTAAATTCTCTTGAATCAATACAATAATCGTTAAATTTAAATATCGATATTGAATATCGATAATAATATTTCCTCGTCGACGCAGTTGAAAATTCACGGAACCAATGTCTCAAACCAACGCAACCAACAGTTATTAAACGTCATCTCTTACATTGCTGCTCGCAGTAAAATATAATACAGTATTATTTTTTTCTATAATATTAAAATTCTTTGTATATTTTTTTCTTAGGATTACATTATTATTATTATTTTTATTTTTATGTTCGTAGTCGTAATGTGAACGTCCGAATTCGATTCCTGTGTGTGTGCGTGTTTTTCGGCAACGGAAACCTAACTGCCAATTTAATTCTGTTCGATATGATTTTATTGATGAAACAAGAACGTTATGTTTTAACGAACTTCCAATTCGGTTATTTATTATATTATAGTTTAAGTCGTCGTTTTTTTTTTTTTTAAGAATTGAACAATGTTCATTGCGTCGCGATAACGTAGATAACGTTGCGTTAATATAAATACTAACCCGCTCTGGTTGTGTTGTGTGCGCTTACGATTTAACTAATGCATGTGTTTGTCTTATGTTTTGTCGGTGCGTACACGTATAGACGCAGTACCAATTCTTTAAAATGTATTTGTATTTTGTATTATAATTTATGCTGGAATAACAAACAAACAAACAAAAAAAAACTACTTATATTCCATTCGTGTTGTTGTGGAATCGTTTCTCTTATACTTTCGAATCTCTAAAGACTGACACACTAACTCTTCGCGTCTTCTTGTTTCAACGTGCATCGTCATACGTTTTCATTCGATCCATAATTCGAAAATTGATTATTAAAAAAAAAAAGTATTTTAATTAAAATGTGATATGATATTTTGTTTGTAATGTTAGTGTGTGTATCCGAAAAGCAATAAACATTGTGATAAGGTGGTGACGAGTATTGTATGCAATTTAAAGAAAATTATTCTGAATATAGTTATATAGTGTCAATTATAATTATGATAGATGTACTGAATGAATGGACTCACAACGCATTAAATTATCACTGTATAAAATATTTATATGCACAGGGTAAACAATACAATTATTGGCGCCGCGGCATAATTGTTAGCTTATATTTGGCAGGATTATTAACAGCAATGTCTCTGTTTGATGATTTTTAGAATTCTTTGAAAATGATATTTAGTGTTTTCTGCATTTGTTATCATCTCAACAATATCGATCAGTATTGCCAATGTTTAAAATAAAATAATGATCTGAGACCAAACTTGTTTTTTTATATTTTTAACACGGACGTGCTGGTATGACCAATAATAGTATAGTTTACCCCTATTTATAATGTATTCGTTAATATTATCATTGTGTAAATACAAACCGTTACCATTTACTCCATATTGTATATTGCTCTGTACTTACTTAATGTTGTGAGTTCGGTCGTTCAGGGTAACTTTAAAAAAAAACTCAATTAAAATTTAAACGTAGACAGATTTACCTCTATTGCATATAATAATAAGTTCCCTTGAAAGACGTATTGTATGTCGTATTAAAGCAATATTTTCCAGTATATAGAAAGCTTAATGGACCATTCGTTGTTGTTGTCATTATAACTCTACGTATTTTTAAAGTAAGTTTCAGCATAAATTATCCGTTTTGAGATTGTATTGTGAGTTGAGAACACGTGACGGTAATACTCATTGTGAAAAAAAAAAGAAAAGAAGAAACACTAGATATTGTTGTATAGATGATAAATAATGTGACTTACGCAGGGATGGATACTTAAATTATTAAAGTTTTAACTGATATATTGGCTATGTAGTGAGTAGAATATTTTTTTACAAATAAATTATAGCAGCTATTTCGTCATTTTTTTCCTTTTTAATTTATTACCTGAACTTTATCCTTAAAATTCATATATTATTATAACAAATTTTTTATTCGTTCTAAATCTGGTTACCGATAGATCTGATAATTAAAACTAAAACGAGAACGATGCGGATAGGTATTTAAATAATACGCTATTTGATTTGTAATGAAACATTTATTTTTTAATATGTTTAATTATAATTGAATAACAATAGTTGAGTCGTCTATTATCAAAGGTGGCAATCTGTGCATTTGGACAAAAAAAAATTATTGATATGTCAATACAGATTGATTTGAATATAATCGTCTCCTTCAAAGAATACGGTTCAAAACCTGCATTAAATAAAGGTTAATACTTAACCTGTTATTTATCTAAGATGTCATTCAGAAGAGTTTTGTGACTGCCAATGGAATACAAAGTCAATAATTCGTTTTTCTGATTTACCAATAATTATCCAAAAGTCACATTGCCGGCTTTGATAATAGTCGACTCAGTTACAACTTCCTATTTCTTTGATAACATAGGATAAATGTACATTTATGTACGTGGCTATTTTCCTTTTCCTATCTAATCGTTGGTACCCTAGGGACTTTTCCAACTACGGACTTAAAACTGTATATTTATTTATTTATTTCAATTATTTAAAACTCCAGTTTTATGTTACATTATCATGATCACGTAACAGTAAAAATGGGCCTCTTGAGGGCTTGCCGGGTTCTGCGACGCTTGTCTTTGTTGACTCTCATTTGGGTCGCCTCTCTGAACAACTGCACGCTTTCGGCCGCCTCGATGTCTCGCTTCATCCACTGTAGAGCGTGTAGGTTATATCCAACCATATCCTGTTATAATATATAGTACGTTACAAATTAATCATTCCACACTCATTGTGAAGAGAAAGTATTCTTTATTGTAGACCAAAAAAAAAAGAAACAATGCGAAACATTAAATACAAAAAAATAATTAAATACAATTGGCGTTCTTATCGCTAAGACCGATATCTTTCAAACAACCATCAAGTGGAAAAGAACCGTTTGGAAACTAATTACACACGGTGTACTAATCAGTTGAAATATAGTATACACATACATACATATACAAACACAATTCCTTACATACATATAAATATATCAGCCAAGTTACGGCCAATGCTGGACCTAGGTCTGCCCGAGGTTCGTCATACCAGAAGGCGCGACGTGGGTAAGTGTATCACCAGCCTTTATGTTGGAACATTTTACAGTGATATGTATTTGATTTATTTATTTTTTATTGCTTAGATGATTGGACGAGCTCACAGCCCATCTGGTGTTAAATGGTTACTGGAGCCCATACACATCTACAACGTAAATGCACCACCTACCTTGAGATATAAGTTCTAAAGTCTCAATATAGTTACAACGGCTAACCCACCCTTCAAACCGAAACTCATTACTGCTTAAAAATTTAAAACAAGCAAGACTGTAGCGCCCACACGTGCAAGAACTGAAAATAACTCTTTTTGATCTATGTGTAGTGATCGTGGGTTATCGATGGGTTTTTTTTTCACTTGTAAACAGACAAGTCCATCTGATGGTGAGTGGTTACCGTCGGTCACGGACGTCAGCAATGCTAGGGGCAGAGCTGAGCCACTGCTTACCGTTTAATATTTCTCCACAAACTTCGCTTGAAGAAGGTCAGGTCATGTCATAGCGCTCGGAAAATACCGTAGTCGTTATTCCGATGCTTTATCCCACTGATATGGGTTAATAAAGGCCATTTAAACAACTTTTTAAGGGATTTTATGACCTGGTAACTAAGACCTTTAGGTCAAGTCTTAATTTCAATGAAAACTTTTTTATATAAAAAATGATATTATGCAATAAAATGATAAATATGAGATGAGATATGATCGCAGTAAAATGTTGGTCATTCACTGAGACTTCTTCAGTGGACTTTTTGGAGGATCCCGAGAAGTTACGTTCAGCGGCTTTGTTTCATTTTCCCACATTTGTGCACTTTCGCAGCTACTAAACAGTTAATAAGCCCAAAAGCAAAAAGTCCCATCTAAATATGTAAATGAATAAACTGAAATTACCCTCAATTCATTTAATTTGATTGAGGCCTTCGCTTGTATTTGAATGATGTGCTTTAACAGAGCCTTGTTGGCGACGAGGGGCGCGTGATGTATCTTGAGGAGGAAGAGCGCCACCCTGCAGTACAGCTCCGTGTGGTCGCCGCGCTCCAACAGCGTCGGCAGCACGCGCACTATGTCGCACGCCGCGCTGAACGGTATCAGCAGCAGGGCTTCTTCTAAATCACTACACGACAATACGATAAACATTAGAAACGACATTGAAGGGAGGGGGGTTGGGGGGGAATGCTGCCACCCTCACTGGCCTAACGCATTCAGCTTTGGAACGAAGGTCGCCTAGTTCTCAGCTACAGCCATAGATAACACATATAAATTAGTTATAGATAAGCAACTCAAGCACTCAACAATAAATAATATTACGTAGTTTAAAAAAAACGCTTTTATAGGAAATCCAACCAAAAAATAGAAAATGTGTTTTATAGGCACATAAGACCTTCATTCAATGTAAAAACAAAAAAATCTTAAAAATGGTACTTAACCCCTTCATCCACTTATGTCTTCAATTATAATCAATATAAAAGGGAAAACAACAATACGTTTATCGTGTTACCTGGATCTGACTCTCTTGACGGTCTCGACGAAGAAGTCCTCGGGTGTGGTGCAGTTGAAGGCAGCCATCAGGAGGGGCGGCTGAACGAACTGACCCCGAGCTTCGGATAGCTCGCGCTTGTATTCAGCGCCGACTGACAAGCATTCCATGATCGAATCCGCCTAAACGAAATTGTAGTTCAATATTCTTTTAATCAGACGTCGGTTTTGTAAATAAGGTGTTCTTGATATAAACCTCTTTGAACGTCAAAGGTAAAATAATGCTACGCGGGTAAATGTAACGCCATCTATCGCCGAATAGTCGAACGAATATCGAAGGATCTAGTAGCACCTAGAACGCTCGAGAAGTACAGCACCATCTATTGTCAGACAACGGAAACACACAATACTAGACTTTTGTGGAATATTCTCGACGATTCTAGGGGTTCCGTCTCGACTATAAAAGCGTTGCAGAGGTGGCACGAAGTCAGTTAGTAATCGGAACTACTCGAAGCAAAACCGCGAACGAATCAGCTGAAGCGAAGCGGAAGAACCGAATTGAGAGTTTTAAAGTGTTTGTTGAGTGTTCTAAGTATTGAATACAGTTTTTAGTCGTACTTTGGTGGAATTTTATTTATCCCGAACCCCAGCGCGTAACAATAATACGTCTCCGCAATCAAAGAACTTGCATTTTTGTTAGTGTAATGTATTAATAACGATTATTAGTAACGGGTGTAATTTATTAATAGAAATTACTTACAGCTTTCTCAGCGCCTATAGTTTTCTTAGTTGGCATTTGAAGACCCGGTAAACCAGGTACGGGTGCCTGTAATGAAACAATGCAAGAGTCGTTGAGCAAAACATATTTATGCTATTACATTAATTTAAAGATTATGGTCATTAATTTCACGCTTTAGGGTATTTTATTTATGTAAAAAGTTATAACTTTTCACCCCTCGATATAGCACATGGTAACTACGATAGTAAAAAAATCTTTTCAGTGGGTCGTTCAGCTTAGTGTGGTATTTGTCTTCATTTTATTTATAAACATCGACAATTTGAAATTAATATGTCTTCAGAGGTCAGACTTCAGGCTAACTTGTACCTTAAAATCATGGATGTTATTGGATCTTATAGTTTGTTTAATCCATAGACACAGTTCACTGAGTTTCTCGCTGGTTCTTCTCAGTGGGTGGCGATCCCGATACACTATTAGATTCTACAAAGCACTGCTCTTTCTAGGGCTAGTGTTAGCAAATTCTCTCAGGTTGAGCCCGTGAGCTCACCTATCCAGTACATGCCTACATGGTAACTACGAAAGTTTTTTTTGTTGCCCGTGTGGGCAGACGAGCGCAAGGCCCACCTGATGGTGAGTGGTTACCGTCGCCCATGGATTTTAGCAATGTTAGGGGCAGAGCCAAGCCGCTGCCTACCAAATCAAAAAACCTTCTCAGCGGGTTGCGATTCCGATCCGGGTAGGATTAGTGAAGCACTGCTTTCTCTTAGGTTGAGTCCGTGAGCCCACTTTTGCATCAGGGCGTAGCTAGAATAGCCTCTTAGGTTCCCAGCGATTAGGTAGGAAATAAAAAAAATACATGTGTGCAATTCACACGTGGTAGAAGTGAAACCATCAAAAATTAAAATACAATTATCCTAAATGTCTAAGTTTAAGTAAAATTTTGTCATTAGTAAATAATTGTAAATCATCTTATATAGTGAGGTAGCGCCCTCTGTGAATTGATATTTTAACTTCACGTATAATCCTAAATTTAAACTCACTAGAAGAGGTTTCATACACACGTTAGTATTAAAAAATCTCATAGATTAAAAAACACTGTATTAAAAAACCCTACACTGAGACCGTCTAATGTGTTCTATCTCATTCTCTCGCCGGCTGAATCCTATACATTTATGTGTTTGTGTCTCTATGGACTTATTTTTTCGTTTCATCGAGTTCGAAATCACAACGATCCTATAGTATATTGTGCACCGTGTTTTTGCAATTTTACGCGCGGGAGGAAATCTGTTTTTTAATTTTTAAATAAACTACTACTAATTGAATAAGAACTGTCTGATGAACTCATCTTTGTTTAATACTTCACTATTAAAATTTATTGCCTTTTGTTTATTTCACTTTTACACTAAACACAATATTATAAATTACCCGAGCACAACAATGGCGGGGAATTTTAGGTGCGTGAGAGCAGATGTAGACACTAACGCGCATGCGCACTTGTCAGTACCCAGGGAGGAAAAGTTAGACTTTCTTCCCTGTACAGCGGGAGGAAAACCGAACTTTTGGCGTAGGTAGGAGAAAAAAGAAGTTTCACTTCAAAAAAAAAGCAGTCGTACATGTTGTTCTCCGGTGGCGAGTCCCTCGTCGCGCTCGTCGGTGTCCCCGAGCACGAGCGGCTCGTCCGTGCGCGCCCACAGCCGCACGGCGCCGTCCGTGCCGCACGACGCCGCGTGCAGCCCGCCCGCGCCCACGCACACGCCGTGGCACGCGCCCGCGTGGCCCTGCGCACACACAGCACCACTCTAAGCAACAACTACGATACTTTGTATCACTCACTAGCTGACCCGGCAGACTTCGTAGTGCCTCATCGATAGATAAAAGACCTAAACTTTTGTATAAAATAAACTTAAAACAAACAATAGGAATCCCCGTCCGATGGGTGACACATCAAAGGAAAAACCAAATTGCTTTTTTATTTAATTCCGAGCATTTTCATATTTATCTACCTTTTAAACCTTCTCTGGACTTCCACAAATAATTCAAGACCAAAATTTGCCAAATCGGTCCAGCCGTTCTCGAGTTTTAGCGAGACTAACGAACAGCAAAGAATTTATATATATATATATATATATATAGATATTGTGTGTATTCTATTCTATCAGCCCACAGACATACACTGTTGGACATAAGCTCCCCCAAGCCTCGCCACAAAGGACAGTTCTGCGCAGCCTACTACACACTGCAGGAATAGGCACTTGAGACCTTAGACCTTATATCTCAAGGTGGGTGGCAAAAAAAAAAATACACATCTAAGAACTAGTAGAACAATACTCGGCATTAAAAACATTTGATAGTACAGATAGATGATATTGACAAACTCGGCTCCACTCACATTCAGCGTGATGATATTCTCGGAGGTGTCGGCGTCCCACTGCTTGATCTTCCCGTCCTTCGAGCCCGTGAAGAAGTAGTGCGTGTTGGGCACGAACTGCAGCGCGGTTATGGAATCGTTGTGCGCGAATATCGACTTGTGACAGTCGCCGAAGTCCATGCCCCACGTCTTGACGTTGCGGTCCGCCGAGCCCGTCGCTATGAGGTTCGAATCGTAGCTTATGTCCAGACAGAGCACTGGCAGCTTGTGCCCGTAAAGAGAAAGGTAGAACTGAAAAAAAAATACTTTTTTTTAAAACCTATTTTTCTTGCCGACACGTGCTGGCGATGTTCTTCTTCCGGTAGTAGATTCTGCGAAGCACGCCTCTTGCTAGGGTTCGTGTTAGCAACGTAGTCAGGTTTGAGCCCCGTGAGCTCACCTACTAGTTAAGGTTACGCTGAAATAGCCTCTCAAGGCTCTCAGCTTAGGTAGGAAAAAAAATTGATGTTCTTCTGTTTGTTCAAATCAAATATTATTATAACTAATGTTGAAATGTCAACGGGCATCTAGTGAATTGAATGCTTAAAACCAGAGGACATTTCAATATATTTTTTTGCCCTTATAGACAGGGCCCTTGCATACGACACACACGATGGTAAGTGGTAATTAAGTTATAATTAATTATAAATTATCATCAATATTTTAGTTTATGCGTAAAGAAGAAACGTAAATGAGAACTTACCTTAAATGTATCAAGGAAAAATATTTTAACAGTACAGTCCAATAAGGCGACCGCGATGAATTTGTTGTTGGGACTGATTTTTACAGCCGACACTTGCTCTTCCAATTTCAGTGTTCTAGTATGAAGTAATGATAAAACCTAAAAAAAATTAACCATAGTAAGCATTTACTGTGTTGTATTTCATAAAAATATTGGTCTATTTTTGCTACCTTTCCTTTGGCTTCGACTATTGGATCATTTATTAATTCAAACTGCCATAGCTTTACAGTTTTGTCGGCTCCACCCGTGTAGCAACCTCTCTGTAACACAACGATAAAGAGTTCATATTATTTAGCGATTTTTCATTTTCTGTTCGACTTTTTTTGTTTTTTATTGCTTAGATATGACGACGAGCTCACAGCCCACCTGGTGTTAAGTGGTTACTGGAGCCCATAGACATCTACAACGTAAATGCGCCATACACCTTAAGACATAAGTTCTAAGGTCTCAGTATACGGCTGCCTCGACCTTCAAACCGAAACGCCTTACTGCTTCACGGCAGAAATAGACGGGGTGGTGGTACTTACCCGTGCAGACTCATAAGAGGTCCTACCACGAGTAGGCTAGTACTTTAATATATTTAAGAGTTTGGCGAAAAAATAAGGCTGAGCGCTTTTTTCGAATACAGCTAAAAAGCGCAGTTTTTGTTATTGTGAGCCATAGGTTAGTTAAGTGTTTTACAAGAGCTCCCAAAGAGCATAACATGCATTCGAATTCTGTGAGCACTTTACATAAGGCAGTGAACTTATACGTTTACATTTAGCAATTACAAAGCTAGTTAGTCACCAGATCCGGAGTGAGTCCGAGGGCGGTGCAGTTGTCGGTGTGCGCGGGTATGGTCTCGAGGAGTCGTCCGGCCGCCACGTCCAGCACCAGCAGCGCCCCCCCCGCACACCCCACCAGCGCGTGGCGGTCGCCCGGGGCCAGCGCGGCGCACAGCGGCCGCCCGCACGGCACCTCCATCGTGCGGACGCACGTCTGACTAGATCTACAGATAACATTTTTTCAAGGGATTTTATGACCTGGTAACTAAGACCTTTAAGTCATGTCTTATTTTTATTTATATTCTTATTTTTATGAAAAATTATAATATGGAGTGAAATGAAATAAAATGAAATGAAATGAAGATGATTAATTTGAGACATTAATCAACTGGGATGAAATTAAATTAAATGAAATGAGATGAGATGAGATGATATGGGATAAAATATAATCTTAGTAAAATGGTGGTCATTTACTGAGACTTTTTCAGTGGCCTTTTTGGAGGACCCCGAGAATTTACGTTCAGCGGCTTTGTTTCATTTTCCCTTCATTTGTGCACTTGCATACATACTAAACAGTTAATAAACCACCGTTAATACACATTTACGCAGTTGGAACAGCGGCAAATGTAGGTAAACATTCCAACTGCATACAAATTTGAGTTAACTTTTACCCTATCGATAACTTTAAAAAACTCGCACTAAGCACACCATTTCTATAAATATTAGGATTTCATGATTATCATCAGATTAAACCGATAGTAATTTGTCAATATTTTTTTAATACTAAATAATACGCACCTATTCCAGAGTTTGATGGAATCTGCTGATGCAGACAGTATTGCTAAGTTATCTGAACTGATCACTACACATCTGGGGTCCTTTTGATGACCAGGCTGAGTTATTTGTTTTAAGCACCGCACTATAAAAAAAAAAGGTTTCTTATTCATATGTTCATTCATACATGTAGGCATTAAAAATGATTTGATTGAATGTAGGTTATCATTTTCAATAGAAATTATCCGGTCTGTGAGTAGCTGGGGCTTTGTGATACCAAGGATCAGGAATGATAAAAAAAAAACATTTGCATCCATAGGCATATAGGTACATGTTATAATATCGATTACAATTTTAAATTTACAAAAATATTGAATCAATCACAACCAAGTCAATTCACAATTCCTGAACGTAAATTTACAGGTTCCACATATTACTGATAAACTACTTTATTCAAATTTACCTTCATCTCCATCTTCTAGTTTCAAACTATGCAGTTCAACTGTATTGTTAGCCAGTGTAATACCAACACGCACCTCCCCTGTGGTACCCAGCAACAACGTTGCAGACTTTAACTTGGAATTCACCTTAACTGAAGTCAACCTTCTCACTTCATCTGATAGTGTTAATATTTGGGGTATCTCTGTAATTTCCGGGTCCACTTCACCAGTTTCTTTAAGTTTACTAAAAACAAAAACTTCCATTAAGAGTGCACCTAACAAAAACCTTATTTCTGTATGTTAATAGAGCTGATTTACATATAGTAAATTTTATCATATGTATTTAATAAAACTACCTAGAAAAAAAACTTTTTCATTTAGTTATATGAAATTAGGTTTATTTTATTGTCAATGTCTCACATTCCGCTTGGTGTTAGGATACAATATACAAACTCAAATAATTCGTAGAAGTGCTATTCAAGTAATATGTTCCATGGGAGGTACACTCTGCGGAGTTATTTTTGATGATCTGATCATCTAGATTTTAAGATAGTACCAGTCGCCATCAGAACATTATTCACCAAGGCAATGGCTCACTCATCATTAGGCAATAAAACAAAGTAGCAACACATCCCCTTAGTCATAGTCCCAAATACAGTATGTTATCATACATACATAAAAGCCAGAATTCTTAATTACATCTCAGCAGAAATATGGACTTGAGTCTGATCTTGATCCCGGTAAAAACCTACACATACGTACGCTAATTTTTTTCGTCGCTTCTTTATTCGTTTATCCATTCTCATTTTAGCCTGTTCATCTGAGCAGAAAGCAAAAAGTTCGAGAAGGGAATCGGTTCCATAACAAGCTAATACAGTCTGCCCTGGGTCCGTTGCAATACCCACAACTCTTCCTTTACCACCTCTTACTAATGTTCCAACTTGATGACATTGTAAAACCTAAAATGAGATTTAAAACAAATATATATTTTTAAAGGTCATTCTTACAACACAAAAATTATTTTTTGTATGACAGATATTTTTGTTAACCGCTCATATTCCAGAGTCCCATACAGTCAGAAAGAAATAAGCAATTGAAAGCAGAAATAGATGATTCAAACAGCTACCACTTTTTTATTTCAGTACTATAGCATTTTACATTTGTCCTGGTGATGAGTAATTACATTGCACAGTTCAACTTTAATACTCTTACGCCGGTAAGGGTAACGCCATCTATCGCCGAATAGTCGAACGAATATCGAAGGATCTAGTAGATCATCTAGAACGCTCGAGAAGTACAACACCATCTATTGTCAGATAGCGGAAACACTTGTGTGGAATATTCTCGATAATTCTAGGGATGTCGTATCGGCTATAAAAGCGTTGCAGAGATGGCACACAGTCAGTTAGTAATCGGAACTACTCGAAGTGAAAAAGCGAACAGATCATCTGAAGCAAAGCGGAAGAAGCGAATTGAGAATTTTAAAGTGTTCTCTGTCTAAGTGATAAATGCAGTTTTAATTTATACTTCGGTGGAATTTTATTTATCCCAAACCTCAGCACGTAACAATACCAACAGATAAAGATTCAAAATTCTGACACTTACAGAGCTCTCTTCGATTTCGTCAGTTTCTTCTAGTTTGACTATTTCAAGTTGATGTTTTAGTTTATCCTCGTCTTTTACATCCTCAGTCCAGTTTAATTTCCATACTCTAAGCTCTTGGTCCATACTTCCTGTTACTAAGTACCTCTCCTCTTTTAAGAGCACTGCAGCCCACACCTGAAATTTAATCAAGGGTGTGTCAAATAGATCAATATTTTTTGGACATATATTTATGTAGTGATGATTTACAACTGCTTCACATTATTTTATTATTATAATAATAATAAGTAGAAATACTCCAAACTAATAGATTTAAAAATAATTTATTACATTTACCAAAGCTCTTTTTTATATTTATTGTTTTCAATTAAATTATCATTGTCCACTGATATTAATAACACTATATTACACATTAGGGTATCAAAGTCTCATTGTCACAAACATTATCTAAAAGAAAATCATCCTATCTAGAACTGAAAAATATTTTTAGTATAAATGATAATTCATCATGAATATGCCACATTCCACCCGATTAATATTAACTCAATAATGGAACACTACCCTACATGACACTTTAAGACATGAGGATGGAATCTCAATTATATTAGTTTGAATATAACGACTCTCACACCTCTAGATAGTAGTCCATCTGCAGAATCTGTTGAAACAGCTGTAATTTCTCAACTTAGTTATTATTATTAACATAAGCTTATAAATCTATACCAAAACTGCACATACCTCCATCTGATGCCCTCCAAGTGTCTTGAAGCAATGTTTAGTCTCAATATCCCAAAACTTGACAAATGTGTCTTTTGATGAAGTCACAATGCAGTTTTTTCCATTTATAAATGACACACTTGTGATAACACCTTTGTGGCCACTGAACCTTACTTTACCTGTTTCTGATATCACATCCCAAAGAATTACTTCTGTGTCCTTAAAGATAACAGATAAGTAATGTGTAATTACTCACTGGTTTCTTCTAATACTTAAACAATCTATGACATTTTTAAATCAATTATTTGTTACAGTACTACTAAATCTATTTCCAACAAAGACTTTTTTTATAATTAAGATTGGGCAGTATGATGTCTTCATATTTTTATGCGCATGCTTAGTGGTAACTTTTAATTGGTTTTGCTAGTAGATAAATGGTGGTCAGTTATTCTTGTGGTAACAATGTTACTAAATTTAATAAAATTAAAGTGTTTTATTGCTACCTATAGCATTTAATAACTTTAGTTAGATTGTAAATAGATTCAATGAATTACTATCAAGAATATTGATTTCAAAGCCTTTTTCATTTTGATAGGCACAAATAAGCAGTAAGATGTAATTAATGTGCCCTCCCAGTGCACTTTTATAATCCCTGTTACATTTTAACTCTTACCCTTATAAACAACATTTTTTTTTAGGATTGCAGGATTGTTTTTATAAAAACATCATCATTGAGACTAGGTGAGTGGCGCATTTACGTTGTAGATGTCCATGGGCTCCAGTAACCACTTAACACCAGGTGGGCTGTGAGCTCGTCCACCCATCTAATCAATAAATAAAAAAATAAAAAAAATGTATACTGTTAATTTAAATAAAGATTTTAAAACCATTTTTTAACTATAAATTTGTTTTTTAGTTTGACATTTCTATAGACCAGGGGTGGGCAAAAGCCGGCCCGCGGGCCGGATCCGGCCCTTTTGCTAATTTTATCCGGCCCGTTGAAAAATTCCGCACATAAATTTTTTTAAACTCTTTTATGAGATTTTGTTGACATCAGCATTAAAAAAGCATATGCGGTAAAAAAGCATATGCGGTATAGTCCTCCGGCCCGGGAGACATTTTGAAAATTTCATTTTGGCCCGCGCTTTAAAGTATTTGCCCACCCCTGCTATAGACTATCAGAAAAAAAATGATGCTACATCAATTTATGACTCTTTTGGTATTGATTGGTTATTATACACATCACAACTTGAATGCTCAACTTGAAATCTGAGCTTGAACTCTCGTTTGCACTATATAACATGGGTTTAAACCTTCAAAATAGAATTCACACAAACCTACCTTTGATCCAGATACCAAACGGTGTCCATGGTCATCAAACTGCAAGCAAGTAATAGCAGATTTGTGCCCAGCAAATACACAAACTACTTCATTGTTGGTGAGTTCAAATACATTAATATTTCCATCAAACAAACCAACGGCCATGTGGTTTCCAGTAGGACTTGCGGCAAGTTGTGTTACAACTACATTCTCTCCAGGCAACACTTGTGCCTAGGAATAAATTGGTTCAGTATTATTTTTTTATCAAATAATATACGCAGTATACACAAAATTAAAGCAGTGCTCAACAGAACTGAGTTAAAGAATTTATATCCTTGATGAAATCAAGAAAAAAAATTGCCATTGAATTATGAATACAGAAAATTTCTACTTTTCCTTTTATATATTTTAATCTCTGAATAACTCAAGTAAAGGTTTAATTAATAAGCTTTCAACTAATCATTCATCTCACAATAGGTGATAATTTAATTATAATGTTATAACTAGAGATTTACATGATTACTATGAATGAAACTTGTCAATTTTGTATATTTTAACATTTTAATTTGGTTCATTGGATCCTGTTTATATTTTTAATACATGAAATGCATATCTTTAGTTCAACATCGTTCTATTTGAAGTTTTAAATGAGACTATGCAAAATATTACAGAAGGGTATATGAATTGAATTGATTTGCATAAAATATATTTAACCAGTAATTTTGAGGTGAAATTAAATAACATTTATACAGGAGTTAGTTTCAATGTAAATTTTGCTTCACTAAAAATTATACCTTTAATTCAAATATAAGATAACCGTGAATGAAGCGATATAAAACATTGATAAATACATAAATAACAGGCCCCGGATAAAGGGTATTTACATATATCTTACCTTTTCACCAAGTTTCATGTCCCAAATAATAACATGTTCACATGCTCCAACAGCGATGTATCTACCACTAATACCATTCAATGTTACATGTGTGCTATTACAGTCTGCACTTGCAATAATATTAAAAGAGCCGGTCGGGGCGTACCGCAGATATTGTTTAGTTAGACCCATGCTTGACACTTTTTATTTTGTTTAGGTATCATCACCTCACTAACCTCAATTTTCTAAGCACCAAAACCAATAAAATTGAAGTCAACTTCAACTTTTCATTCATAAAAACATTCTCACTTGACATTTGACAATTGACAGCAAGATATAATGACAGTTAAAGTTTCCAATTCTTTATTTGTATTTAGTTATCTGTGAATACTTTCAGAATTTTGTGAGGATCATGTATTTAACCAGGTGGACCGACGACTTAGTGCGCACGGCGCGGGCGGGAAGTCGTTGGATGTGGAAGGCGGAGGACCGCATTCTGTGGAAGGCATTGGGGAAGGCCTATGTCCAGCAGTGTACAGATAAAGGCTGATGATGATGATGTATTTACTTCTTTCTGCGTCTTTTCTTAAACATAAATGACTGAAATAGCTCAAGAAGCCTCTTATCTCACCACCTGGATGCTCTGACGGACTACCAACAATGATGGCTGAATTGGACTCATTTTCCCTAACGGCTTCATCGGTCAACTGTATCCCTGAAGTGGCCGAGTGTCTAGTTTCATTGTTGTTTCATATTGATCTTTTCACCTCTAACGGTTCTGTACCAGCTGGAACACAAACGTTATGCCGGCCACTCACACGCGCGCAAACATTCGTACATTGTAGGAATGTTCGCGCGCATGTGAAGGGCCGTCAGACATTCATTCGCAAACTTAGCGGCTGTGCAAATGGGTTCGGTACTCAATTTGCGAACCCGTTTGCGCTTTCTGCTACACTTGTTTACGAATATCTCACGAATTTCTCCTCCTTTTTAATTCGTCAATAGAATATTGAAGAGAAAAAGAGTTTTGAATTCTTTCCCAGACATCATTAACAGACATGCTGTTTTATGGGATTTCTTTTGATGAAGATACGCTACACAGTAGACGTCACGATCTATGAAAATAGCGAAACGTCCGTTGCCTTCGCAATCGTGGGCGCAACTGGTCACACGAATGTGTGGGAGACTACGCGAAGGATCGCGGTTCGTGCGCTTTGATGTCTGTTTAAAAACCGACAGAGCTTGGATAGCCGCGAATGCAGCGAAAACTTTGCATAGTCATTTGCAAATGTCGTCCTACACTTGTGAGTTTGCGTATTCGTGCGAATGTGAGTGACCGGTATTAGGCGAAGGTACAGCTGACGAAATAAGGTATTTTGGATTAAATTGTGTGTATGTGTTTAATTTAATGTTTTGATGGAAATGTATTTTTGACATGAAGCCCATTACCATACTTAGAAAAAGAGGATAACAAAATGTATTATCTATGGATTCATAGAGCAGACAAGGCTGTATGGGCTCAGATTCCCATGCCTTCCCTAACAAGGAAAAATTGTACAAAAAAAATATATCTATGGATTCCATCTTTTTTTCTAAATGTCACACAGTAGTTCCCCCTCTGATGATATTCGGTGAAATATGTGAGTTTGATGTGAATGAAGTATTTTCTCTGGTTTTTTCAGATCAAGTACCTAACTGCGTAGACGTTTAATTGTCTTCTAAATAAATTATTTTCGACATTCACAAATATTATCATTAAAAAACCTTCTGGATATAGTTGGCTTCAGGTTATTATGTTACTCAACAAAACCAGGTTTATTATTTTTCTTGTTGACCCAACATGACGCTATCCTGAGAGGATGTATATTGTTCTCTAATTGCGGACCAATGTCACTTAAAATGTTACTGTTTCAGGTTGGTGGGTTTATCGAATAGATCTCGAAATTGCAATATGGACGGGAACTCCACGTCGGACATTGTTATTTTGAGTGGAAACTCACATCCTGAATTAGCTGATTTGATTGCCAAGTAAGTCATTAAGACTACGTCTTTTGACCATAAAAATCAAAAAAAATNTTGTTCTCTAATTGCGGACCAATGTCACTTAAAATGTTACTGTTTCAGGTTGGTGGGTTTATCGAATAGATCTCGAAATTGCAATATGGACGGGAACTCCACGTCGGACATTGTTATTTTGAGTGGAAACTCACATCCTGAATTAGCTGATTTGATTGCCAAGTAAGTCATTAAGACTACGTCTTTTGACCATAAAAATCAAAAAAAATCACAGGTTATAAATTGAGTTAAGAAGTAAAAGTAAGTACAGTTAAATTAGTGATTCTAATAAGCCGTTGGCCGCATTTAATCTGAAATTCATTCCATTTAAGGGGAAAAAATTTGATTTGTTACATATCCATTTATACACATTTTGATTAATTTAATTTTAAAGCCGCCTAGGTGTGCGTAAAGGAGGTTGTTCAGTATACCACAAGACTAACAGAGAGACCATTGTGGAAATTGCTGATTCAATTCGTGGCAAGAATATTTATATCATACAGACTGGAACCAAGTGAGTTATGGTTTAAATTATCTCAGTTGAAAGCTGTTATTTATCCTGTTTTTATACTGATGTGGCACAAACTTATTTCATTCTTGCTCATATTTTACAAGATAGCTTGGCACGATATTTATTCTTCTTGTGATTTGATTTGGCCTATAGTTTTACTATAATATGCTGGGCTTGATATGAACCCTCTTTGCATATATGATAAACAAATTTAAACAATGAAGTCTTTCATTGTTAATGAACGTTTGCTTAACAATGAAACCATTAATAATACATTGTAATATTTAAGTCCCTGCTAACAGTAACAATACCAGTATCCTCAGCAGCATTGTTAATAAGTTTATCATAATATTTAAGTATTTCATTTTAAAAGAACTTTTAATCATATTTTAACAACGTTTTTACAGAGATGTGAACAACAACATAATGGAATTGCTTATAATGGCTTACGCTTGTAAGACTTCCTCTGCCAGTTCAATTGTTGGTGTAATTCCATACTTACCATACAGTAAACAATGCAAAATGCGGAAACGAGGATGTATAGTTTCTAAACTTTTAGCCCAAATGATGTGTAAATCAGGTCTTTCACACATTATCACTATGGATTTACACCAAAAGGAAATACAAGGATTTTTTGACTGCCCCGTTGATAATTTAAGAGCATCACCATTCTTACTTCAGTATATACAAGAAAGTGTAAGTGCATTAATAAAATAATGTTTATTATAATAGATTACGGCATTCTGTACTTATAAAAAACAAGTTCTTTCTTCCTATTCGTACACTCTTGACAGAGTGGTTGTGGTCATGCATCAGTCGGATCCTGCGATACCGATGCTCTTGCGATGCGACGCCATGTGGCACGATGTTTCGCAGAGTGAGAGCAAACATTTATGTTGGAGTGAGTAACAGACTTTATGAGGACGGTCCATCATGTTGGAGATCGTCCGCGAAATCTTTTGCCCTCTACTTTCCCTTGCACCACCAACCGCTCAATGGAGTCCGCTCAATGGAGTCAAAAAACAAGTATATTCATTATTTTTAGCAATATTTTTATAGTTTTTAGTTAAAATTTGAATAAAGCCAGTTTGAAATATTCTAAAATTGAAGTATCTTTAATAATAGTATTTGATAATACTTCGATTAGTAGTATTAAAAGTTGCAAAGAGTACTTCATAAATGGTTTAAAAAAAGAATTGGGTGGAATAGAGACAGTTAAAGACTATAACTGTTGAATGATATATTATTTTGACATCATAGGTGTACAACCAGTTGGTCCATCTGATGGTGAGTGCTTCCAGTTGCTCATGGACCTCAACAATACCAGGGGCACAGTGAAGCTGCGACCTACTGTTAATTATTGTAGTACTTATAGGGATTAATATTATTTGTCTTATATCTATTGAATATTTAGACAAATCACTCATCATCATAAGCCTCCTCCTAGCCACATCAATCATCATACATATAATTAAAACAGTATCCATTCTGTATATTGAAGAAAAGTAATAGAATTACAAAGGGGGTAAATAAAGAAAAATGTAAGCTAAGATAGTAAAATAAAAGCAAGTGCACAGGGATAAAGCTGAGACCAGAAAAATACTATATATAAATAAAAATTAAATGCTATTAGGTAATAATATTACTTTGAAAGGGCTCAACATATATGTATGTATTGATGATCCTCATTAGGATATATTTAGGTAGGCTACTAATAGCCTTTATACATTATATAATAATTTTGTTTATAATAATAATTTTGTTATATAACAAAATTATTTTATTGTCATTTGTTATTGATATGTGCAACTTTTCAAATTAATCTAAATCTTAAAATTTAATCTTTATGAATAAAAAATAATAAAATTAAAACTTTTCATTTTACTCACTGAGCGCTTCGTCGCAAGCGATGGGTTTGGCGAGGATGGTGACCAGATGTCACATCAAGCTGTGGTGGTCACTATAAAACTTTTATATTTTAGAGGGAGAAATGTTTATCTACGAATCGAATCAAGTGGTGCCCTTACTATGACTTATTTTTATAAACATTTGCTTAGTACAATTATTTATTCAAGGTGCAAGGTGTGATGAGATGACAAAGAAAGAGTACCATGTTTGGAATAAATTTTTGAATTAAAATCTAAACTAAGATCACTTTCAGTGCAAAAAAACTAAATATTTGAAAATATTATTAAAAACTATATGTTAATTCTTCTACAACCGCACACACAATCTAATTCTTAATGTGCATATTTATGTAGTTAATAATATAATAAATAATTAATGTAGTTAATAATTCTTGATTCTGCTGTACCTTATTACCAATACGAACCTCAACCAGTTCTTGATAATGGTCATGTTACGCCCTACTGGGACTGATCTATCGTCACAGGTAGGTATATTGTTGCCAATAAGCCTGATACATATTGTAATAATAGATCGATCTGTGCGTCGAGCATTGTTGGTTGATATCACTATTCCTCATGACGAGAACCTCGTGAAGGCAGAAAAGGACAAATTAATAAAATATTTAGACCTGGTCCATGAGACTACCGCCATGTGGCACGTTGATTCAACCATCATTGTTCCAATAGTTGTGTCGGTACACGGCTTGATAGTGAAAAGTTTCGATCAACATCTTAAGAAACTTCCGTTATCCAGCTGGGTTTAAGGGCCTAATACAGAAAGCAGTTATCCTAGATACTGCACGCATTGTGAGAATGTTTCACACTCTGGAGTCCTAGCCACTGGTGTCTTGTGTCGTAGACACCGCCATCAGCGGCAATCTATTTTTATATAGTGTTTTTTAAAAATTGTATTTATAATATCTTTTTTAAAAAATATTATGTAATTAATAAGATTTTAAATAAATATAAATAAATAATAAATAAAAATATAATAGACTTCTCTTCTTTCACAATTAAAAGAAAGAAAAAAAATTATTGAGCCTTGATTTTAACATGCCATAATGGAATGATCCAAGGACAAATGTTTTAATATATAAAAGCAATTTCTGTTCTTCCAACGAACATGGACTTAAACTGATATAAATGCAACCATAATGAATATTTGTTAGAAGAAAGCATACCTTACTTTATACTAGGTAATTGAAAAAAAAACCTAAATATTAACATTAAAGATTCCAGATTACCGTAATTCGGTTATAGTGGCCCGGAATCCTGGCTCTGCAAAGAAAGCTACTTCATATGCCGAGCGATTGAGACTAGCTATAGCTGTCATACATGGAGAACAGAAGGAAGCCGAAAGTGATGAGGTTGATGGACGGTATTCACCTCCATGTATACCCAGGTATGTTAGATTTCAAATAACTAATGCTCACCCAATGTTCGGAACTGCAATCGATCATAATCACTTGCACCTCAAGATATAAATTAATTTCTTGTATAAGATGATTTCTTGTTTCTGAAATAATAAAAAAAATTAAATAGTTTTGTACTAATAAAAAAAAAAAAATTTCGTAATCAGACTTGTTTTTTTTGTGATTAATGGATTGTTATAATTCCACATTAAAACTAAAACTGTCACATAAGCGCTGTCAATACAATCCTTTGGAAACTAAATTTCATGAGAGAAGTTTTATTATTTGGGATATCTTAAAATACGTTTATTTATGGCAGTCGGTAAATAACCGGTTCCGAGATATTCTTTTCAAAAAATTCGACAGCTGCGAATCTCTTACAGGTCGCGTACTATGGATGTATCTGTGGGAGTGCCGGCACATCCAGCTAAAGAAAAGCCACCGATAAATGTAGTAGGAGATGTAGGAGGACGAATTGCTATAATGGTGGTAAGTTGAGTTAAGTATTTCATAAATGAGTCGACTATTATCAAAGCCGGCAATCTGACTTTTGGACAATTATTGGTAAATCAGAAAAACGAATTATTGACTTTGTATTCCACTGGCAGTCACAAAACTCTTCGGAACGATATCTTAGATAAATAACAGGTTAAGTATTAACCTTTAATTAATGCAGGTTTTGAACCGTATTCTTTGAAGGAGACGATTATATTCAAATCAATCTGTATTGACATATCAATAATTTTTTTTTGTCCAAATGCACAGATTGCCACCTTTGATAATAGACGACTCAAATAATGCTTATCGTCATCTGTCACTACTAGTTTGTTCTAACCCATACATTAGCCCGTTGAGTTTCTCACCGGATCTCCATACCGGATCTTCCTAATTAGGTTTGCTAGTTTAAGAATTCATAAAAAAAAAAGTTTACTAGTTCACTATTTCTAGGACGACATGATCGACGACGTTCAATCGTTCGTGGCGGCTGCTGAAGTATTAAAAGAGTGCGGAGCCTACAAAATATATGTACTGGCCACCCACGGCCTGCTCTCGTCCGACGCTCCACGATTAATTGAGGATTCGCCCATAGACGAGGTTGTCGTCACCAACACGGTGCCTCATGAACTACAAAAGATGCAGTGCAATAAGATCAAAACTATCGATATATCGATACTGATCAGCGAAGCGATCCGGCGTATTCATAACAAAGAATCTATGTCTTATCTCTTCAAAAACGTTACCCTCGAAGATTAACTCTGAAATCTTCTCTTGTAATACAAGTATTATGCTGTTTTTTGTTAGAGTTTTTGTATTCATTCTTGTAATTAAGCTGTGTAAGGAATAGTGACAGAGGAAATAAAAAAGCAGTGTTATAATATTATTACATATTATATTTTTACTACGATTGTACATAATATGAACTGCTAGAATGATAATGCTAAATGATAGAAAATGTTTGGATAATGTAAATTCCTTATTGTGTATTATTCATTTACAAAGTGAATTTAGTTGATAAAAATGTAGAATGTGCGTAATTAAAGAAATAAATCACCATTTTCATGTTATGTAACAAATATTGCGATCAGCATCTCCACCCAGACACCGTTTCTATGGACCAAATTATTATGTTGTTTTATTATTTGCTACAAGAGTACTTGGGTTTATTGGTATTACGTTTGGCGAATGAATTTTAATGATACAAGATAAAAACAATATTGTGTATTAACTTTGTTGTTGGTTATTAGTAAGCCTGAATAAAGAGAACATAGAAGAGACTACGCTACTTATGTTCCGACATAATATATGTATGTAGGTAAAAACAACAAATATAACTTTTATGGTCTTGTTTGTTAAATTACTACGTTAAAGTCATTATTCATTTTCATAAATATTATTCTATATGTGTTAAATACTTTTTGCATTTACTATTTCAGTACCGGTGGTAGGGAGAATCATAATCCCGCACGAATATGTAGGTACCACAATCTTGCCTATTTAAATCGCCGCCAACCAGTAATTTCAGGTTTGAAGCAGTTGGCGTGGCGATCGTGTGTGATTGCGATAGATTTATTAGAATTATGGGTTCCGGTAAGCACTTAACGTCACTTCCTCTCCCGTCGCTTATTCAAAAATAAATGTATTTTCAGTATTCATTTTTAATCTTGTCATAAAAAAGGTTTCGAGCCAAATACTACTTTGAAAGAAAAACTACTTTTAAAATTTTCTGTATAATTAGAAAAAGCATTTTCTGACACGATTACCAACATTTAATAATAAGTAAAAGTATTACTGAAAAAAATTGTTATTTTTATTATAACATTGGATTGCTTGATGCTGGATATACACATGCCTATTTTACCTGAGAATTTAAATGAATTAAACTGATTATCAACATTTCCCGTTATTGGGTGAGCAGAAATTCGCCGGACTTCCGCCTGCCTACAGGTTGGGGGCGGTAGGCGGGGCATGTCGGAGTTGAACTGATTAAAACCTTTTTCACCCCACAACCCACCCACAAGAAACTTTGGATGAGGCTGAACTCTACACAAAGGTCGACTCGTGTTCAGCATCGAGTGGCGATGGCGTCCCCGCCGGGTGGTGGTGTGATAACCTCGAATAGCCCTGACCTTTTTATTACTGGTGGTAGGACCTCTTGTAAGTCCGCGCGGGTGGGTACCACCGCCCTGCCTGTTTCTGCCGTGAAGCAGTAATGCGTTTCGGTTTGAAGGATGGGGCAGCCGTTGTAACTATACTGAGATCTTAGAATATATATCTGAAGGTGAGTGGCGCATTTACGTTGTAGATGTCTATGGGCTTCAGTAACCACTTAACACCTGGTGTGCGGTGAGCTCGTCCACCCATATAAGCAATAATTAATAAAAGAAAACTGTGATGACGAAGCTGCAACCGCTGCAGCAGTTTCGCCACTCACGGGCAGGGACTGACACATACAAGAACATTGTGCTCCGGACTACGAATAATAAAACTATCGTAGGCTCCGAAGCAGCGTGTTGCCTGGTCAGTCCTTAGTGTTGGGAGGAACCCGGCTCAATGCGCCCACCGTCACGACCGCCTGTGGACATCGTCATTAAAGATATGCGCGATATGTCTAACGACTGGCTATATTGAGGTCAAGATACTTCCATTGCACCCTGACCTTAATGCGAACACCTCTAACCACTTTATGACGGGAGATGTGTAGTTCTCAGTCGGCGGCGCTCCCTGAGGCCTGAGGGTAAGCACTACCTCGAGGCCCGATATTTTAATCCGCGTCGGCCGGATGCCACTTCAGTAGTAGCAAAACAAGCAGACCTGCGAAAATGGTCCCTTCAGGCCACAGCCAGTCTGTGTTGTTACACAGAATCCCCGGAGGCTGGGGATAAGGATGCCTCTCAGTACCCAGTCCATTTTCACAGGATAGAGCCAAAGACCGATTACTGTAACATCGCCCATTATCCGGAAATGTTGCGTAACCTTCCGTGTCCGATACAAAAGTCAACATGATAATACATTACTGTTGCTGCGCAGCCCATAGTTACGGGAACGTGACTATTCAAAGACGACAACCAAGGCATCAAAGTGACATTGAACGGGAAGGATATTTTCAGTGTACTCTTTGTGTAGCGACAGCTGTTACTATTGTTATTTTCCTGTACTTTAGTTGATGTACGCACTACTGTGTAGTGGTTGTCGTACCGCATCTATAGTTAAAACATGCTCATCACCGCCTATTTTGAAGTCAAAGTTTCAATTGTGAAATTTTTGAGTTGGATTAGATTCCTAATTTGGCAAATGCATGCTCCGAATCGAAGTAAATCTTCGACAGGATTATTACAAAAGTCACCTAGTTACGGAGATGCAATTTCATTTCATCTCTCTCATCGAGCACCACAGTATTGTCTTATCTAAACTTATTTCATACAACAGTATTACGTTTTGTTCTATCTCCCTTTTCAAAAATGGCTTGGTTTTTTGTAACAAATTAGAATTATGGACCGTGCTTTCTATATCTACCCAATGGAAGAATTCTTAAATTAAGCTGTATCGTCTTTAGGACGAATCAAATAAACAACATTGCCTTAAAAGACTCTTTACCAGGTCATAAAATGTTTTAAAAAAGATGATAAGTCACAACCTGTCTAATAACACAAATTCACAACAATAAATTTAATTTAAGAAAAAGATAGGTACATAAATGAACAGCACAAGTGAAATATATATTGGAGTTTAATCGGGGCTCGCCCCATTGCAGCTATTTGTTGTATTTCGTAGGTACTGTTAGTGAAGGTGTACAATCGCATTTTAAAGAAATAATTAGGTTAGGCCGATAGGTACAGCCACAAAACTAAGATGATTTTAAAACGATTAATAAATCACCAAGTTACATACTGGACCTTCAAAAGGTCTTATGCCAGTAGAAATATTTTAAAATTAAGTGAACGCGGAATGTATCAAGATTTGTTCCCGAACACTGCGGGGTAAGTGAAAATAAAGAATAAAATTTAACTGAAAATAGTAGGCATTCGACCGATATTATACAAGCTGAAGCATTTTGAGTTACCTTAAAACATAATAAAAATTATAGTACTAATCCTAGATTTAATTAATTTTCTTGGCATAGAATTGTATAGAGAATTTTGACAATTAGGAGCAGCACTTAGGTAAGGTGAACCTGACTGAAAATGGAACCAAATTTTTCAAATAGTAACAAGTTATTTTCATTTATATTAAGACAGATACTATAATGTTGGAAATTACTTAACATGTAAGCAATTTGCATAATAAATAATCAATTTTATTTTAGAAAAGAAATATTAAATTTGTTGAACAAAGCCCCACAATGTGTTTATGCTGGTTTTGATCCAACAGCTGATAGCCTTCATGTTGGGAATCTACTGGTAATAATAAATCTACTCCATTGGTACAGAGGAGGACACAAAGTCATTGCATTGGTGAGGCAGATTTTATTATTGGTTCTTTTTGTTTATACTTACCATTTATAAATGTCTAGGTAGATTTGCTTGATAATATGTTCATTTTTTTTATTTTTTTATTGCTTAGATGTGTAGACGAGCTCACAGCCCACCCGGTGTTAAGTGGTTACTGGAGCCCATAGACATCTACAACGTAAATGTGCCACACACCTTGAGATATAGTTCTAAGGTCTCAGTATAGTCACAACGGCTGCCCCACCCTTCAAACCGAAACGCATTACTGCTTCACGGCAGAAATAGGCGGGGCGGTGTTACCTACCCGTGCGGACTCACAAGAGGTCCTACCACCAGTAAACATGAAGTCATTGAACATGGAGTCATTTTTAACAATTCTTTCTTTCACAATTTATTACTTACCTAAATAAATTGCGTAGTAGATAGTAAATATATTGATATTTTAATCACTGTATCAAAAATGTTAGTTAGGGGGTGCAACTGGGCATATTGGTGACCCGAGTGGCAGAAACACCGATCGTGCAGCATTACAAAAAGAAGTTATAGAAAAAAATATAAAATGTATCAGGAACAACTTGGAAACTATATTTGAAAATCACAATAAATACATCTCATCCAAAGATGATGGACCACCACAATCACTAAGGTATTATATAAAAACATATTAAATTATAATATCGACGCTTGAAAGGCAAAAGTGACTAAGCGACAATAACTGCTTTGTACATAAATGATAGGCAATAACCATATTCAATGCGCAAAAAAAATATATTTCTAGGTCTACTAAAATCATTTCAATCCTACAGCTACTAGCTAGATTCTACTACAGCTGGATTCGTTAAAATAAATTTTGTTTTTGTGTATTTCAACTTTAAATTAGTCTACTGCAAATTTCATGTATTGTCGCTTAGTCACGTTTGCCTTTTAAGCGTCAATGTTTCTGTGCTATCTACATGTCTGCCATGTTGAATTTTTGGTTACAGAATAGTCAATAATGAAGAATGGTATAGAAAAATAGATTCAATACAGTTTGTAAGCGAAATAGGTCGTAATTTTCGGATGGGTACAATGCTGTTAAAACACAGTGTTCAATCTAGAATCAATTCTGAAGTTGGCATGAGTTTCACGGAATTTAGCTATCAGATATTTCAGTCATATGATTGGTTACATTTACTAAAAGAATATGACTGTAGGTTTCAGGTAATTATGATGTACTTATTATTATTAGTTAACTATGGGCATCTGACTAGTAGTGAGCACTACAATAACGTTTTTGATCTGCAAAATAATATATATTTTTTTAAATTATCTTAACTTGTTTCATTTTCTTACAGGTAGGTGGCAGTGATCAGATGGGTAATATCACAGCTGGCCATGAATTAATAAGTAGAACTGCAAAGACAGATGTTTATGGTTAGTAAAATGTGAGTCAAGAATACAAACAAATTTATTCTGTTGAATTTGTCAAACTACAAATAATTTTAATTTTGAAGTGGTGTTTATGAAACATGTTTATTTTTTGCATTCAAAAGTAGACTTGTATACTGTATAAAAAGAAAAAGGTATATGAGTAGGTTGCCAGCTGTACCTGACGTAAACTGTTCTGAAAGTCATAGATCAGCCGGTGATCTTCAAGCTACTTTAGGAACTACGTTTAATTCACTCTATTCCTTTGGAAAGCTAGGAAGTTGTCGTGAATTGCATCCGTCTCTTCCAGTCGCCACCATGTATGCCTTAGAACCATTGCGAGGATGCTATCAGCCCAACTTGACTTATGAGGAGCTGCATAGTAACAGAGGAAAATTAAAAGTTCTCGATGCGGACTAAAACAAATGTTTTACTAATAATGAAACCTTTAATTTGAACATCGAAATAGACAAATTGAATTTTGGTTTTGATATTTTTAGGTTTAACATTGCCATTAGTAACAACAGATGAAGGGGATAAGTTTGGAAAGTCTGCAGGAAATGCATTGTGGTTGGATTCAGCAAAAACAAGTCCATTTAGTTTGTATCAATATTTCATTCGAACCAAAGATGCTGATGTAGAGCGACTGTTGAAGCTATTTACTTTCTACAGCTTAGGAGAGATCAGAGATATCATGTATAAACATGAACAGCATCCGGATCAAAGGTATCCACAGCAGTGTCTGGCTGAGCAGCTAACGACTCTGGTGCATGGAAGTACGTAAAGTTCCTAATTTTAATTTGAGATTAACACATATTCATGTTTTCTTTTCACATTTTGCTTGTCTAAGTTGACTTAAAAGTTACGTTTCATATAGAATTGTCTTTATCAACTTGATAGAAAAAATTCCAAGACTGGCATTGAATTTTTAAAAAAAAAAAAACGTTTCGAGGAGTACTTAGGCTAGAAGTCACAGAAAACCCAAGTTTTAATGAAAATTTAATTACCAATATTTTTAATCAAATATATTTGTATTGTAGTATTGGAATGTCGGTATTAATATAATGAAAATAATAAACGCCAGATTAACCCCTAAAAGTAAACATAATTATGTGTATGAGTTGCAAAAACCACAGACAATACTGTGAAAGTTATTCAAAATTAATTTAATAAATTTACAGAGGATGGATTAGCCCAAGCACAAAGAGCAACATCTGCTATTTACAGTAAGGATATTAAATCATTAGTCTCGTTGAAGAGTGATGAGTTGGAAAAAGTTTTCGAAGGTGCTCCCGTTACTAGTTTACTATTATCACCTGGAATAACTGTTTTAGAACTTGGAATGAAAGCTAAATGCTTCCCGACTGAGAGTAAGTTATCGGCACCTCAAGTTAAATTTAAGTCTGTTGTCAACAAAGATGAATATGTACCATTATGTCATTGGTTAGCACGTTTCCGCACCTTTTAGCCCTACCCATTTTTGCTACTACACCAGTTTTGTAACAATAGAAAACTGACAACGAGTTCTGTAATTGCTTTAAGTTTGAACAGTTGTGAACTTTTACGGGCGAATGGGCTCATTGCCCATCTGGTGTCAAGTGGCTATCAATATGACCTCATACACAAAAATGGTGACCGGTGAGTGTGTGTTTTCCATCCAGTTAGAAGTCGTCGTGGCCTAAAGGGTAAGACGTCCGATGCATTCGTGTTGAAGCGATGCAACGGTGTTCGAATCCCGCAGGCGGGTACCAATTTTTCTAATGAAATACGTACTCGACAAATGTTCACGATTCACTTCCACGGTAAAGGAACAACATCGTGTAATAAAAATCAAACCCGCAAAATCATAATTTGCGTAATTACTGGTGGTAGGACCTCTTGTGAGTCCGCGCGGATAGGTACCACCGCCCTGCCTATTTCTGCCGGGAAGCAATAATGCGTTTCGGTTTGAAGGGTGGGGCAGCCGTTGTAACTAAACTGAGACTTTAGAACTTGTATCTCAAGGTGGGTGGCGCGTCTACGTTGTAGATGTCTATGGGCTCCAGTAACCACTTAACACCAGGTGGGCTGTGAGCTCGTCCACCCATCTAAGCAATAAAAAAAAAAAGTTATATATTTAAATTATTATTTTTAGATGATGCCATGAGAATTATAGAAGCCGGTGGATTCTACATCAATCATCAGAAAATAAAGAAAATTGATGAGGTCATAACGCAATCAGCACACATACTACCAAATCTAATATCACTCTTAAGGACTGGGAAACGTAATTATTATATTGTGAAATGGCAAACATAATAATTGTTTATTTTGATTTTCTGAGAATAAAACCAATGTAGACTTTGTGTTATTATTTTATTCCTTACAACAGAAGCTAGGTATACTTGCAGTATATTCATAAAATGCGTATCACATAAAACATCGTAAATACTATATAACATTCTTAATACTAAAATTAATAATATTCACTGATTCCGTTGCTCGCGTAGTGCACGTTTGAAAAATACCTATCTGATTATAAAAATATGGCTAGACGTCTTAGATGTGATATTTGTGCAGCCTTCCCCGCCACGGGCCGGCGGTCCTGCCTGTACGGCATCGAATTTACCTTCTAATATCACAAACATTAATTGTAATTTTGTCTACGCTACTAATTTACGATGTTTCAGAGTGTAATTGCAAGAAACACGGAATATAACGCGTGATAATAAGCGTACTGCTCGTGCACAAAAAAGAGCAAAATAAACATCAGTCTGCTACGGACGACTCGGCGAACGTTAATTTAGGCTATCGCTTGTAATCTAAATAAATACATAATACTCGATCGACGTAAGAAAATACTTTTAGCTCTTATACCCTTCCTCAGCCGAAATCCGATGACTTCGTCAGTGGAGGATAAAAGCAAACATCAGTCTCGTGCGATATCAGCGCGGCGAGCACCTCTCTACAAGTTTGTGCTCTCCTGCAGCGCAACGGACGCCGCCGGTGGGAGTGACTCCGGCTGCGAGAGGGACGCCGGCGGGGCGGACTCCGGCGAGGAGACGGACACCGGCGGCGGTGGCGCTGGCACCTGCGGCCGCGCCGGGCGTGCGCGCGGCGACGGAGACTCGGCGATACTGCCTTCCGACTGCGACAGCTGCCGGCTCGCACTCAGACCCTTGCCCTCGTCGAGCTCTGCGTCCTTACCGCCGGAACTGTGCGTGCGCTGCACAGTCGCCCGCGGAGCCTCGTCGCCGCCGCCCACCTGGATCACAGTCGGTTGTTGTTTGTCCACTGTGTAGATGTGCGTCCGCTCGAGCACGGTCGGCGCGACTTCCACGTCAGAGGAAGAAGAACCCCGAGGCGCGCGGAAGCTTTGGGGCCGCAGTGTGGCCGGCCGCTCGGGCACGGCAGGCTTGTTGCGCAGGGTGACGTCTGCGTCGAGGTCCGTCGCTACAGGTACGAGAGTGCGCGGTGCCGCTACGGGTCGAGGCGGGGGCTGCTTGCCAGCAAGGAGGGGGGAGCGGGCGTCTCCGACCACCTTCATACGGCCGACGACCCCGGTGTGCGCGGTGAGGTTACGCACGACAAGGGTGCAGTCGGCTCGCGAGAGCTCCGTTCCGTCTCGCTCTAGCTCGAGACTCTGGCGCCGCGCATCTGACACGAGTTCGCGGGCGGCCTCCTCCTTGAGCGCCTTGTTCTGCCGATACGTGGACCGGTTGATCGTCTGCACCCCGGTTATTACCTTGCCAGTGTCGGATATGACTGGTCTCGGTGGCTTGGCCGGCTTCTCGACTTCGGTTTTCGCTGCGGGCTGTATCTCTCGCGTAGTTTCGGCTTGAATTTGAGCTGTCGTCTGCGTTTGAGTATCCGTTTTTTTGTTTTTGTCTGGAGTAAAATTTGGCGGGACCGGAGCGAGAGGTTTGTTTTTCCGCCTCGTTATTGGTTTGGGACTTCCGTGGGGCGGGCTGGATTGGTCGGAGAGGGAACTATTGGACTGTGCCTTCTTGATGTCACTTTCTAATAAGATGAGGCTGGTGTCGTGACTGTTGCTCCGTGAATGTCGGCCGGGACCGTCGGCCGCGACCTTGACCTGACTGTACTTGACCTGTTCTGAGTGGTGGTTATAATCGAACATGGATTTGCTCATGCTGCTGTATTCGCCGTTAGATTGATCTTGAGCGAGGGCGGCGGTTTGATTGTATCCGTGGCCGAAATTAGGGGTGAAACCGTCTTGGTATAGGCCTGGTAGCAAATCTTCTTTGGTGAATGAAATAAAAAAGTTAACTTCGTCCTTGAAGAACCAGTCTGCGTGTTTAATTAGGAGCTCCACGACGCAGTTGACAGCTGTTGTGATATTCATATCGAAAGTGCTCTCATCAGCGGCCCACAATAAGTTGGGAGCCACCACGATGGCCAGATTTGAAGGCGTCATTTTGTTCTTATTTTGGTTTTGTGTCAAAGCGGACAAAAATTTTATTAGGTATCTAAGGTTTTGGTAATTAGCATCGGGCAGTAAATGTATACACTCCCATAGGGCGTTAAGTCTGGCCTGTTCTGTCGGTTGTCGTGACGCATTCATAAAATTCTCATAAAGCCTATATGTCAGTAGAGGCTCAGGCAGTTCACGCAAGTATGACTTGAGTACTGACGCCACAACGTGCATATCTCTGTAATCCGGTGGTAAAGGCACACTGAACAACCCCGCATCGAGTGAAAGCTTCATTCTTCTCACTTTTGATGTTGCTGTAATTAATAATATAATAATATGTTAGTGTCTTCTAAACACTTCTCATTTCATGTTTATCGTTTTTTATTTAGACTATTTAAGTTACATAATTAAAACTACTTTTACTATTTATTCTCATGTTTTCTATTATCATTATATTATTTTAAATGTTTCGAATGCTTTAATTTAGTTAAAATATAGCGATAATCGAGAAAATACTTTTACATATTAATTACATAAAGATTTAGATATAAATCATCACATCACATCATAAAGTTACGGCGCCGTCGTAAAATAAAATTGAGAACTTTTTGAAAGCATACACAGAAGCATAACTACATAAATACATACATACATAAAAATTAGCTATTAATTTTGCATTAGGAGCTCACCAAATATAAACTTACTAAAACGAAAATTATTTTTGTATTACTAAGTGGATTTTTGTCATCTTTTCCAGATTGCCTTTTGTTTTTTGGGAGTAGCCCCTTCAATAAAAGCAAACCAATATTTTATGTAAAAAGAACTTTCACATAATAATAATATAATGAGGATTAAAAACCTTTCATTATTATTTTTTTATTTTTATTTTATTTGAGATCTTATCTAATATCTAAAATCATATCTGCCTGAAATATTTACCACCAGCTATTCTGAAGAGTCCCTCCTCATGTAATGCCAATTCATGCAATGTGCAGACGCATAGCTCGATAGGAAAAGCAATGGTGCGCCCAGTAACCCGCAAGTGTTCCTCCAATGGATATCCAAAAACTGGTTTCACAGAACTATCGTCTGTAACAATTACATAATATTAATGACACTGTTTGGTGTTTAATTTGTTTACTGTGATAGATAAATCAATTATCAACCCAGATATAATACAACAAAAATGTAATAGTTTTCTAGTGGAATAAAAAAATACATGCAATACAGTACATATATTATGAGATTGGTAGTCTAGATTTACCACAGATTACCTGTATTATATATATCTGATTTCTGTGGTTGCTTTAAGTGCATTCTTAATAAATGTCTATTAAAAGGATTGACAAAGATAATCAATCACACCCATTGGAATGAATTACTTTAAGTATTTTTACATTACTTATGTATGAGCAACAACCTGCTACATACAAATGATAAGGTTGAAATGTTTCATCATTGATGGACCATTTGCAGCCTAAAAGCTAGTTTAAGAGTAAAATTCCCTAAAACATTGTGCAATAGCATGTAATATAGGTGTAGGACGAGACAAAGATCATGCCTACTAATGTTTAATATTAATTTATTATAATATACCAATAGCCTCAGTGCCCTACTAATGATGACAGATTACTGTTTTTTTTTTCTTTCTATCCCTCTTTTCTATTACTGGTCAGTTCTATTATTACTGTTCAGGTTTTTGATTTATTGTGCTTAGTGTAAATGTGATAAGTCTGACAGCTTTAGTTGTTTGGTTGAACTAATTATTATGCAGGTGTAAGAAATTCAGTGTAGCTAGAGTGAAGAGATGAGTGACAAAAAACTAAAAGGTTTATAGTTAAGGTGCTATTTTTAAATGGCTTAAATCATGAAACAAATTCTCCTCAACAATGTCATTCAATTCTTTTTCTAAAACTTTTAATTATATTATAGTTAATCACAGTACAATTCTTTTATGAGTCAATATTTTATTTCCTGATAAGGACTAATGTTCTATCATCACTTACTGATAAACTTTTCCAACTCTGGTACTGTATCTTGTAGCGAGTGTAGGGCAGATTCATGGTAAGCTCGCTGTAATTTAACATATTGCAGTAGAGTGTGAGCAAGCTGAGCTTCTTTGGCTACAAGGGCAAACATATCCGCGGCAAGAGCATCTCGTGCAGACTCTACTTTTGTGCCAGCTTCTTCAAGTTCCTCTCGGGCTGCTGCTAGTTTTGTGGGATTTTCCTCTTTTTGTTTATCTAAATGCTATAAGGTGATTAATAAAATTAAAAACAAGGGTAATTCTTTCATTCATATTAATTTTAATATACATGACATTATTAGAGGGTGTGCAAATATATTTACATTTATTCTACACAAACAAATTGGATAGGCATTATAGTGTTACACAATATATTGATCTGAAAATGCCATGTGACAGATAAAACACAGTCCATGTCAAAGATAATCTTTTCTGATAAGGAACTCACATTGTATCTACTTGCTGCGGACTCTTTCTCACTAATTAGCCTGCTGAGTTGTTTTTTGGCTTTCATTATTGCTGGTAGATCATGATCACTGATTACCGTTAAAGGTGCACATACCAACTGTTCCACTTTTAACTCATGTTCAGCTATTTCGTTTGCCAAGAACTTCTCAGTTTTACCTAAAATTTTATAGGTCAGGAATAAATTTATTAATAAGCATGGTAGCATGCGTCACAATACCAAATCACAAACACATACAGGTATCAGTTTCAAATTGATACCTGATACTGATACTAAAACTTATAACGGAAAAATGAATTATGAAGAATGTTGATTGATGGTGGGTTAAAAAGACCTATTTTACCTAGAAACTAATTTTAAAACTATACCAAAAGCAAGAAAAGTTTTAATATGGTATACTTTAAATAATCGAGATCAACTTTTTTTCTGTTTGCTGTTTCTTATTAGCCTAGATGGACAGCTCTTGACCCACGTGTTGTTCAGTAGTTACCAAGCTCCACTGATAACTTAATGACCACACAATCATTACTTTAGACATTCACTAAATTATATTTTAAATTAGTATTTCTACTAGCAGATTTAATATTGGTTTACATTTGTATGTATTAATTTAGGATGAATTTACAATATTAGTTAAACAAACTTACCACATTCATATAATATGAATTTTAAAATACTGTCATCATCATCAAAGTTGCTAGCTTCACACAAGGACAAGCCCAATAAATACTCTGGAAGCTTTTTGAGTCTTTTCTCTCTGGCAGCTGGATCTTGACCTTGTGTATTTCCGGCACCTGTCGAAAGCCTTTTACTAACAAGCTGTAAAGCATTTCGCAAGTTTTCCACTTTCCTGTCAGCAGTATGTAGTTCATCTGTTAGGGCCTCTCCTTTTCCTGATCTGTAAACATTAGCATATCAATAAAAAGTTACCAATCTTGGCATAGCCTTAGAACCAAGCGGTACACAACTATAATAATACATACATGATTGTTTAGAGTACTACATTAAGTATACACAAAAAAAAGGCGCAATTTATAGACGTCGATTTGGATAGTTGGAGAATTGCTGGTTTAAATGCCTGTGCTGTACGCAAAGTACCGCTAATGATAAAATGCAATTATTTGAGGACAAAAGAAAAAAAATCTTATCTTTCGCGAGATAAAAGCTCGAAGATCAGACAGTACCTTGAAAACGTTTGGTCTGCAAGTTGTTTCACTCTATAAAATTGTTTCTTCATTTTGGTTGATTATTTGTATGATTTTTATTTTTAAGCCGCAAGGTCATTGGACTCAAAACGTTTATTAACAAAACGATCAAGATCTAACTAAAAAGAACGTAATGACAGAACGTCAATGAGATCATCCGCTGCTATAAAATTCTTCCTACCCAAAGGAAAAAATACACAAACAGTCCAATAAGGCACTACATTTCCAATCGTTAAAATAAATTGACAAACACATTAACTGATATATTTATAAACTCTTAAATGTATCGCTTTTATGATAGGTTTTACAACATAAATGAATTTAAAACATATTCAGGCAGAAACAAAAAATATATTTCTGTGACCAAATGACAAAGGGATGACAACTTAAGATAGGTATAGAAATCGATTTTTTAGTGAAACATTTTAATAATTCATAATTAAGCAATGAATCGATCTCAGACAGTAAAATTTCGAGAGTTGATTAAATTTGTTTCAATAAGAACGCAAATCAAAAATGGTTTCAATTACATATATAATGGCATTTAAACAGAAAAAGTTTTTGTTTGTTCTGATCTATTGTGCTTTGTGTTAGAATGGTTTATTTAACGATTTGTATCCTAATTCTATGAGTATTTAATCATAATATATTGACGCGCGTTTTATTAATAAATAAATAAAATAAAAAATCATAACAAGGTCGATATTTAGAAATCATCTACTCGACCTCAAGTATTAATTAACGATTTTTGTTCGTTGGGATTATTTTATTATATTTGAGTTGAAGTAGAGGAAGTTTCTAAATTATACTGCTATGAAAACTGCGGTCAGAAGCTTATTAAATATAATTTTGTAAAGTAAAGCTATAGAATTTTCGCCATCATCTTTAGTGAAAAATTACCAATAGAATTTTATCTTTGAGAAAAATGTTCTTTCGAAATTCCAATAGTAGTTACATTTTTCAATTAGAAAGACGAAAGTATCACTCCATACAGCCTAATCTCTCATATTAGGAACTTTTATTGTTACGTTAACGTTTGGATCATAGGAGGATGACTGGTTAAATATAAAATTGGACTACCCACAAGTAAGTTTTAGTGAAGTTTAAAAATATTAATGCCTTAGTTTTCGTATAAATGCGTTCGTCCAACGGCTGATAATAGATATTACGATGATCTAGAGTCTAGATTCTAGACCTAGAAGTCATCAGAACACAAGATAAGATCGGAAAGATACTTCGATAAGATGCATCATGATAATCGCTTCATCGTTGCCCTCGCTGACAACTCCCAATTCCGGTTCACGCAGAAACCATTCACCGTCGACCACCCAAACACGACCTTACCACTGAAGTATGAAATCTATGGATCTACTCAGCGGGTCGCGATTCCGATTCGGTAGTAGATGGATCCACGAAGCAGCTGCCCTTGAACTGGAAGGTTTCCTTCGAAAGCGCTCGGGTAGCTGTCAGCAAATCCCACCTCCTGGGTGACCCCTTGCTCGTCGACCGGTCCTGGTGAAACTCGAAAGTCCTTCGAGCCAGTAGTAATCTTCTCATCAAAAAAAGGACATTAGACATTCGAGTACGAACTGCTGGGCCGGCCGGAACTATTTAATATAGTAAAAGAGAAATGGGAGCTACTACAGGTAAATAAGTTTTTATTTCTACTTCGCCTACATGAGCGAACACGCTGGTGACTATGATATTGAATTCAGAATTGCTGACAGCACGGTTTTAAAAAAAGAGAACGTTCTCAATTTTAAATTATCAAAAAATGTATAGTAAGCAAATTTGACCCTAGGTTTCATTAAAACAGTATCATATTTAACAAGAAAAAGGGGAGTTTTTTGAAGTGAAACTTCTTTAGGCGCATGGGGGTAAAATTTTCACAGAACGTCACGCAGGTGTGCATAAATCATAGACCTATATAGTAGGGACACGACATATTGTTCTATACGTACAATTGCTTATATAAATAGCACCCATTTTGAAGGCACATAAATAAACATATATCTATCTCGTTCTTACTCAGCACTTTAACTCGCAGGAAAACAATATAACAGTATTTCAGTGCGTACATAAAATGAAACATGAATATACGTAAATATCTCCGTCTCCGTCTAATGAGGCCGAAAATCCGCCACGTTTAGCGCGCCAAATGTCATTGTCACGTCAGTTCGGCCGTCTGTTTTGGGTTGTACATTATTTATTGACTTTGATATCGATTTAATATGATTGATTATATAAAATTTCATAATTTATCATGCTTAAAACATACAAAAATAATAATTAAAACGTATTTTATAGGATTTCAAGAAAGTCGATGTCCTAAAACTATTATCTATATGTATTTAAATTCATTAAGGAGCCCTCATCCGAAAAATCAATTTTTCGGTCGGAATCTATTGATCATGACACTAATCATAAATACCACTTTAAAATATGTCATCAAAACATATTTAGACATTCTGTTTAGATATTTCGGGAAAAAGGCNTTGGGAGCGGACACAGGGGCGGAGCTGAAGCCCTCACCCCTGTCGTCATCGTCCATTAATACGGAACACACTTATGGAATATAATTTTAAACTCTAACACAGTGAAAAATTAAGAAACAATGTCGTAAAAAAGGGCTAAAACCAAATAAATTAAAATTAACTTGAAAAAAGCGCCTATTTATTTTGACGTTCCCGCCCTTTTCCTTCACACAATCACACAATCTATATATATATTTCTGTGACCATAGATTATACACTTAATATATACCAAATGACAAAGGGATGACAACTTAAGATAGGTAACGAAATCGATTTTTTTAGTGAAACATTTTAATAATTCATATTTAAGCAATGAATCGATCTCAGACAGTAAAATTTCGAAAGTTGATTATATTTGTTTCAGAACGCAAATCAAAAATGGTTTCAATTACTTAAATAATGGCATTTAAACAGAAAAAGTTTTTGTTTGTTTTGATCTATTGTGCTTTGTGTTAGAATGGTTTATTTAACGATTTGTATCCTAATTCTATTAGTATTTAATCATGATATATTGACGCGCGTTTTATTAATAAATAAATAAAATAAAAAATCATAACAAGGTCGATATTTAGAAATCATCTACTCGACCTCAAGTATTAATTAACGATTTTTGTTCGTTGGGATTATTTTATTATATTGAGTTGAAGTAGAGGAAGTTTCTAAATTATACTGCTAAGAAAACTGCGGTCAGAAGCTTATTAAATATAAATTTGTAAAGTAAAGCTATAGAATTTTCGCCATCATCTTTAGTGAAAATTACCAATAGAATTTTTATCTTTGAGAGAAATGTTCTTTCGAAGTTTCAGTAGTAGTTACATTTTTCAATTAGAAAGACGAAAGTATCACTCCATACAGCCTAATCTCTCGTGTTAGGAATTTTTATTGTTAGGTTAACGTTTGGATCGTAGGAGGATGACTGGTTAAACATAAAATTGGACTACCCACAAGTGAGTTTTAGTGAAGTTTAAAAATATTAATGCCTTAGTTTTCGTATAAATGCGTTCGTCCAACGGCTGGTAATAGCTATTACGATGATCTAGAGTCTAGATTCTAGACCTAGAAGTCATCAGAACACAAGATAAGATCGGAAAGATACCTCGATAAGATGCATCATGATAATCGTTTCATCGTTGCCCTCGCTGACTACTCCCGATTCCGGTTCACGCAGAAACCATTCACCGTCGACCACCTAAACACGACCTTACCACTGAAGTATGAAATCTATGGATCTACTCAGCGGGTCGCGATTCCGATTCGGTAGTAGATGGATCCACGAAGCAGCTGCCCTTGAACTGGAAGGTCTCCTTCGAAAGCGCTCGGGTATCTGTCAGCAAATCCCACCTCCTGGGTGACCCTTTGCTCGTCGACCTGTCCTGGTGAAACTCGAAAGTCCTTCGAGCTAGTAGTAATCTTCTCATCAAAAAAAGGACATTACACATTCGAGTACGAACTGCTGGGCCGGCCGGGCCTATTTAATATAGTAAAAGAGAAATGGGAGCTACTACAGGTAAATAAGTTTTTATTTCTACTTCGCCTACATGAGCGAACACGCTGGTGACTATGATATTCAATTCAGAATTGCTGACGGCACGGTTTTAAAAAAAGAGAACGAGGGCATCGTCGCTCGGTCGTTCTCAATTTTAAATTATCAAAAACGTATAGTAAGCAAATTTGACCCTAGGTTTCATTAAAACAGTATCATATTGAACAAGAAAAAGGGGAGTTTTTTGAAGTGAAACTTCTTTAGGCGCATGGGGGTAAAATTTTTACAGAACGTCAGGCAGGTGTGCATAAATTTAATTGAAATTAAGTACGGTACCGTATTTGTCAAATGTCAGTAGTAGTAGTTGTTGTATTTTTCCAACTGGAGAGGCAAATGTATCATACCATACAGCTTAATATTTTATAATTTTTTTGTGAAAAATGTTAATAGGAATTGAAATGAAATGAAAAGAATTTGGAACATTAATCAAATAGCATGAAATTAAATTAGTCAATTCAATTGGCAAAATATTAGTCATTTACTATTTAGAAATCTAAACATAATGTGACTGTCAACACTGAGATTTGAGATTGACATTTGACGGACTTTTGGCGGGAACATATCTTCCTTTTTCCCTTCCTCTAAGTCTCGGAAATCTAAAGTTTTAGATTTTTATAAATATAAGCAAGACTTCTAAATTAGTTCGCCAAAAAAGTTTCACTTCTGACATGTGTACTTTGTACGCACGCACTTTTTTTTCTGTTACAAATCAAAGTGAGAGAAAATGGCATAGGGCGAAAATAATCATGACTGTTGTATGGTCTGACTCTGAGAAAGTGAAAGATTGAGTCATTCAAAAACCTTATAAGAAAAGCAACCAAATGTTGTTTAATGACCCTTTATTTCGTACATATATCCAATTTTGTGATAAATATTCTCAAAAGTTAATGACTAAATTTTTAATTTTTATGGTTTTACACATTTACATACATTTTATTTCAGACATTTTATTACAGACAGATAAAAATACGCTAAAAAAAAATGCGCCATTTCACGTTCCGTTCCACAGTGTAAACAAAATTTTGTTACTTTTTGTGTAAAAAAGTCAATGTAATTGCTTATTACAGCAACAATTACGGTGCACATTAATTACAACAAATTTACTATGTGAATATATTAAAATAATAAAATATATTTCGGTAAAAACATGACATAAAATTTAGTAAAATACACGTTTACGGTAAACGGATCGTGAAACGTCAACTGTGACGTCTACATTGACGATTTTTATGGGAACTTTAAAAAATTATATCTCGTAAACCGTGAGATTCCGCAACTTGAAATTTTGCAAAAAGCTTTCTATTTATGAGTACTATCTACAAAAAAATCTACTTCCAAATCTATGGACTCTAAAGGAAAGTTTAGCTCAGTTGATGTTTAAGAATTACGGTACTTATACCCGAAGTACGGGTTATTACGGTTTAGTTATGCTGCTCTGTTCAGAGAATAACACAATAATATGGAATGCACAGATAATACGGACGGAATGTATAGAACATAATTCAGCATGAAAATTCAATATCCAAAACAATAAACGCAACTTTACTACAAGCGGACTTGAGTGAAGGGAGCGTACGTAATATGTACATATACAAATATCACACCAATAACAGAAAACATTAAAGTGTAGTTCTCACTTTCTCAGTACAGCTGAAGTAACTGTAGTGTTCGGACGTCTAAAATTTTATTTTAATATTTTAAATATCGTTGTTAAAATGGATCGAAAATTCGTAAATGTTATTATATTAGGATTCGGTTTTATGTTTGTGTTTACTGCTTTTCAAACAATGGGAAATATTGAGGTAAGATCATTGTAACAAACTTTTTTCAAGTAATTTTACTATCATTCACCTATTTGAATTCCAAGTGATTTGATGCGATTGGTTAGAATTTAAATGTGTAATTGAGATATGACTATATAAACAGTCAACAATGAAAGTTTTCATAATATTTAGTGTGTTTGGAAAAATTAGTCTTAAATTAAATGTGACACATTCTCTCATGTAAATCTTACCAAAGAGCAGATGTTAATATTTCTTTACTGGTTAAATTTCACAGATAACAAAGAATGATTTGATGATCCCAATTTTACTACTTTTTCATCTGATATTGATAAATGATAGTATAAAAAATAAATTCTAAAATGGCTTCTAATTTAAAAAAAAAAAACCAAGATTGCAACCCTCTTCAGAGGGTCAGCTGTGTTATGATGTGGTGGTTATAGATTCAGGTAACACTAGCTAATCACAGAACTTGTTATCATAATGATACCCTTCAATTTGAATATAACATATAATTGAGATCAGAAGATCTAAATTATGACATTCTTGTCTATTAATTAAAAGATGTATACAATGCAAATACAAACACCAGCCCCTCAACACTTCCTAAAGTACTAACTCAACTCCCATAGTCCCTTTTGTACATTATTTATTTTAATGAAATTTTTTATATAATGTATTCCTGCCCTGAAGGGGCTGTAGAGGTCAACAGGCAAAAAATAATCAGCCACGTCAAAAAAAACTAAGTAGACCTTAAGGCATACATTGGTACACTCTTCAAAACATAACAACTTACTTTGATAATAAAAAAATATTTTATGATCTAGACATATTCAAATAGCTATTATCACTGTGTAATCGTTAACATTTTTTCAAATGTTCGAAATAAATGTAGTGTCATTTCTAAGAAAGCCAACTGAAAATAAACAAACAGATGCTCTAAAGTTTTTATTGATATTATATTTGCTGTATTTGGTCGTCGCCTTTCCTTTATTCACATTAGAAATGTAAATAAATCTGTTGAAATTCAATGACACCAATAAAGCTTCATCTACATGTTAAAAAGAATTAAAATTAAAATGCTTGATGTGGTAATCTATGGTGGACTGTTGCTTGGCAGATATTCATTAGAAATCTCTTAAAATAAATAAAAAATACAGATCATTAATACAAAACGATAACAAAAACAATATAATTGATGTCAACAAAATAAAATTAGAATATCATCAATGTAGTCAATTTCATATCCATTAAATAAAATGCTTATTTATATAGTTTATAAACTGCTGATCAGATCTTGTTAAAAAAAATTAATTGGGCCACAGAAGCACCAGCATTCAAATAAATCATCAAAATCAGCTTACCGAATATAAATATAAAATTAGCTTTTGTAGGCAGCGGCTTGGCTCTGCCCCTGGCATTGCTAAAGTCCACGGGCGATGGTAACCACTCACCATCAGGTGGGCCGTATGCTCGTCTGCCTACACGGGCAATAAAAAAACCTAGAAAATATGATACTCTGATGTAACACAAAAAAAAGCCAGTCGAATTAAGAACCCTCTTTTTAAAATCGGTTAAAATATATGGACATTGATCTTTTTTCCTACATCGAGAAGCTATATCAGCGTTACCTTAGCCTAGCGTGTAGGTGAGCTTTCGGGGCTTAAACTGGAGTTACTGCTAACACCGGTCCCGGATCGGAAACGCGACCCGCTGAATTTCTTACTTCGTGTTCTTATTACGTAAACTTCTAAACCTCTAGGCACAGCCCACTGAGTTTCTCGCTGGATCTTCTCAGTCGCAATAACGATCCGGTGGTAGATTCTGCAAAGCACTGCTCTTGTTCGGGCTGGCGTTCGCAAACTTTCAGGTTGAACCTGTGAGATCACCGAACCGTCCGCATCATCATCAGCCTTTATCTGCTCATTGCTGGACATAGGCCGTCAGTGTCCAGGTTTCCGTGCCATAGGTCATCGCGGGGAGAACGCACTGGTTAAAGACTTTTGTCTTCAGGCATTGAGGAATTTGCGAGGTGAGAATTGCACGGAATTTCCCAAATGCCGACCAACCCAGTCGTATGCGTCTCTCAATCTCTGTATTGAAGTTACCCCGGCCAAGCTGGATAGCCTGACCGAGGTAGACAAAGTCTTTTACCTCTTCAATGACTGCATTCGAGATGGTAACTTGGCCCGGGACGATTTTATCATCGAACATGACTTTCGTCTTGTCAAGGACATCCGCAGTCCCACGCATCGGGAAGCAGCATTGAGATCGTTGAGCATACGACGGAGGTCCTCCAGCGATTCCGACATTAAGACTATGTCATCGGCAAATCGAAGGTGTGACATGTACTCTCCGTTGACGTTGATTCCACATGTTTTCCAGTCCAGCGTCTTGAAGACATCTTCAAGTGCAGCGGTGAACAGTTTCGGAGTTATAACATCTCCCTGTCGGACACCCCGCTGCAGCTTGATAGGTCTAGACTGGCAATCCTGGATTTGTACGGTCATCGTCGCGGCTTCGATAAGACTTTTCAACACCTCGATATAGCGATAGTCTATCTGGCATCGCTGTAAGGATTCCAGAACTGACCACCTGGTTAGTTCTGGAATCTCGATAGGGTCAAAGGCTTTCTCGTAGTCCACGAAAATAAGTACGCGCGAAGTTGAAATAGCCCTTTAGGCTACCAGCAAATATGTCGGAAAAAAGAAACAAACTTGAACTTCCATTACATACATTCATAACATTGCATTTGTCAATTAACTTCATATCAATCCCCTTTATCAGTTTCCTTAAGATCACGATTTATTTATATGCGTTTTCTCTTACGTATAAAAGTGTGTCAGAGATAAATTTTATTATCATGTTTATGTTATTTACGATCGAGTACATTGGACACAATTTATTGTAATGCAGCAAAGTGGTACATTGAAATTAACCAGTTTAAAGGCTAAGTGCCGGTGTGCAGTTTTAAAAATTATGTAACGAACGGAAAAAAAAATGAAATTATCTGTGTCCGGTTATAAATGATTCGCACTTACACAACACTGTCTCTAAATATAATTTAGGTAATTGAACTTACTTAATGTAAATGAGTGAGTGTGTATAAATCAAGTGTGTTTCAGAATCGCAATCGAAAGAAATCTGTATATACATTTAAATAAATGAATTGCTGTTCGTTAGTCTCGCTAAAACACGAGAGCGGCTGGACCGATTTGCTAACTTTGTTCTTGAATTATTTGTGGAGGTCCAGAGAAGGTTTAAAACGTAGATAAATATGAAAATGCTCGGAAATAAATAAAAATAAGAATTTTGTTTTTGCTTTGATGTGTCCCCCGTCGGACGGATTTCTTTTGTTTGTTTTAAGTTTATTTTATACAAAAGTTTAGGTCTTTTATTTATCGATTGAGGATTGAGGCAGTACGAAGTCTGACGGGTCAGCTAGTTCTTAATAAAATTCAAATTTATTAGATTTTTTTTCTTAATAACATTACAGTAAAGAGCAGTTATTCAATCATTATTGTACACAATTCATTAACTACAGTTAATGAGAGGTATTATGTAGGCAACGCCTTAACATTTTAATCAGTCTAAGAAATCTGATTAAATCACAAACCTTTGAATTATCATTACATATTTTTGTTCACGTCTTCTTTTTTATGTAATGCCCTTTTTTACAGTCTAAATTAAATTTAAAGGGTGTGCACTGTTGAGTTATACTAGGCTGCACTAAAAGTATCGGGAATGGAATATTTCCACTGTTCCTGTCATTTTAAAATCTTTTTAATTGAAAACTCCTTGGTTTTAAAAATCAGATACCATTTATTTATTTAAAAAAAGATTCTCGGTCTTGTCACGAGGTTTTGTCAAACTTGTTTAGTCGTTGAGAAAATGGAATTGACTCGAGAAAATTCAAGAGCGATGATTTATTATGACTTTCGAAGTGGTTTAACACAAAAACAGTGTGTTGACCGGATGATTTCTGCATTTGGTGATGAAGCCCCATCCAAAACCACAATTTATCGCTGGTTTGCTGAGTTTCAACGTGGACGTGTCAAGCTCAGTGATGATCCCCGTCAAGGTCGTCCAAAAACTGCAGTCACCCAAGAAAACGTTGATGCTGTGCGTAAGCTGATTGAGGAAGATCGACATGTGACATACCGCGAAATTCAGGCAACTTTAGACATTGGCATGAGTCAAATACAAATAATCTTGCATGAACAATTAGGTGTAAAAAAGTTGTTTTCCCGATGGATACCGCATTCGCTCTGTGAAGAGCAAAAAGCGGCTCGCGTTACTTGGTGCGTCAGAACTCTCGAAAGATTCCACGCAGGATCCTCAAATGCTGTATACAACATTGTATCAGGTGACGAATCCTGGATATACGCGTACGAACCCGAAACAAAAAACCAGTCACGAGTTTGGGTGTTCGAAAATGAGTTAAAGCCAACAAAAATTGTTCGTTCACGGAGTGTTGCAAAAAAAATGGTGGCCACGTTTGTCTCCAAAACCGGCCATGTTACGACTATTCCTCTTGAGGGACAAAGAACGGTTAATGCAGAATGGTATGCTAGCATTTGTTTGCCACAGGTCGTTTCTGAACTCCGTAAAGAGAACTGCAACCGCCGCATCATCCTCCATCACGACAATGCGAGTTCTCACACCGCGCACAGAACAAAAGAGTTTTTAGAGCAAGAAAACATAGAATTATTAGACCATCCGCCGTACAGCCCCGACCTAAGCCCTAATGATTTCTATACTTTCCCTAAAATAAAGAATAAATTGCGTGGACAGAGATTTTCATCACCTGAAGAAGCTGTGGACACCTACAAAACGGCCATTTTGGAGACCCCAACTTCCGAATGGAATGGTTGCTTCAATGATTGGTTCCATCGTATGAAAAAATGTGTCAAATTTCGCGGAGAATACTTCGAAAAGCAATAAATACATTTTTAAATAGTAATGTTGTGTCACTTCGTTAATTCCCGAAATTTTCAGTGCCGCCCTCGTATTATTCGATGTGATTATCGCATAGGCAATCGGACAATTTTACTGGTGATGAGTCCGCACGGGTAGGTACCACCACTCTGCCTATTTCTACCGTGAAGCAGTAATAGGTTTCGGTTTGAAGCATGCGGCAGCCGTTGTACTGAAAAAAAAACGAGACCTTAAAATTCAAGTTTCAAAATGGGCGGCGACATTTACGTTGTTGATGTCTATGTCCTCCGGTAACCACTTAACACCAGGTAGGGCGTGCAATAAAAAAAGCTATAAAAGTTCCAAGTAATAAAAACAAAATAAAGAAACATTCTTAAAAATCCGAAATAACAAATCGATATTCTTAGGTTTAAGATTTTCATCAAAATTAGAAAACCGGTTCCAGATAGGTGCTCTTACGAAAAAACGAACAGAAAGACAAAAATATATATCAAGAAATATCCGGTATGTTAAGTTAACCCTGAACTTTGATCAGAGAATTTTAAGCTATCCTATCCGCGAAAAACCAGAATAGCCCTTTAGGCTACCAGATAATACATAGGGGAAAAAAAACGATGGTTCCTTTCGATCAAAAAATAAAAAGCAATATTTCTCAAACCACTCAGGATAACCTCTTACATTCTTTAGACTCTTTCGTCTAATTCGTAGCAGAAGTAGAACAGTTTCATTCTCGTAAATTACCCCGACATCCCTCTGAAATAATTCTTGCCGTTTTTTAAACCTACTCCTTGGGGTTTTTGCCATATCACCCATAAATTATTAAGTTATTCCAATATATAGATTACAATAGAAAAAAATCTTTATTGAACACCACTAACAAATGGTGCTTAATGAACTTGTATTTACATATATATATTAATGAAATGAAATTTTAAAGACTAACGGCAGTAATCCATCGTGTAATTTTATACAGTTCAATAATATCTAAATTTTAAGCTATTTTAAGTAAGAGCTGAATGTATTGAAAACATATATTTGAGATGAATATGGATTACAGATGATCGTCTCTCTGACATATTGCTCTTTTTTATTGCCTTGATGGATAGACGAGCTTACAGCGCACCTGGTGTTAAGTGGTTACTGGAGCCCATAGCCATCTACCACGTAAATGCGCTACCCACCTTGAGATATAAGTTCTAAGGTCTCAGTATAGTTAAGTACAACGGCTGCCCCGCCCTTCAAACCGAAACGCATTACTGCTTCACGGCATGGCCAGTCCAGTTGTTAATCAGCTAATAGGTTTGAGTATCTGTTTATTCTACACGTGCAGGGAATAACATTGTAAATCATAATGTAGCTAAAAGTAACTTACAATGTTGTCCCTTGCACTTGTCGTATTAAAATTCTTCAATTATTTTATTATAATCTTTCTCTACTATGGCGTACCAATATTTAATATCAAAGTTGTTGAAATAAATAATGGTTTACTGTTGCACTAGAAGAAAAAAAATTTTTTTTTTAATGAAATGATATCTATATAATTCTCTATATGGATTTATTAGATATATTTGTAGGAGCTATTAACCCCAAAACATATTAAAATGTCAGACTGGTTAAACGAGTACCCCGTCCGCCATGTTTCGTTACAAGGTCATTTCTGAATGGATTTATAATATAAATTCCTATACATAAATTTTTGATCAATTTAGAATAGTATATCACTTTAGAGAAATTAATTGCACATATACCTAGGTACCAGATCATATTGTGGCTTATGAACATTTTTATACATAGGTGTTTACGAGTATAGTCAACAAAACCAATATTTTGGAAGCAAAACAAAAGTTTAACGTTCAAATACCTACATGAATCGAAAAGAATACATTTTTATCTAAACATTTTATACGTACAGTGTCTTTCTTGTTACTTCTTCATACAAGATAAACTCAAGGATTAATTTGTATTATTAGATCGTTTTTCGATTTAGGTCAAACAGATTGAACATTCAGATATAATTTTTTTTCAAGGGTTTATTTCAATGACGTGTCGCGATCGATAGATATGTTGATAGATACCTAGCAAGCGCAGAGCCCGTATATCGAAGATGTGATCATGCATACCGTAGTCGTGATAATGAGGTAAACTCTGATAGCTCTTAGTCGTTGTTTTTTTTTTATGTCTTAGATGAGTGGACGAGCTCACAGCGCACCCGGTGCTAAGCGGCTACTGGAGCCCATAGACATTCACAGCGTAAATACGCCACCCAGCTTGAGATATAAGTTCTAAGATCTCAAGTAAAGTTACAACGGCTGCCCCACCCTTCAAACCGAAACGCATTACTGCTTCACGGCAGAAACAGGCAGAGTGGTGGTACCTACCCGCGCGGACTTACAAGAGTTCCTACCACAATTAATTACGCAAATTATAATTTTGCGTGTTTGATTTTTATTACACGATGTTATTCCTTCACCGTGGAAGTCAATCCTGAACGTTTGTTAAGTATGTATTTCATTAGAAAATTGGCATCTGCCTGAGATTCGAACACCAGTGCATCGCTCAACACGAATGCACCGGAGGTCTTATCCGTTAGGCCACGATGACTTCGACGACTTGATTCCAGTCCGCTAATATATAATTAATTAGTTACAATACTAATCTTAAAAGTTGTCATAAATAAATATATGCTGTTACATATAAGTAAATTTCTTAGTAGCTTTAATTATGCTTCGCTCCGTATATTCTGCAAAAAAAAATTATCTCGTGAGATATCGGAGAGTCAATTATAAATACTACATCTAGCCCTAGCAAATGTAACCAGACTAACCAGGTCAAGTGATTCCTGAAGTGAAGTCAACAAGTATACCCAGTCAAAATTTTTTTTGTGTTATAAGTACATTCGACGCTTGAAAGGCAAACATGATTAAGCGACAATGCGTGAACTTTACAATAGACTAATTTAAAGTTGAAGTACCTGAAAACAAAATTTATTTTAACGAATTCAGCTGTAGTAGAATCTAGCTAGTAGCTGTAGGGTTGAAATGATTTTAATAGACCTAGAAATATATATTTTTTGCGCACCGAATATGGTTATTGCCTATCATTTATGTACAAAGCACTTATTGTCGCTTAGTCACTTTTGCCTTTCAAGCGTCGATTATGAAAATAAAACCCCTGATTAAACAGTAATACAAAATAGATAAGGGTATTTTCTTATTAATAAAAATGCTTCTTATTAAAAAAAAGATAATATAAAAGAGCAAATGTATGTATGTACCTATTGCTTAATATGAATCTGAATCTTTGGGCGAACTCTAAAATCAACGAATGCATATTTCCTACAGTCTCGGGGAAACACCTTATGCTTTGTTTGCGTTACATTGCTGGTTCGTAAAAATGTATCAATTTACTAAAAGGAAAACCTACTTAAAATGTTTCGGTGAATAAGTATATTTATTTGTGCTTAAACGAACTCATGCTTCAGCAACATTCGTGGTTTTCTATTATACAAAAAAGTTTTTAACAAGTTTTATTCTCTATCGAAATTGTTTATTAAAGTTAATTCCATCTTTGCGGTTATTTATTTATATCATAGGAATACGCTGCCAAAATTTTGGATCATAGATTTATAAAATTGCCCAAGTAAGGACAAGTGATTTTGTAAATGTAGGCTAATGATACCTCAGATGGCTGGACGAGCTCACAGCTCACCTGGTGTTAAGTGACTACTGGAGCTCATATTTACAAAGTAAATGCGCCACCCACCTTGAGATATAAGCTCTAAGGTCTTAAGTATAACTCACAAGAGGTCCTACCACCAGTAATTACGCAAATAATAATTTTGCGGGCTTGATTTTTATTACCAATACGATGTTATTCCTTCACCGTGGAAGTCAATCGTGAACATTTGTTGAGTACGTATTTCAATAGAAAAATTGGTACCCGCCTGGGATTCGAACACCGGTGAATCACTCAACACGAATGCACCGGACATCTTATCCTTTAGGACACGACGACATCAAAATTCATTTAATATCCTTTTTTTATTACCAGAGTTCTATAATATAACAAAAAAAAGGCTCTGAATTTACAAGAATTACTTTATGAATATAAAATTTAACGCATCCTACGTGATAATAATTTTGTTTATATCTTTTGAATAATCAAAGTTATGTTGTATACATTTTATTTACGACTGAATCTTTCAAATAAATTAAGAAATTGGTGGACAACGGTCAATAATTTAGCAATGTTTAAATGCGAAATCCTGTATTGTTCATATAAGGCGGCATTTTGAAATCGCGTTTCTCTTTTGAGCTTAAATCCGCAAATGCAAAAACAATAATGTCACATTATGAACGTGTATAGCGGCGTTTTCCTTGATCTTTCACACGAAATGGTTCCAAGGTTTCGTGTTTGACCTAACACTATCTAATCTGTTTTCGTTGTTCACAGAAAACTATACTCGACAGTATTACGCAAGACGACAGTTCCTTCACCGGAGATGGGTACACATCGCTCGCCATTATCTACGCTACTCTCGCAATTTGCAACTGGTTGGCTCCATCGGCTATTACGATTACGGGTCCAAGAGGGGCAATGCTTATCGGGGCCGTCACATATTTGTAAGTACCTACTCACGTAGAAAACAAAGTTACGCAAATAGATAATAGATGATCCTATTATTGTAACAGATACTGGTGCGGTATGTATTGTTCATTGTTCGGAGATATGAGGTTGTGAAGTAATCATAATACACTTAATAGTACTCAATTAATATAATTTACACTCGAAATTCACAGACCAAATATTAGCCTAGATGTAAGTACTCGCGTAGAAAACAAACTTTCGCAAATAGATAATAGATGATGCTATTATTGTAACAGATACGGGTGCAGTATGTATTGTTCATTGTTCGGAGATATGAGGTAATGAAGTAATGATAATACACGTAATAGTACTCACAGTGGCGTAGCTACCTAGGGGCTAGGCGGGGCAGTGCTCCGGGGCCCTCAAGCTCAGGGGGCCCTCGAATCCTTACCAGAAATCTCGATCGAACTGAACTTTTGGAAATTTCTCCCATTTTCAAAATAAAGATGACTGGTTGCAACCCCACTTTAATCATGACAACTCAGTTGAGAGAAATTCAAAAGTTATGCCTAGGGAATTCCCCTAAATTCTTTCTGTAGGTTGGCAGTGTTGTCAATTTGACGGATAGTGATATGTGCGTTTTAGTATTCATCGATGTGCGTTTTATTGTGAATTCGAGTTCAGATATTTTTTTTCGAGAACGGTTAAAAAATTAATGCTGTATCAGGAGTAAGTAAGCTAATGTCAATAAACCTTTTTGTACTGATCAATATAGTGGTTCAATTTTATTTGATTTTACCACTCATATTGATGTCCGTTAAGTCAATAAATCGTGTCAAATCTATAGATTTGGGCTACAGCGCATTGTAATATATGTTGTTACTGTTTAATATTTTTAATATCACTCGTCTTCTTCTCTTTCTCCACCTGATCCTACTAGTGGGGTCGGCACAGCTCTTCCATTCTCTTCTATCAGCCGTCATCTCAACACTCACTTTTCTCTCTCTCTCTCTCTCATATCGTCATCCACACACTCCATCATGTCTTCTTCGATCGACCTCTTCCCTCTATACCTTGCACTACTATTTCCATAAATCTCCTAGTCACATGCATCTTCTCTCTACGCATCACATGTCCATACCACGCTAGCCGTCCGCTCTTTAATTTGTTAATTCCCGGGGCTACTTTCACACTTCCTCTGATATACTCATTCCTTATCTTGTCAACTCTTGTCACTCCCTAAATCAATCTCAACATTCACATCTCTGCCGCACTCCTCTTTCATGCTCATGCATGCCAAACAAATGCTGACAAATATAATAATAAATCCACATCATTTGCTTGTTGCATGCTTGAAGAGCAAATCGACCAAAACAAAGTCAAAGAATGATTAGTAACAGTTTACAGAAGTATTGTGATAACTTGAAAGTACGTATCAGAAAGTATTTCTTGATTCACAATAAACAACCACTACGGGCGGGGAGTTTGAGTAATAATTGTTGTTTTAACTAAGTCTTATCTAAAGATATTACATGTTTTGTACAACAAACAAGTTTCTGTATTGAAATTCTTAGAGTAGGACAAGGTTTTGCCAATGTATCGATTTGTGGAAATAAAATCGTAAAGATTATTATAGCTAGCTATTGACGCCATTTTAGTAATTTTCTAATGATATTGTGTTGATTTGATGTCCATGAGTAGTTTGATTGTAGTCAAACAATTGTTTATGGCCAAATAGGTCCATAGTTCCTTTGGCCAATTATGCCAAAGTACAGCAGGTTGTTGCCAAAGCTTCGTAGATTTTATTGGCACTTAAAATTTAAATATCACTTTGGTTTTGCTCACCTTTTACAACAAAGCAATCTTATGTACCATACCTTACGCTTACGTTGCTTAAACTTTTATTTCTTATGTCGTAATATTCGATTTATAAGTTTTCGATAAGGTTATTTCTGGTTTTCTCTTCTAAACCCCTTTGTTTGATAGTATTCGTCTTTATAAATTTGAAATTTAAAATTTCAAAATATTTTCAGTAGACGTTATCAAAAGTTTTGTTTTTTAAGTTTTTCATAACCCAACCTGTCACTCGCGTTTCTAATTCAGAAAGAATGAAGTTGCTTGCATGTACATTATTAACCACGATAAAACTATCCTGTTCGTTTAGGTTTTAAGGCAACTTTGTGCGAAATTTCATCCAAATCGGATCAACCATTTTTGCGTGGTCGGATAACAAATATCCAAACATAAAAATGTTCACATTTATGTATATAATAATATTAGTGTATTTTTTTCCCAACCTAACTGATAGCCTTGAGAGGCTATGTTAGCGTAACCTAACAAGTAGGTGAGCTCACAGGGCTCAAACCTGACGACGTTGCTAACACTGACCCTAGCAAGAGCAGTGCTTCGCAGAATCTACCAGCGGATCCGAAAGGCGACCCGCTGAGAAGATCCGGCGATTCAGTGAGCTCTGTCTGTGGGTTAATTTACTCGCCAAGCCCTTCGTCGCAAGCCACGGGTTCGATGAGAACGATGACCGGTATTAGTGTAGATTATGATATGACTGAGTAGGTTTTCCAACGTGGGTGGCGTCATTTATAACATGTTGTCTGAGGTTGCACGAGGTCGTTCACCTATATAAGCAATAAATAAAAATAAAAACATAGCTAGCGCTTATTAATTCGAAATACAAATGCCTAAAATTTTGATGTACTAACCTTGATGTGTCCTGATAAATAACGGACCATTAAATATAATGTGGTTAAATGTGGTAGTACTAAATATGTGGAATTAGAAAATACACTTTCATACCTTATTCGAAGCGGTAACCGTGTATTAAAATATTATCACATTCATGTGAATACAATTACGAAACTTCACAAACTACGGTTTCTATTCTTAGTTGATTTCTAGCGTAATAATTCACTTTCCAGTGTATCTTTCCATTTTTTAATAGCATGTTTATGCACCACTGTGTAAAGTATGTATTACTTTTTCTAATCAAACACCACCCAATAGAAGGGTCTTCCGGTCCTTGTTGTTTAAAAAAAACTAATATTTAAAATAAAATAAAAAACCTAATATTAAAAAAAAAAAAAAGACATGCCCGCTGAGTTTCTTGCCAATTCTTCTCAGGACGGAGGCTAATTCTTGTGAATTGGCGGTAGTTCTTTTGACGTTCAACAAGTATGTACTTTCATTTATGTTGAATAAAACTTTTTTGATTTGATTTGATTTGATTTGTCTTGTCGAACCCGTCGCTAGCGACGAAGGGCTCGACGAGTGAATTAACCCATAGCCCATAGACACAGCCCACTGAGTTTCTCACCGGATCTTCTCAGTGGGTCGTGTTTGCGTACCGGTGGTAGATTCTGTGAAGTACTGCTCTTGCTAGGGCCAATGTTAACAACACTCCCGGTTTGAGCCCCGTGAGCTCTCCTACACGTCAAGGAGAAGCTGAAATAACCTTTCAAAGCTATCAGCATGGGTAGGAAAAAAAAGGAGGGTCTCATACATAACATGTTACTGATTTCGGAATGCTCTTTCAGCTTGTTCATTTTACATTCATGTTTTTTTTTTAAATTAATTACATATTCGGTTTTAACATTTCGGTTTTAAAACAAGAATAATATAAAATTTGTGAATTTCTATAGCACGAAACGAAGTGAACTTTCGGAATCAATTGGATATTAAAACCATTATGGACGATACAAAATGTGTTTCGAAAGGCACAGTTTCACATTTCCAATAATTGAATCCGGCTCAATCCGAACCGCGTAAAAATAGGGTTGTCAATTTATTTTTTATTTTTTATTGCTTAGATGGGTGGACGAGCTCACAGCTCACCTGTTAAGTGGTTACTGGAGCCCATAGATATCTACAACGTAAATGCGCTACCCACCCTGAGATATAAGTTCTAAGGTCTCAAGTATAGTTACAACGACTGCCCCACCCTTCAAACCGAAACGCATTAATGCTTCACGGCAGAAATAGGCAGGTTGGTGGTACTTACCTGCGCGAACTCACAAGAGGTCCTACCACCAGTAAAGTTGCAGTGAAACTTGCAGTCAAAACAAATTGCATACAATAGTTTACCACCGGTCAATACAAGATGTCCGTCTTTAGGCTTCAATGAATGGATATTTTTCGTAAGGCTTCATCGTTCAAGGGCCAACTTCTGCTTGCAGTTGTTTTTTAACACAAGAAAACGATAATAAAAATAAAAAAAACAAGTTTGCTTTACTCATAACCCTATACTAACATCAGCACCTACAGAGATGATCGCGAAAAACGATAGTACTATTTATTCATTTACCGGGAGGATTGTTCTTGAGGTTAACGGTACTTTTTGCTTCTGAGTAACGGTCACCGCCTACTATCAAGTGGGCTCTAATGTCAACGAAAAATAATGAAGTTTTGTTTCGAGTGTCGAATAAATCATCATATTTTTTATCGAAAATAGACAAATGAGAAGTGCTACTAAATGATATTTTGTCTGAAAGTCTTATTGATTCACATTAGAATTGTTAATACGAAAAATCTAAGATTATACAGTTTTAGCGCGTCATAGACACAATTAAAACTACTTTTATGGTTTAATCTAACGTTTATTGTTGTTATTTTATTGTTTCTTACTTTTCAAATACTATACAGTGTTCGTTTCCGGTCATCGTCCTCGCCGAACCCGTCGCTTGCGACGAAGGGCTCGACGAGTAAATCGCCGGATCTTCTTAGTGGGTCGCCTTTCCGACCCACCCGATTCTGCGAAGCACTGCTCTTGCTAGTGCCAGTGTTAGCAACACTCCCGGTTTGAGCCCCGTGAGCTCACCTACTAGTTCGGTGAATCTAGAATAGCCCCTCGAGGCTACTAGAATAGGTAGGAAAAAAAAGCGCGCACCGCGGTACCGTAAGTTTCGTGTAGTCAGAGTGGTGGAGCTCGATAGGGCTTAGTCGGTAGTCGTTCTGCGGGGCAAGTGCTTCGCGCGCCTTTTTCAAGGCGTAGTCTCTTGTGAGAAATTGGGGGAGGTGAAGGACC